TATCTATTTTATCTTTAAGACAAATAATTCATTTTGATTAAAATTTTTACTTTTGAATTTATTCTTCAATTTAAAATTTCATAGAATTACTTACCTGAATGAAAAAGTTTAAACTCCTGAAATCCTCTACTATTTCTTAAATCAATAGTTTATTTATTTTTTTTTGATTTTAAGTTTATCATTTCATTTAATAAATGTTTTTCTTTTCCATTAATTAAAGGTATTTAATAATGAATATATACAAGTTTCAAAATAAAAAAATTCAGGCTAAACCTGTTATCTTTTATTTATCTAAGTTTCATTTTAATTAGTTAGGCCGAATCTTCAATTGCATATAGTTTTAATAACAATAAATAAAAATTGATAGGCATAAAGATCATTCTCATTAAATAGAGAATGTTAGAATCTATTTAACTCCTTTATCCATGAATCCAAAAGAATCATAGGGAAAGGATAAAATTAAATTGAGTTTTTTTGCAAATGTTACATTTATTTAAGAATAGTCTCACTATATATTTGAATAGTAGGATTACATAGAGGATATAATTATAAAATGATAAATGAGCTTAGCTTGATGAGATAGCAGACTTTTTTTATATTACTCAAACCTTACTTATTATAATTTAAAGTTAGTAGTATGAATTGTCTTTTATTAGATAATAAAATTCATAAAGATTTATGAAAAGTGTTTAGAAATATTAATTCGAATATAACATTAGAACATCTTTTATCCCAATGTGATAATAAATTTAAATAATAAATAATGTAATACTTTGAGAATTATTTACAATCGAAAGGAGGATATGATTACACGAATGTTAAGAGGTACAGATATGATTAATTGAAATCTAAGAAATGAAATAATGAAGGCTTAAGGATTCAAAGAAATGGGATTTACAAAAACTGGAACAACAATAGTAGGTGTAATATTTGATGGTGGAGTTGTGATGGCAGCAGATACTAGAGCAACTGCAGGATCAATAGTTGCAGATAAAAATTGTGAGAAATTGCATACATTAGCTCCAAATATCTGGGCTGCAGGAGCAGGTACAGCTGCAGATTTACATCATTAATGTGCTCATTTTAATGCTAAATTAAAACTTTAGAGATTAAATTTGAATAGATAAAGCAGAGTTAATGAAGTGATAACTAAATTAACAACAAAATTATTTCCTTATAGAGGACATATTGGTGTTGCTCTTATTATTGGAGGAATAGATTGTAATGGACCATAATTAGCTTCAGTATCTCCTCATGGAAAGTAAGATTTTATTAAATTAGTTATGTTTATCATCCTTTTTAATCTATGGGTAGTGGATCATTAGCAGCTTTAGGAATTCTTGAAGCTAAATATTAGGATGGTCTTACTAAATAATAAGCAATAGAACTTGCTATTGAGGCTATTGAAGCTGGTATATTCCATGATATGGGGTATTTTATTAATTTTATTTATTAGATCAGGTAGTAACGTTGATGTTGTTGCTATTACAAAGGATGGTGTAGACTATAAGAGAAATATAAGATCATACAATGCTAAATCCCATTAAAAATAAATACCTTATGTTTTTCCTATTAATAATACACGTAATATTAGTAATTTGAATTGTTAGCTGCTTTAAGGAAATATCAATTTGATATTGAAAAACAAGAACTAAGTGAGATTGGATAAGAGATGGAAATAGTTGAGTGAATTATTATAATACAATAAATTATTTAATTAATGGATAAACAAGATTATTATCAAATTCTTGGAGTTGATAAAAATGCTACAACTGAAGATATTAAGAGTGCCTATAGAAAGTTAGCTTTAGTAATTTTTTTCTTGTTACATAGATAGAAATGGCATCCAGATAAAAACCGTGACAATCAAGAAGCTGCCAAAAAATAATTTTAATTGATTTTATAAGCTTATACAGGTAATTGCTATTTGATTTATAGTTCTTTGTGATAGCCAGAAAAGAGCAAACTATGATAAATATGGAACTGCTGATGGTGAAGAATAAATGAATTTTGATTTCGATGATTTTTTTGCTTAAGATTTTGAGTCTATGATGAACTTCATGATGGGTGATGCTTTTATGAAAATGTTTACTAATGTTGGTAAATCAGGAAGAGGCAAACACAAATTCAAAATTCCTTCCTCTTTTATTTTCAGATAAGCATAACCTTAAAAGAAACCATAAAAAAAAGAAGAAGAAGATGAATGGGAAACTGAAGAAGAAGTTGATGAAGGTGATGATTGGAAAGATGTAGATGATGATGATGATGATGATGATGATGATAAAAATAATGATGATGATCTATAATCTGATAGTGATGATGATCTTACACATACAGAAAATTTATTTATGATGCCTATGTTTATAGAATAAAACATTAAAGATACTGATAGTATTTCATTATTTTATAATGTTAGGCAATAAATTTAAGTGTAAATTCGATGGACAGATATTAAAAGAACATACATTAGTCTAGCATTTTGAAAAGAACCATAAAAAAGAATTTGCTGCTTGGACTAAAAAAAAGCAGTTTAAATGATTAATTAATTACATTATTTTTTAGATATGAAAAATCGATTCCTACAACTTAAATAAAAACTTAATAATTGGAAGTGGATTGAATGTCAAGTAACTCTCCATTCTCAAACAAACCAATAAGAATCATACCGCCTTCTTGAAACTAATTATAAAATCATGTAAGATTGTACTGTTGTTGAAGAATCACTATAATTCAATATATAAATGTAGAAATCTTTCAACTTCTCAAAACGAATTGGATGGAATTGGCACAAAAGTTGGAAACTACCAGAAATCATTATCAAACCAATTCTTAACTGTTACAAGTTATATACAAAAGGTCTTCGTTGTAGATTAATTTGCGGCTATGTTGAGGATGTATCCACAATTAGACAAGTTGAACTTGAAGGAAACACAGAAAAACTATATAATGATGACATCTAAGGTTTTTAATTTGATAATATCAAGTTCAGTTCAACTTCTTATAAGCTGGAGGTTTTTACTTTACCTTATTTTTAGGGCGTCCATTTTCATGTTATTATTGAAATATACAGAAGAGATGATATTTTCTAAACTGAACTAACAATTAAATCAGTCATTTCCCCTCCAATTTTTGTTGATTCTAGAAAAGCTGCTAGAAATACCAAGAGATTTGATTACCAAAAAATTATGTCCCTTATTCAACCATTTCACCCATTTTCTTTAAAAAAATAACTTATTGTTAGATCTGATAAATCTAAAATTCTAAAAATAGAAGACACTCTTGAAGGACTTAATAATTATTTGATGGCCTAGAATATTAGAAATAAATGTAGACATCCATATTTTCTAACATTGAAATTTAGATCTGTCTTTGATCTCTACTATAATTCTAGTTTATACTCTACTCATTTAAGTTTAGAATAATTACTTATTAAAATCTAATAATGCTTGGTTGATAGTTTAAACTTACATTAGAATCAGTAGGTATTATTATTAAGAATGAAAAATACTAATTATAGTGAACTTGATATTGGATTCTTTAGCAATAATTTGAGTCAATTATAAAATAGTGTTATTCAAGTCATTGCAGGTTCCTAAATTGAAAAAAATTGGATAAAAATTAATTCAAATGATTTGAGTGATATCTACTCTGAAAAGTATTCAACATTTCCAAGAGTTTCAACTACTGATCAAATTTAAATCAAACAATATTTTGATATTTCCTCAGATGAAAGCGACTCGGATGTTTGTTGTTAAAATGATGTAATTTCAAATTTTTATAATAGGAATAAATTGAATTCGGAAAATAATAAAAATTACAAGAATTTTATGAAACAAAAATTGAAATTTAAAACAAGAAAGTTTGTATGTGAAGTCAAGATAAATCATATTTTTTAATAAATATCAATTTGGTTTACTTCTAATAAATTTAAAATAATTTCTCTTCTTAATAGAAAATTTCAAAATTTCATTCCATCTATAATAGATTTAAAATAAATAATAATAATTATATTACAGATTGGATTTTTTATTCCTAAGATATTATTTTTGAAAATATTTTTATCAATTTCTTTTAAATGATATAAAACTCTATAAGTATCTATATTTTAATTATATTAATTGTAAAATTTCATAATTTATTTTAAGTTTATCAATTAAATTTTCACTATTTAATTCTTAAGACTTTTAATAGCTTTATTCATTTTTATTTGATGACAGCGTAGGAGATGTATATATTTCCAAAAAAATGTTACATATTTATAAACTATCTAAAATTTAACCATGAGGAATCAAGATTGATTTTAATTGTATAAATTATATTTTATTTACATATATTCTATTTATATCTTTATTTTAATTTAATATCATCATTGAAATATATAAAATTATATAATTTTTTCTATGGGTGGGTGCGGAGGAAAACCATAGAAAAGAAACAAAAAACCTTATGTTTTACCAAAATAATTAGAATAGCAATGTATGGTTTGTCCCTAAGTTAGTTAATGCTGTTGAAATAGATTTACTTTATCTAATATATTAAGACTTAGCTTCACGAAATGTAGAAAGCTTAGTCAATAAAACAGCTTTTACTGATTTCTTCACAATGATTGGATTGTGGGGAGAACTTGTTTTTGAATATTTTAACTAAGAAAATCAGAGTTTATTGAATTTTGAGCAATTTTTGAAAGGAGTTGTTCATTATATAAAATGTGACGAAAACTAAAAAATTTAACATCTTTTTAAATTATATGATTTAGATAAATAAGGTGTAATTCGGAAATCTGAGTTTCTTCAAATGGTATAAGAAAACATTAAAATTAGATTTAAAACTATCCTAGAGATGATTTAATAAAATTGCTTGATGACCCTATGTTTTTGGAGGATCTTAAAATTCTCAAATATTATGAAACAAAGGAGATAATCAATTAAAAAAAGAATTAACCAAAGCGAGCAGATGAATAAGAGTTTACAGAATCAGGTAAAAAATTAAAAAAAAGAAAATAGTTCATGCAATTTAGAGAAAAAATTCATTGAGTGGAGAATTATAATCAATATAAGGGGCAAAATCTGGGGAGTCAGCAAAAGGATCATAAAGCAATTTACCAGCATTTAATGAATAAAGTGTTGTTATGATGTTTCCAAATGAAAGTATGATAGGACCAACAGGAGTTCCTATGGGTCAGTTTGGTTAAAACATTACTTTCAATATAAATGGAAAATTAGTAGAATTAAAAAGAGTCAATATCAATTATTTAGTACATAAGTACGTGAATATGATTTATAAACATAAGGCTAAAAATGATTAAGAGTATATCAACAATTAAATTAGTTTATCACTTGAAGATTTTACAACTTTTGTTAAATTACATCCAAAAATATTTGAAGGCCTCTATAAAGCATTTAATTTTGATGTTTGGGGTTTTGATATTAATGCTTAAGTTCCTCGTATGATGATGACACCAAAAGATCTTGAAGGATTAGTTAAAAAAATAAGCAAAAGAAATCCTAAACTTAACAACACTAGATATTTTAAATTAATGTAGAGATTCTGCTTATCTTTTAAAACAAAAGAATCAACTTTACCAACAAGTAAAAATATACTTATTAGTCTATAGAGATATTTTGTCTTGATGGTTTAACAATTTAAGAAAAAGTTAATAATCAAGAATAATAATATGGTTTTGAAGTTTCTCATAAAGATAAATTATATTAAACCAGAACTTATTTATGTTAAGATTTTGAAGATTATAAACGGTGGACTAATAGTTTATAAATGTTTTAAAAGTATTTATTAACTCAAATCTTAGAGCTTCTGTTAATGATTATTATTCAATCCTTTAGAAAATAGGAGAAGGCAAATTTTCAATTGTTTATCTATGCGAATGTAAAAAAGATAGGCAAATTCTAGCTATTAAAATTATTGAAAAATTTAAATTGTCAAAATCAGAAAAATTAATGCTTGCGTAATATTAGTATTTAGTTGTAGTCATGAGGTAGAAATCATGAAATTACTTAATCATTCTTGTATTGTTCGTTTCCATGAAATTATAGAAACAAAAACTCATTTAAATATCATAACAGAAGTAGTAAGAGATGGTGATTTATTTGATTATATAATCAAAAATGAGAATATCAATGAATAAGAAGCATCTTTGATTATGAGTTAACTTTTTGACACCTTAAATTATGTACATAGTGTAGGCATTGTTCATAGAGATTTAAAACCAGAAAATATTATGATTGTTTTAGACCCTACTAAAAAAAATGTGAAATAAGTTAAAATTATTGATTTTGGTTTTGCCAATTTTTTAACAAATATCTAAACGAAAGAAGGAGAAGCATTATGTGGAACAACTAATTATTTAGCTCCTGAAAGTTTAGAATAAAAAAAAATTGACTTTAAAGTTGATAACTTTGCTCTGGGAGTTATCTTATATTTTCTTCTATCTGGTATTTTTAATATTTATTTTTAATAAGGTTATCTACCTTTTGATTCAGAATTTCCAGAAGATATTATTAAAAATATTATTGAATGTAAATATGATCTGCAAGAAGACTTTTGGTCATTAATTTCAGAAGAGGCAAAAGATTTAATAAAGAAATTACTAATGAAAGAACCTAATGAAAGAATTTCTTTGTAATAAGCTTTAGAGCATCCATGGATTAAGGTATAATTTAAATTAAAGTAGAATCGAAATCAATTGCCAATAAAAAAAGCTTAAAGAGTTAAAAACAGGTTAGGTTTATTTTGATTAATTTTTTGAATCAAAATGTTTATATTAATAATTAAATTAAATTATTTTTATTTTATTTTTCCTACTCTTAAAAGAGCAATTTAATTTATATTAATATATTGCTAATTATTAATTTTTTAAAGAGTTTTATATTTTACATTACTCAAAATTTAGTCTTTATAATTTAGTTATCATGATTAATTGTTTTTAACTGATAGAATATAAGGGACAGTATTCGATTTTACAAAGAAATTTTTAAAATATAAATAATATCTTGTTAATAATGAATTAGATATTTATTAGAATATATGATGTAAATTTTTTATTAATAAATTTAATCTATATTATTATTTTCTTACTGAAACAATTTTTTCAATTTTACCCTGATTTCAAAAAAACTTTAAGCAAGTCTTATTTACAGAGAAAAAGCTGATAATCGAATTAATTTAATTTCAATAAATATTGATTAATTCATAAGAGACTTTTGGAACTTTTATAAGTCCAACCCTTAGGCTCAACTTGTAAGTCTTTTGTTTGAGCTCTTAATTTTAATTTTTGGTTTTCATATTTTATATTTTTACTTCTGCGTGAATCATTTATTTCCACTGAAAACCTTCTAAATTATTAGCCTATTATCATGCGATCGGAAAATAACGTTGTATCTTGATTTTTTGTTTTTTAGGGAATAAACCTTTTTTTTTTATTTTTTATAGTTGGCTTTTAATTAACTATATAAGTATCATCATTAATATCACAATTATATAAAATAGGCTTTTAGCAAATAAATGTTTAATTATTCAATTCTTGGTTTAGGCTTAATGTTTTCACTTTTGCATTTCTATAATTAATTTTACTGATTGATGCTTGAGGAGATTTTTCTAATTTTTTTTTTTCAGGAGAAGAAGCCTAAAGTTTATTTGATAGTTGGTTTGATTTTCGAATCATAAATTGTGGTGTTTTGTAATTAATTATACTACCACTATATTGATAATTTCTAATCTTTATTTACATGAGTAATTTAGAAATAATAATGATAATAAAATGGTTTTAACATAATAAATTATTTAACTAAACAACTAAAAATTTAATCTAAACTTTGTTTATAGAAAAATGGTAGATAACGCTTTATTATGAAGTAAGCATTTTCATAGAATTTATTAAAATACATTTGCAATGTAATTGCATTTTAAAAATTATTTATTATTTTATTTATTGAGGATATAAAATTTATCTCTTTGGAATAAATTTAATCTAATTGAGTATCTTAATATATGGTATCATTTTAATTTTACATTAAATTGTTAAAAAATATTTGTAATTGTGAAACTAATACAGTAATTAATAGATTAATCTAATAAAATCAAGTTAATATATTAAATCTAACTTCTTTTCTTTTGATTCTATTGAATCTATTTATTAAATTTCTTGTTTCGAGAAATTGGGCTTCAATATCATTTGCTTCCTAATAAATTTATCATTCTATACTATTTTCCTTATTTATCTTCTTTGTTTTGTACTTTAGGTACGTATCCTTTTCTCATGTGTGACCTTAATTGTATCAGATTAGACTTTCGTTTTAATTAAACACTCTAAACGCTAAGGTGAGGGATTAACTTTATAAGGTAATTAAGGACGCTATAAAGATTTATTTTAATTTTTTGGAATAATGGCAGGTTTCCATTAAAAAAAAGAATCATTTTAGATTTCTTTAAACTTTCTTTTAATCTCAAAATCATCAATAAGATGAGGTATCAATTATTATGTATTTGATTATTTTGGTAACTCATATTTAGGTCTTTTTGTCAAATGAAGCAAAGCAGATTGCTATTCTTCTAAAAATTTAATTTTTTCAACGATAATTGAGAGATCAAATAAAGAGTCAAGTTTTTATTTTGTTTTATTCATTATATAAATTTCTATTCATAATATTTAATTTGGATGTAAATTTTTGGGACTTATTGGATTTAAATTTCTAATAGTTTGCATATTAAATATTATAAAAAGAATAGATGAAAGCAGAAGTAAAAAAGGATAAGAAATAAATAAATTAAAGATCTCCAGAAAAAGTATTATAAAAGAGATATAATAATAATTAAGTACAATATTTAGTAAAGTGGAAAGATTAAGATGAACCAATTTGGGATGTAGAAGAAAACATTAGAAATATAATTTAAAATATACCATTAATTGAATCTGAATTATAAGAAAACAAAAATGATAAATAATAAAAATAAGTTACACCATAAAAAAATTAATTTTAAACATTGTAATATAGTTTTAAACATCCCAATTGTTCAGGAGAGCTGTTATTTAATACATAGAAAGAGATGACATAAAAATACTGTTTTGCATATCCATAATTTGGAGATGAAATAGAAAGTGTTAATTTAATTTTAACTTAAGAAGATTGTTTATTTGAGATTAAATGGAAAACTAGGACTGATGGAACAAAACCTATATCTGATTTTTATCAATATGATTAATTTAAAGTAGTTGCTCCAATGCTTTTTATGGATTTCTTAGAAATTTGTATATTAGGACATGAAAAAAATTCAGACATCAAATTTATAGCACCTGGTAAAGATAATATTCAAAGAGCTTAACTCATTAAAAGAATATTATTACAAGACCCAAAATATATTGATACTAATAAAAATTAATCAAATGAAGAGATTTAATTTAATGACTAACCTAAAGAGAAATGTGAGCAATAAAAAAAAAAAAAAATAATTACATTTATGCAATCAGAATAGAAATAAAAATAAGCAATAGCAACACAAAATTAAATAATAAAATAAACATAAGTAGAATATTAAGAACAATTACATGCTGAAGGATTATCTTTAGAAGATTAACGATAAGAGGAAAAGTAATCTTTGTAATATAATAATATTGATGAAGGAGAAAAGAAATAAATTATTGATTCTAAATAATGTGAAAAGTCTATTTTTTCAGATGAATAATAAGAATGATGATTAATATTTTGAAGGTTTATGTAAAAACATTACAATTTTCATAATATAATTCGCTACTTAACTTCTGTTTCCATAATTTCAAGTAACTTAATTTCAAGGGATTGATTTCTTTTTAATAACTATTCAACTTAATTTTTAAGTCTTTTGATTTCTTCAATTTTTGATTATAGATCCTTATCTTTTCTCTAATAAGCAATAACTAAATATATAAATAATAAATACTTGATTATTCGAATTTCCATTTGAGATCTTAATAATCTTGTTATTTAACTACATTTTCTTAAGAATTAATTTACTTAAAGGATGATATCAATTCTTCTAATTCTAATATTTTTTATTTTTATTGATTATAAAGTAATTCATAAGGTTAATATGAGGTTCTTTATTATTGTACTTCTTATTGTAAGTTAATGAAGAGTTATTCTTTGTTTAATAATTTGAGTTATAATTTTTCATTCTCTAATTTAAGATTATCTCTTTAATTGGTGATTGATTTTTATTAAGATTCAAGATTAACAATAACTTATTCTAAATTTTAGATAGTTTTTTAATCGCCTTTTTTATAAAGAAGTTCATTTTATAGTTTTTCATTACTTGATTAAAGAGAGATAATTTATTATTTTAATTCTTAATTAGGATTGCAATTTTCTTTATCAAAAGTGGAGGTTTTAAGCATGATAATAATGGCATCAATTTGTGATTCAAGTGATTTATCATATTTTTGTTTAATTTAAGTTAATTAAAAAATGGCTTTAGTAATATTATCTATAGGCATTTAAGATATTTATTTGATATGAATAGATTCTCTTTAAATTTAACAAGATTCTCTTGCAACAGAAGGTTATGTTTTAGTAGTAATTAATTAAGGAATGCCTCTAGTACTGTTTCTGGTAGTATTTTGGCTAGCACGATTGGTATTTGGCAATATAATTTCTCTGATTGGAGAAATCTAATCAATAATTGTCCTTTTTAATTGTTTAATAGTAATTATACATTCTGGATGTAAATTGCTATGGACTAGTGGGAGGCTTATAGAGATATTATAATTGTTGAGTATTCATTTTACTGTTAAAATTAATAAATTATGTTTAACATAAAAAGAGGGGTTTATTTATAAATATTATCAACCTTGAGTTTCTCGTAAGACCACTTTAGCTAGCTTTTTAAGTTCAAGGAAATAACTTATATAAAATAAAAGAGTTTACCTACTATTGGTAGGATGATTGTAATTTTTTATGGCTCTCTATAATTCTATGATTTTATTGAGTGGTAATATATCTTGTAATTATTTCTTTGGATGTAAAATACTGCATAGTAGTTATACATTACTTTTAAGTAGGTTTACTTAAGTCAAGACTCGATCTTTGAAACGATAATCTACCTGGGGATTTATGTATTTGAGGAGATGAGTTTTAAGATTTATGAAGCCCATTGTTTTTTGGTGATTTTGGAGATATACTTTATCTCAAGATTTATTAGAGTTATCCAAGGTTTGAATTTTTGGCTTAGTAAAGAATATGTTTTGGTTAATCAAGTTTACCGTTAATTTTACTACGTACTTCTTTACGAAAGTCATCTAACTCAGTAATTGGACTATTAGCTATAAATGATCCAGAATGCATTAAATTATTAATGAAAAAATTACCTTATAGTTATTAGGAGCTGAATATATTTGATAACAAATACATTATCAAATAGTAATTAAGTTCAGAATCTTTTAGAATTGTTTTTCTTCCTATACATCAAATTACTAAAGAAGAGATGATGACTGTAAAATTAGAAAAAGAATAATAACAAACATTAGATCAATAAGCTTATTATATGGTATCTAAGGAATCATTAAACTTTATTGATTTGGAAGTGAACAATACTACTATATAATGGTAATTGAAATTCTAGACAAAGATTTAAGCTAATATGTAAAAACTTAGAAACAATTATCAATAAAAACTGGTTTACAATTATTAGAATACATTATAACAATAAAATTAGATTTATTCATAACTAAGGAATCGTTCAAAGAGATTTCAAAATAAAAAATGTTATAATGGGTAAAATTAAATCTGTATAAACCTATTTAACTGATTCCAGTGTTTCTATTAAGATTTGTTATTAAAGAAGACATATGCATTATAGATTTCTTTTTATTAATAAAATTATTTAAATTGACTTTCATTTATTTTAGTTCTTTGAATTAAAAAATATGTCACATTTAAATAAAAGACAATCTTTCAAGTTTGATTACTTGATATTAATTAATATTATTATTATGATACTTATTTTTAAATATAATAAACATTATTATTCTGTCTAATCGGACAGTACTTATTAAATTCATCAATAGACCTTTTTGAATTAAAATCATTCAAAGAAACACATATAATTCTCAAAAAAGATATGAAATTTAAATTGGGAGAAAAATAAATTAAAATATTTTATGTATTTATCATATAGTTTTTTGTCATAAATTCTTTATTTAAAACAAATAGCCCTTACCAAAATTTAAAAAATGCATACATTAACTTAAAACATTTAGAAAAATTCACTTCCTCCTTTCTTAGAATATTCTAAATAAATTAAACAATATTAATTAGTTATTCAAAAGTATTTAACTATTAAGACTAGATTGATGATGAACAACTCAAAAAATTTATGAAAAAGTAGTGAAGACAACGACAGACAAGATAATTTATTTTTATTTAACAGATGTAATACACAAGCTCCATCTTTTTAGAGTAGATAAACAATATTATTAGTTTTATGTTTAATGTATCATAAAAACTTAAGCATGCTAAATAATTAAATTGTTTCTTAGAAATCAAATTTGTTTTGGTTTACTTAATTAACTATTTTGAAAGATCAATTTAAAATTTTTATTAATCTTTTATTTAATATTTATTAAAACTTGAATTATATAATTATTGATATTTTTTAAAATACATACATTTATATATTTCAATCAATTTTCTCATATAATAATTTTGTAACTTTTAAATTTGGTTTCAATACTTCTAATTATTGGTATCCTTCTTTATTAAATAAAATCCATTAGTCTTTTAACCTACAATAGCTTTAATAGTTAAAACGATCAATCTTTTCTATTAAACCACATAGTTTATATTTATGTATTTATTGTGGATAAAATAGCAAATTAGAAACAATTTGATCTTAATTGATATTTAAAATTAGAAATTCTTCATCTTTTGTTTAAAAATCAAAATAATCCTCTAAATTATATTTATTTATGATTTCAGGTTTTTAACTTTCAATTTAAATTGGTTAGTTGTAAATTGCATACACAACAATCTTATTAACTTTGAGATTCATCTTTTAATCAATAAATTTAACGATACAATTATTACATAATTTGAGATCACAAAAAGAACATTTTTCATTGATTTATTAATTAGTTTAGAAGATTAATTCATACTTTTTATTAAAAATAGTTTCTTTATAAGCTGATAAACTTGTCTCTTCAAAAAGATTTGCAATTGCTAAATGTAAATCAAAATATTTAGCTTATTTATTTATATAAAATTTTCGAATCGCATCAAAATTTTTGTAAGATTACAAAATACCTACTTTTTCAGCAAAACATCTATGAATAATTACTTCCAATTCTTCTTCAAATTATTCTCGTTTAGTCAAATGATATTTATAATTTTTTGGTAACTAATACAATAGCATATCACAATTTACTAAAGATATTAAATATATTTTACTTTCTTCTGTATAATAATTATTACTACATTCAAAAAGAAATCTTTATTATGGTAATAATTTCTCAGCTAATTACTTTACAGTCATTTTATGATCAAATAAAACAGTTAATGGTTTTCCATTAACATATACAGTATCATATCTACTCTCAGTAATGGTTACTGAGTGTTCATTCAATAATTCTATATCTTTTTATTCATAACATAAAATATCTTAACTTCCATAATATGATTCTTCAATTATTTCGTTTAAGTTGTAATATTTTTAATAATTAACTTTAATAAAATTTCTAATCTTATCATTACATTCGTAAGTTTTGAGTAGGCAATTTATTAAAGATTATTATGATTCATATAATGAAAATCCCTTTTTTGAAATCTCACTCTCTTCAAAATTAATATAAATTCTTTGTTCTATAGTATTGTCATCCTATTTAAAATAAAAATTTTTATTTAGAATTTGAATGTCTAATATTAAAAATTATCCATTTTTTAAAGAACATAAGTCTTATTTACATTCTTCTATTTACAATTAATTCTCTTGAAGCATTTAAATAAAACTTTTGAATTCCTTTGGTTCATTTTTTATGATATAAAATTTGATAAAATTTTTAGAAGGCACTTAAATTGATAATTGTTAGTTTAAGAGTTTTTCAAATGTTTCAATCGTATATTGCATTGTCCAATCTCTTGAAAATTATTAAACTCCTTCAATTATATTAGTAACACCTTCATATAATGGTACTAATTAAATTTTTAGTTGTTTATTAATTAAAGTTCCATCTTTATATAAAACCAAAAATGTAAAATATTCTTAAGGAATTTGTTTGAAATTTTAAATTGCTGTAATTAATTGTTGCCATAATTCTTGAGGTATAGAGATGTAATCTTGATTTAATTTTAATTTTTCGTTTAAAAAACAATTATATTATGGATCATCATATCTAAATGTTTAATTACAATTTACTATAAAATATTTGAGAAATAATCGTCTACTAAGTCTAAATTTAAAATAGGAATTGTATTGAGTTTATCAATGTCTTTTGATTAGATTATAGTTCTTAATTTATTTAACCATCTAAGTTAATTTAATTATGATAATACCTAATAGATATCAAATTATAAGTAGAATTATCTTGTAATTGATCTGAAAGTACGTAAGATTTAGATGCAAATTCGATAAGAGGTTCCATTAAATTTATTCAATAAATATATAACACTTAAAATAAAATAAATGAATTAAAACTTGATTCTGATAAATACTTTATACATGATAAATAAATCATTAAATATTTTTTTTAAGTTTAAGCTTTTAAATTTCTTGATTAGAATTGATAGTTTATTCATTATTAAGTAATTTAACTTGATTTATTTCTTCGAAAATTAAAAAATAAATTTGAGTTAAAGTAATTTTTTCATCTTTTTCAAAATCACATTCTAAGAGCCCATTGAATGTAGTTTCTTCTTCTTTATTTCTAATGGTATCAAAAAATGGATGTTCTAAACACTAAGATAAGTAAATAATTACTTATTAGATAGTAATTCTATTTTTAGGATTCATTTATAACATTTTATCTAATAAGTCTCTAGCTTTAGCATCAGGATAAGGAACACTTTTGGAAGCAGATTATAAAGTTTTAGGAGGAAGTTTATCAATGAATGCTAAAGCATTTGCATTAGTAACAAAAGATTATAATTCTTTTTCTGATGGTTTACCTAGAATATCAAAAATAAGTTTGATCATTTATAAGTAATTAGGAGCATGAAATAAAATTCTTCTACTCATTAATTCTGCAAATGTACAACCTAATGCCCATACATCAACAGGTTTAGAATAATGAGAACTAGACAACATAATTTCAGGAGCTCTGTAAAAACGAGTGACTACATATTCTGTCATATTATCTTCTTATTATTATTCTTCATTTTCATCAAATTTACGAGCAAAACCAAAATCACAATAACATACTTCACATCTCTCATTTGCTAAAATATTTCTTGGTTTAATATCTCTATGAATAGAATTTGATGAATGTAAATAATGTAAACCTTTACATAATTAATACATTATAAATGAAACATGTTCTACACTTAATTCTTAATGACCAGCAATCACTTTTCCCAAATCTGTAGGATAGAATTAACTTACTATATATATTTCAGAATTAACTGAATCATACAATAAATCATATATTTTCAATATATTAGGATGATCCATTTATCTTTGAATTAGTATTTCTCTTAATATTCTTTTAGCATCTATCACGTCTTCAATTTAATTTAATTTCTTAATCGCAACCTGATCTCAATTTATTACTTTATACCTTTCGAGATTGATGCTTAATATCATATGCAAGGACAACAGAACCATATGTACCTGATCCAATCAATTTTATTATTTAATAACGATCTCCACAATTGAATTCTATTCCTCCAAATTTATTTTATTTCATTAGATTTAATTAAAAAGTAATTATAAAATTAAATGTTCCGAATTCCAATTTTTAAACTAAATCAAAATGCATATTAATCTATTCAATTCAAATCTTTATGATGTTTATTAAAGTTTACTCACTCTATATTCAAATTTATTTATAATTTTTAACTAAATAATTTCACTAATCAAAACTAATCTAGAAATTAATAGAAATTATACATAAAATTAGTCAAATACCTAAAGAAAATTATCTTTATATAAATTCAAAAATCCACTTTAATCTAACCAAATTCTTAACTAGTATATTTTTATTCTATCAACAAAAATCTGGATGATTTCTATTCAACCTTTTTGCTTTTACATCTTTTAATAATCCCAAATTAGCTTTCCTTTTCAAATTATATTTATAAAAATTATTATGATCATCTTAGTCAATAATTTAGAAACTCTATTTAATCAAATATATTCAGATTATTATAATATCCATATTGAATAAAAGAAAATGTTAATTGGGCATTTTGAGTTTAAGTCTACCCAAATTTATTGAATTAATGACTTATGTTAATACATATCTTTATAAATAAGGTAATGTTTTGTTTTCTTATTTTAGAGCTAATAAAAATGGATGATGTTCAAATAATAAATATTATTAGTTCTTTGAACAAATCTCAAAGTTTTTAAGTATTTTAAACAAAAATAATTAAAATGTTTATCATTTTTTTCATAATTTTAATCCAATTTATTTATTTAATAATTTACATTAAAATATTGCTAGAGATATATAAATTTCAGGCATATAAAAAATTAGAAAGTCAAAGAAAAAGAAATAACAGTTTATAACTTCATATTAAGTAGAAATTTGACTTTAAAAATATAATAATGAAGAACAAAACATATTCTAACTGTGATAAAAAAATTAAATTACAAAAATTTAATATTGATATTAAACAAGGAAAATTTAAATATTTTAGCAATTTTTAAAATTAAAGAGTTCAAATAAATATACTCATGAAATCAAATCTATTTATAGATACAAAATAGTAAAAACTAAAAATTAAAAAATGAGTGTTTTAAAATATAGACAAAAATCTAAAGATCAAAATATTGAAATTCTATGTGAAATGATTTAGTTAATTAAATGTAAAATACTAACAAAAAAACATTCTTATAAAACAATCAATTTTTCTAAAAAAATTATGGTTAAGATAAAATACACATTCTTAAAGTCCATAAAATATCGAATTATTTTAATTTATAATCAAATAATTTTATAAGGTTGATATTCAAAATATGCATCATGATTTGAACACTAGACAAGCCAAATTACCATTATAGAACATAAATAGTCTTGTATTGTTTTAAACTGTAACATCATAAGCGTATCCCTCACCTTTATTTGATAAAATTTCAGATTACCTATAATAACTTGCCAAGTTGGACCATATTTCTTTTCAAGTGCTTCTTTAATGGTTTTACATGCATTCTTAAATAAAATGAATAATTAATATACTTCGATAGATAAAACTGGAGATGAGTTATTTTCTATTCCTGAAACTATCGAATCTTAAACTTCTGAAAGCATATCAGGACTCATATCTGTATCCTTTATTTCATAATAAATGTTACTTTTATGATGGCTGTTCCAAGCATTTCCTTTTTTAATTAAACAAGGTCTTATGTCTCTTTCTTTTCTTCCATAATATATTATCAGATTAAAATATATAAATATATACAGAATCAGAATTAAACGTTGCAGATTAAATTTTATCTAAGTCTTTTATTAATTTTGTTAGGTTTAATTTAATCAAACAACTCGATCACTTATTTAATGTTTTAATCCTTTCTTATTTCATCTGCACAAATAAAAAGGAATTTTTCAAGATAATTATTGGATTTTCAATCTCTAATTAATTGAAGTCTCCAAATCAAATAATTCAAACTTCCATTATAATCAGATTCATGATCCTTAAATGATAGAATCATAAACTATATATCAAACAGTAATAAAAATGAAACCATCCCTTAATTCTATATACAAAAATTAGCAAGTTCAAATATGCTATTATATTTGAATTCTAATGAATTTATATTGATAAATTTCCAAAATATAAATTTTATATTTTGTTCTTTTGTTATTTAAATTTCTATACTTTTTAATTCCTAACATTCATTTGCCCATGTTTTAACATTTCAAATAAATGCTTTTTTTCTTACATTTAAAATCATTGCCCCTTTTCTATTCTTAACAACTGTTGAATTATATTAATTGATCAATTTTTGCATATCTACATATCACATACAATTTAATTTTGAAGCTATTTATTTGCAAGATTCATAAGTTTGACCTTAAACAAATTATTCTCAAAATAGTTTATAGCATTTTTATCAGGATAATAATAGTTATGATATCCTTATGAAATTATATCCTATAAATGCCAATTCAAGAAAAACTAAAATATTAATTTCATTTTTTGATGAATATTTTATAAGGATACATTTATTCAATTAGTATTTGATTATAAATTGTAGTTAATGTTAATTTATCCAATCAAAATTTTTCACTTAGATTTTTTAATTCATCCACTAGATTTTTGTTATATTTGTTATTATAAAATAAATATATTACTCAAAAATTCTTCTAGAACTTATTAAAATGATATTTATTTTTAGATTTCAGATAATTTGTTATAATTATTTAAATTTCAGAATGCATTGGTAAAAATTGATCTTTTATTTTAATATTAATATATGATGAATCTCACTTGAAGAAAAATCAGATTTATTTCATTTCTAATGATGTGCAGTTTATGAATATTTATTTATTGCATATGAATACTAATATTGTGAATTTCTCTTAACATTAAGTCATTTTTTCAATTTTATTTTGTTGATTTAAAAAATTATTTAATAGCAATTTTTATTTTTTAACTCTTTTCTATTTTTATGATTTTAGATTTTCTTGAAAGTATTTATATTCTTAATCATTCAAAAAAACAAATAAGATTTAGATTTACTAAAAAAAAAAGGTTAAGCTTTAATTTTCAGAAATAATAAAGAAAATTTTTAATATTAATATTATTAAGATATATTGAAAATGATTTGTTGTAGCAGTAAAAAGAGTTAATATTAAACCTAAGAAAAAACGAAAAAGAGAAATAAAATACTCGCTGTACAAGATTTTTATTTTATTTGATAGGAATTTATAGATGAGATAAACAACGAAGCTATGACTCTATACTAATCACCAAACTAACAAAATCTTTCTAACATGTTTTAATATTCTGAAGAACCTTAAACAATTAAGTATAAAGATCTAAATAAATATTATAGATCAGGCTCAAATACAAAATTTCCAAGATCAGTTGAACGATTAGCTAGTCCTATTCCAAGAATCATACCAAGAAAAACTTCATTTAATATCTTTAAAAGTGCAAAGACAAACCCAAATACATAGTTTTTATCAACGAAAAAAGGTTTCACATTATTAGTGACAAAAAAAAATTTATGATGGTTTTCTCCTTATAATTGCTACTCAAAATTTCTTTTTATTTTTTCAAAAACTTTAGCATTAACATCAGATTAGGTGTTGAATGGAATATTTAATAAATTAATTTCAATTTTTTAATTGAATTATATCTAAAGAAAAATAAATTTCAATACTTGTAAGATTATGAAAAAGGATTCTTAAAAATAGAAATTTTCTATTTTACCTATCAAATAGTTTAAATAAATTCATTTTATATAGTTTTAGTTTATATTATAAAATACAATGTAAAACGAATTATTAAAAATTCATTGATGATGATCAAGTCAAAGTATTCAATTATTTACTATAGTAATTCTTTATCCAAAACTTTGTGAATCTCTGTTTCTAAAATATCTTTTCTTTTTTTCTAAATTATTTATTAAACAATTTAATCATCTTAATATAGCTAATATATCTTTTATTCAATTAATTAACATCAAAAATAAAATAACTAATCAATCCTTTAAACAATTTCTTGTGCTTATTCATTACTTTTAATTAAATTAGTAGTTTATGTATATGAATTTGGATACTTATAAATTAAAATGATTTTGTAATAAGAAATTTTAATTATTAATAACTCTCGATTAAAAAGCTTTGAGTTTATTTTTTTTATAATTATTTAAAATGTCAAATTTCTTGCTATGAATATGCAAACCGAAAAAAAATATAAAATTATATGAATTTTTGAAAAATATTAGACTATTCATTATTATTCAAACTAAACCTAAAGAGAATGTAAAATAATAATAGCTTCAAAAGATTTTGACCAAAGAATATTAGGTGAAATTCAATCTTATTATTAAATTTATTATCTTGATGGTTCTACCTAATATCTGCTATATTGCAAAATTTGATTCTCAACTTTAATTATTAAAATTTCTTTATGAATGTTGATTAATATCTGTATAGATTAAATGATTAGATCTATTAGCCAAATTTTCCAATTAATTAGATAATAAAATTATTATATTTTACTTCTATCAAATTAATGTAATTTAGATACATAAAGCTTCAAAAAGAGCTTAATAATAAAGGTGATTTTATATTTAAAAGCTTAAATTGTTGAAAGACAGATTTTTAAATATTTAGTATTTAAATGATTAATTTAACCTTAGTAAGATGGAATTTTCAATAAATTAAAAAGATTAGTTTTTTGCTGTAGATTATTTAATTTATATAAATTAAATTAAATAAATAAAGGAATTTTTAAAATTAGTATAAATATAGATATTAGATTAAATTAAATAGAAAAAGTTCTTGAAATTGTGATAAACCTTTGTTTTATAATTTTTTTACATATTAAAGTAAAAAAGAGAGCTACTTATTTTATAGAATGAAAATGAAAAATGTTATTTATGAATTGTGATGCTACTTATAATATAAAATTATTTTTTAAAATGAATGAATAAAAAAAAAGGATGGAAAAATAAAAAAATAACAGATGTAGATTATTACACAAAGTTTATGCTTTAAAACAGGAAGCACCCTTTTTTAATATTAGTTTCAAAACTAGAGTTTAAAATATGATAAAGCAAATTCAAAGTTTTTAAAATGAAAGAAGACGCTGTAAAAGTGAATTCGAAAATTAATTTCCCTAAATTTTAAGGTTGAATCCAGTCTCTAAGCCTTAAAATGTAGCACCAACAAATTTAAGATTAAATACAATTCGTACAACTTCAAGATAAAGCAATTTTATCATAGATGGGGCTAATTAAAAAGGGAAATAACCTAAATAAGCAAGCTTAGATTAAAATCGTAGGTTTTCATCAGACCCTTTAAGATTTAATTCTAAGATTAAAACTTAAATATAAACATTTATACTCAAAGATACTATTCCAATTAAAGATCGACAGATGAAAATTGAGAAGTAGACATAATTAGAATATAATTTATTCGAGAATATATCAAGTTGGTCAAGAAAGACTTCTGAAAGCATTTTATGATTTCTTATACATTCTTTTTCTTTTTTATTGATAAGAAAAGTATGAATTGATTAATTTTATCTAATAATTAAAAATACTTCATTTATATATTTGATACAAAATTGTTAATATTTTTAATACACTGAAGAGTCAAAAAAGATTCAAAAATCAATACAATATGAAATATTTAAAGTTGAAAATTTAGAGTATCAATAAGATTAAGAAATACTTTTTNTAATATCTGCTATATTGCAAAATTTGATTCTCAACTTTAATTATTAAAATTTCTTTATGAATGTTGATTAATATCTGTATAGATTAAATGATTAGATCTATTAGCCAAATTTTCCAATTAATTAGATAATAAAATTATTATATTTTACTTCTATCAAATTAATGTAATTTAGATACATAAAGCTTCAAAAAGAGCTTAATAATAAAGGTGATTTTATATTTAAAAGCTTAAATTGTTGAAAGACAGATTTTTAAATATTTAGTATTTAAATGATTAATTTAACCTTAGTAAGATGGAATTTTCAATAAATTAAAAAGATTAGTTTTTTGCTGTAGATTATTTAATTTATATAAATTAAATTAAATAAATAAAGGAATTTTTAAAATTAGTATAAATATAGATATTAGATTAAATTAAATAGAAAAAGTTCTTGAAATTGTGATAAACCTTTGTTTTATAATTTTTTTACATATTAAAGTAAAAAAGAGAGCTACTTATTTTATAGAATGAAAATGAAAAATGTTATTTATGAATTGTGATGCTACTTATAATATAAAATTATTTTTTAAAATGAATGAATAAAAAAAAAGGATGGAAAAATAAAAAAATAACAGATGTAGATTATTACACAAAGTTTATGCTTTAAAACAGGAAGCACCCTTTTTTAATATTAGTTTCAAAACTAGAGTTTAAAATATGATAAAGCAAATTCAAAGTTTTTAAAATGAAAGAAGACGCTGTAAAAGTGAATTCGAAAATTAATTTCCCTAAATTTTAAGGTTGAATCCAGTCTCTAAGCCTTAAAATGTAGCACCAACAAATTTAAGATTAAATACAATTCGTACAACTTCAAGATAAAGCAATTTTATCATAGATGGGGCTAATTAAAAAGGGAAATAACCTAAATAAGCAAGCTTAGATTAAAATCGTAGGTTTTCATCAGACCCTTTAAGATTTAATTCTAAGATTAAAACTTAAATATAAACATTTATACTCAAAGATACTATTCCAATTAAAGATCGACAGATGAAAATTGAGAAGTAGACATAATTAGAATATAATTTATTCGAGAATATATCAAGTTGGTCAAGAAAGACTTCTGAAAGCATTTTATGATTTCTTATACATTCTTTTTCTTTTTTATTGATAAGAAAAGTATGAATTGATTAATTTTATCTAATAATTAAAAATACTTCATTTATATATTTGATACAAAATTGTTAATATTTTTAATACACTGAAGAGTCAAAAAAGATTCAAAAATCAATACAATATGAAATATTTAAAGTTGAAAATTTAGAGTATCAATAAGATTAAGAAATACTTTTTTGAAGTTATTTTATAATAATGATTTGTAGTAATAACATCTTTTTATTCAGGAAAAAATTAGTTAAACCCAAATATTTAGGCAAAAATGAATATTGAAAGAAAAAGTTTTCAGTATAAAGAAATTAAAGTTTGCTATTTAATTAACTTATTTGTTTGAATAATTTACTGTATTGTATTAATCATTTGGGTGCGTCCTTCTTTCTTTATCTTCTTTATTCAACTTATTTCTTTCTTTCTTCTTCAATTAATTCTTTTCTTCCTGCATGCCAATTTGGTCCTTTTCTCTTTTATTAAGGTCCTGTTCCAGCAACAGCTGTTCCAAATCTAATGTATTAATATTTATATCAAAAACCTTCTATTAAAGCAAATTCTTTTATAAGCTCTACCTTTTGGAATTTTGTGTCTTCTGACTTACTTTTCAACTTTTGGTGTTTGTTTTCTGACTTTACCTGCTTTGGCTAAGGTTCCGTGAAGTTTTCCCATAATAATTTTTTTATTAAAAAGATTTAAAATTTTTTGATTAATCAATTAGATTGTACTCTATATAAGGATTCTGCACTTCTAAAATGATAGAAAACACACACTAAATTAGATATTTGATTTGATTTTCCGATGGATCTATTAATATGAATTTATAAAATTATAAGAAATTCAGGAAATAATTTAAAACCATTATCAATTCAAGTAGATAAACAAAATCTTTCAAATAAAATTGCTAAATTAACTTGTAATAAAAAGTGATTTGAATTTATGTTGAAATTTTCATTAGGTTTAAAAAGAATAAATAATAAGTTTTAAATAAGAATTCTTTTTTATTAAAAAAAGTATGAAGAATAGTAGATTTACTTTAATTATATTGAAAAAAGATACAATATTGGAATAAAATTCATTAATATCTCTTTTTATAACAGATTTGGATGATTGAAATAAAATTTAATGAAATTATTTTCAATTATGAAATTCATTTACAATAATTTGTGCAACAGCATATATATAAATAACAGAATAAGTCAACCCAATAATTAATTTCAAGCAAAAAAATGTTAGTATTATAGATCTAGTTTAGAAAGTAGGTCATTTGAAATAAATTATAAAATTGATATGAGAATAAGTTTGATAAAAAAGATTGAAATATAAAGTAATGATTAAATAAGACAAATAATTAGATACAAAAAAATTCTAAAGATTGGAATGAATAAATTATTTGAAAAGAATTGATATTAATTGGCATATAAAAATGTTAGAAATAAAAAGAGGAAACTAGAGAAATGAAATAAAAGTAGAGAAATCAAAGACTAGTTTAATATGTTAATACTCCTTTAAATTAATTCGTACACCAGTAAGGTATGATTGGAATATTAAATAAAAATAGGGGAGAGTTTTGTTATCATTAGCAATGTTTTTGTTTGAATAGTTATTTAGAGATGATGAAATCAGCAGAACATAGGAAATGGGTATGTCCAATATGTAAGAAAGTGTGTTTAAATTTAATAATTGATAAATCATAGAAATTGATTTTGGATATAGTGAGAGAATTGAAATTAAAGGTTGAATATGTAACTTTAAATAATAATGTAAGAAATAAAAAATATGAAGGGTAGTTTGGATAAGGATGATGTGTTATATAAAATAATATTAGAGAAGGATTAAATTAGAAATGGATTAATTGAATTGAATGGAACAATAAATGAAATAGATGTTAATAGTGAAATAGGATATGAAGTAGAGTAGATAGAAGATAGAAATGAAGCTGAAATAATAATATGTGATTGATAATAGAAATCTTTAAAAATTATATAAATAAATTTATTAGAAAAATAAAGGAGTGAAATGGAATAACAAAATTTAACATTTTCTTAGAGACATGCTTAGAAATTTAATGGAGCATTAATAGAGATGATATCAATGTCTTTATTTGCNATTATAAGAAATTCAGGAAATAATTTAAAACCATTATCAATTCAAGTAGATAAACAAAATCTTTCAAATAAAATTGCTAAATTAACTTGTAATAAAAAGTGATTTGAATTTATGTTGAAATTTTCATTAGGTTTAAAAAGAATAAATAATAAGTTTTAAATAAGAATTCTTTTTTATTAAAAAAAGTATGAAGAATAGTAGATTTACTTTAATTATATTGAAAAAAGATACAATATTGGAATAAAATTCATTAATATCTCTTTTTATAACAGATTTGGATGATTGAAATAAAATTTAATGAAATTATTTTCAATTATGAAATTCATTTACAATAATTTGTGCAACAGCATATATATAAATAACAGAATAAGTCAACCCAATAATTAATTTCAAGCAAAAAAATGTTAGTATTATAGATCTAGTTTAGAAAGTAGGTCATTTGAAATAAATTATAAAATTGATATGAGAATAAGTTTGATAAAAAAGATTGAAATATAAAGTAATGATTAAATAAGACAAATAATTAGATACAAAAAAATTCTAAAGATTGGAATGAATAAATTATTTGAAAAGAATTGATATTAATTGGCATATAAAAATGTTAGAAATAAAAAGAGGAAACTAGAGAAATGAAATAAAAGTAGAGAAATCAAAGACTAGTTTAATATGTTAATACTCCTTTAAATTAATTCGTACACCAGTAAGGTATGATTGGAATATTAAATAAAAATAGGGGAGAGTTTTGTTATCATTAGCAATGTTTTTGTTTGAATAGTTATTTAGAGATGATGAAATCAGCAGAACATAGGAAATGGGTATGTCCAATATGTAAGAAAGTGTGTTTAAATTTAATAATTGATAAATCATAGAAATTGATTTTGGATATAGTGAGAGAATTGAAATTAAAGGTTGAATATGTAACTTTAAATAATAATGTAAGAAATAAAAAATATGAAGGGTAGTTTGGATAAGGATGATGTGTTATATAAAATAATATTAGAGAAGGATTAAATTAGAAATGGATTAATTGAATTGAATGGAACAATAAATGAAATAGATGTTAATAGTGAAATAGGATATGAAGTAGAGTAGATAGAAGATAGAAATGAAGCTGAAATAATAATATGTGATTGATAATAGAAATCTTTAAAAATTATATAAATAAATTTATTAGAAAAATAAAGGAGTGAAATGGAATAACAAAATTTAACATTTTCTTAGAGACATGCTTAGAAATTTAATGGAGCATTAATAGAGATGATATCAATGTCTTTATTTGCATATGGGTAATAAAATATAAGAATGTAGGATTGTATGTTCGAATGGAAGTGATGGTAAGATAGCGTTAGCATTTTTTGGATCTTTAGCTTTATGTGCACCAATTAGTGGTGGACATATAAACCCAGCTGTAATTTAATAATAATAAATAGGTAACATTAGCAATGTGGTTGACTAGATAAATATCAACTGGTACTTGTTTATTATATTGGATTGCTTAACTGATTGGTGCATTTGGAGGAGCATTCTTTTGTTATATGATTTTGGGATAAATAAATAGTCCAATGGTGACAGATTTGAATTTTCATTGGATTATAGCTGATTTTAGTGGTGAAGCTTTAGGATCATTCTCTTTTATTCTAATGATATTAATTTAATGTAAAAGTATGTGAATAATAAAAAGGCAATCCTAGAACAACTTTTTCTGATAAACCAATAGCTAGTATAACATTGATAGCATTATCATTACATTTATCAAGATGTTACACTTTCCATTCCGGAGGTATAAAAGGTTGATTTCGTAGGTTGCTTAAATCCTGGAATGGCAGTAGCTTTAGAATTATTTCAAGTTTTGAAAACTAATGAAGTAGAAAGATTGAATTCTATGTGGGTATTCATAGCAGGACCTTTTGCTGGCTCTATATTTGCTGTTATATTCTTTAAATTGATTTTTTAACCAGCATTTAATAGATATTATAAGAAAGCATGATATATATATATATATAAATTAATTTTAATAATTTTAAATTTAACATCAACAACACCACTATTACACATATTACCAAACACAAATTACGGCTGAAATATGAACATTTAAAGATCTAATTACACCATATTATGGAATTTCAACACAATTATCCATTAATTCTATATATTCAATAGGTAATCCAGTCTTTTCTCTACCTAATACTAATACTGTTCTTTTGTCAAATTTAAAATTAACTATTGATTTACTTTAACTTGTTTATTCTAATGCTACTAATTAATAACCTTATAATCTTTTTAATTATAAATAATTCATTAAATGTTCTTCTTTTATTTCTGTTATTGGTAAATGTTATTCAGCACTAACACTAACAGCTTAATATTATTCATCTTATAAAATCTTTTTATTTGGTAATACTAATTCTTTACATCCAAATATTTCACAAGTTCTAGTCAAATGACCAAAGTTTGGAATTTTCTCCAATAAAGTTGCAACAACTATTATATCTCCAACAATTTATCTTGGTTAATAAGCTTTAAATAAATCAAATTAATCCATTATTAAATTTATTTTCCTTTAGAAATTTAATTGTTAAGAATACTATGTACTTAATTATTATCTTTCTACATATTAAAACCAAGGAGGAGGAGGATTTTCACTCATATTATCTTCACTTTTTAATTCAGCAATTGTTTAAGTACATGTATTCTTTAAAATCTCAATTATTGATGGATGTATAATCTCACCAAATGTATCAAATTATATTTTTGCTATTCCATCTAAATCAAATGTTAACATCAATTTCTCATATCTTTCTATTAAAGCACTTATATTCTTTATTATCTTTTAACATTCTCTATTACTTTCAAAATATTCAATAAAATCTTTATATTCTAATTTCTATCTCTTTATATATTACAAACAAGTTGTCTAACAAAGTGATCTTATATATGCTACATTTGAACTAACTAAAGGAAATAATTTATCAAAAAACTTTTATGAAAACTTACAATTTTCTTAATTATGTAATAAGAAAATACAAGATATAAAAGTAGTTGGAATTTAAATATTTACTTTTAATTTTGGATCACTTAAAGTTTAAATTAATCTTGGAGCCCATATATCTGGATAATTATCTATTAAAAAACTCATCATTAATTCAATATATTATCTATATTAAGGATTATTCAATGTATCAAAAGCTTTCCATATTAATTATTCTAATTCAACTAAATATTTCTTATCATTACCAAAAACTTTTTAATAATTTTCTGGCTTTAATAAATATTTTAAACAACAAATATTTTACCAAACATGCAATTTCATCCTGAATTATTTTGTGTATTACATATATGCATTCTTATATCTATCTTTTATTGATACTTCTATTAAAAATTTTATATAATTTAATAATTCTTTCTCATATCCTCCCTACTTCCCTAATTCAAAAAGGAAAGTAAATACTAAAAATCTTGGATATGCTCCATAAAACTCACCTTTACATGAAATTAAATGTTTAACATTATTAGCCAATGGAACATACTATTCTGATGATTATAATATTTCACTAGAATCATATCCTCTTAATTCACTACCCTTTATTAACTTAAATAAAACGTAATAAAATGTAGGCAATCTTTTTGGATGTTTATTCAAACATATTATTAAATTATTTGCTATTTTTCTCTATATCACCCATTACTTTTAATGCTATTTCATTATTACTCTTATTATCACTTCAACTGTCTCATATAATTCTCCTTCAAAATAACATGGATCTATTATAAAATCTATATATGCTAATATTTCCTCTAAATTTGTATGAGTTCCAAAAACATGCATCATTTACTAAAATGAATTTATTGCTACTTATTTAAATTACTCACTATATTCTCTATTAAATGCTATTTCTGGACCATATACTGATCTTAATAATTAATACAAAGTTATTGAATCATAAGCATTAAATTAATCAGTTATATCAATTATGTTTTCAATTAAATTCTATACTTAAACATTATATTCCTAGGGTTTGTGATTTACTTCTCTAAACAAAGTTAAAATATGACTTAAATAATGCAATCTTAAATTTTTTAATTGTCTATCTTATTCAATACTTTGTAATTTATTTAATAATTGTAATCCATATTTTAAAAATAATTCTTCAACAAATAAACCACTTTTATTTCTCTTTGCTTATTATAATGCTATATTTGTAGCTTTTAAAGTTTTTATTAATAATTCTAAATGAACAATATTAAAATTATCAAATAATTATTAGAATAAAAACCCTACAAATTTACTCATATACTATGTCAACAATGGAACTGTTTCAAAATGCTATAATGAAGATATCCATAATTCTTCAGTTACAATCATTGCTCCCTCTAAATCCAAAGTTAAATAAGCAAATAATCCTGAACTCATTTACTCTAAAAACTAAACTTAATTCGAAGTTTTTAAAATATAATTTAATTACTCTAAAATCTTATGTTTCGTTTCTGTTTGAGTATAAGTACTTGTGTAAATTTATTATAATTAAGAAATTATTGGTTAATAAAAGGTCATGAATAGTTTAATATCTTAAGTTAAAAAATATATTATTGCAAATTAATGATAATTTGAATTAATATCAAATGTTTTTTATTATTCTTACACATAAATTAAAAAATCTTCATTAATCAATTATTTTAAAAGTTCTCCTATATTATTTAAAAAAAGACAATCAAAAGGTATAACTTTAATTAGGTAAAATAATATTTCAGGATTATTATTCTACTTAAATAAATGAAGCACAGCTTATAATAATTATATTCTTTTTCTCAAATTTAATCTCATCAAATTTTATTCAATAAATTAAATAAGTAATGAAAATTATGAAATCTAAACTTTTATATCTTTCAAAGCTACACTGAAAGCTCCAACTGCCAATGGATATTATATATGTTAAACCATTTATATAATAACATCATCAATGTAAGGAATTTTTGTTAAGAATTATTTTAAAAGGTCAAAAAATTTAGAATCTCCTTCCAAAGGAGTATCAAGATAAAACACTGGTTTATTCAAAACAGGTATTATTATTTCTATAATCAATGGTTTTAAATATTCAACATCAATTTATTTTTTAAATAAAGATTTAATACAATTCTTGATAGTTTTTTCATTAGTATGTTATGCAGCTTTGTTGATTAGAATGAATAATGGTTTTATATATAGGAATAACTATCTTTTCAATTCATTATCTAATTTAAATTATTATTTTTATGTAAAAGGATCCATCTTTACCCAAACATCTTTTGTTAAATGAGTCCCAAAACTGTCTAATGTGATAAATAAATCTGTAAATAATTTGAAATGTTATTATATTTTTTCATCATCAATATTAAGCAAAACTTCGTTTAAAACTGCTACACATATTTTATTATTAGTTAAATCAGAGTTTACTTAATATGAATCATGAAGGGCTTACCAAAATTATTCATAAAGCATTAATTATTTCACATTTTTACTAAATAAAGCTATTTTTATTAATTCGCTACAATGTAATTTGAAATCTATATTCTTTGGATTATGTTATTAAAAAATCTAAGGTAAATATTATACAAATTTCAATCTAATTTCATCATCATTTATGATAAATGCATAAATTATTGATCTAATTTCTTAAAATTATTAAGCAACAAATTTTTAGCTTTTTTCAGTATAAATATCTTCTGAAAATAAAACAAATTCCATAGCTCTTTCTAAAACCCATTATTTTTGAACTTTTAACAAAGAAAATAAATTCTTGTATAATTTTTTAACTTTTTCAACTATATTCATTGTTTGATCATTTACATTCAATAGACTTTCATAAATAGGTTTAACTATTTTCTCTACATATCCTTATGTTGATATATATTTGGAACATAAATCTTTTAACTATTCTTCAGTACAAATTGAAAGTATTCTTTTTGTGGCTATAAATCAATAATCTATATACTTTGTAGATTGTCAATTGAAATTTCAAAAGTTCTTTCAATTAATTCCATGGAAACTTCACATTTTAATCTTTTGTAACATAATATTAAGATATCAATATTAGGTTAAGATATCCATTCAGATTTAAGTTCATTTGTTAAAGCTTAATTTAATGCTTCTTAAACTTCTTCTTTTTAATATTTATGAACACAAATATCAATTAAAGGTTTTAAAGATACTTATTTACCAGCAGACTTTTTTTGCTCCACATATTCCTAAACTTGTAATAATTCTTTCACAAACATTCGCAAATTAAAATTTTTATTAATAAATAGTTAATTAATCATTATTATCCTCTGAATTCTTGTATTTTTTCTAAGGTTGATTTTATTTCCATCTTAATTTATTTAATAATATTGATATTCTTTTCTGGTAAACTAGAATAATACTCATATTCCATCATTTTTAATTGTAAATATTGATTTAATTCATTGATGGACTAATTGGAATTCATCTAATCTGGTATATAAATTTTCTAATCCTCCTTTATTGTTTCTTTTTTAGGAGTGATCTATCTTTATGCTCTTTATTCAATCTGTTAACTTTTTGGGTATTATTAATTTTATTATTAATCTTGAGATTCTTGATAAATCTTAGGTTATATTCGATTCTATCTTTTTTATTAAATCCACTATTCAACATTATTGAGATTTCCATTTTCTTTATTTAGTTTATTTTTCAATTGAAGTTTTCGAGTCTCTGAATTCCAAAATCTAAAATAAATATGAAGACTTCTTTATTAAATTTATTTAATATTCTAACTAATTGTTACATTTTTCAAAATTGCTATTAAGATTTTGTGTTTGAGTTATTAAATTTTTTAAGATCTAAAATTATTTGCCATTTCTTTTTTGTAATGCAAAGTTACTAATCTTTTACTATTTTAAATAAATCCATTAAAATATTTTCTAAGTAAGAATTTATAATTGAAGATCAATAATTTTTTGTAAAACAAATCTCTTTTGTATTTATAATTTTTTGAACCATTCCAACATCTAATCCAACGATAAAATGCATTTTTCAATAAATTTTGGTCTTTTGAATACATCATAGACATTATAGATTATCTATAGATTGTTGTCAATCAATACCTTTACTTTATTTATTTTTGTGTGATTTATTTCCATTGGCGAAATATTTCAGAAAGGAATTAAAATTGATTATTCATTTATTATATAATAATTATTTATAATATGGTTACATGTATTGATTCTCATAATTAGAAATGTTCTTGTGCTTTTGAAATATCTTCAGTTGAACGGTCCTCATCTTGCTAGATGGTTTCCTTTATAGCGTCATTATGAACAGCTAAAACAGCTCTACCTGATTCATCTGTATTTTTCTTGAAAGCGTCATCCCATTCTAATGCCTAAAGATTAATAAAATTAGCTTACTTTTTCGGTTGAACAAGCTATAGATTTTGCAAATGGAACAGTTAAGACAGCACTATCACTTTGGAAATAAGAGGAGTATATCTATCTAAACCAGTATTGCTCTTTATTTCTGGGAGTGGAAATAGGATATTTGATTGATGCTTGAGAAAACTCTTAATCAGAGATTAAATGATTGGCTCTCTTTATAATACCATCTCTCCAATTATATCCAACACCATCACTAAATTGTTCTTTTTATCTCCATAAGATATCTTAGGGAACAAAAGGATGTTCTAAATCCTCAAATGCTTTTCTAAGAATGTATTTTTCCATTTGAGGTTCAAAGGCATTGATCATTTTATATTTAGGATCAATTTACATAACATATTCAATCCATTATTTATTCATAAATGGAGGTCTTGTTTCAATACCCCAGGCTAAACATGCTTTATTTGCTCTTAATAGATCATATTTATGAAGATCATGAAGCTTCCTAATCAATTCTTAATGAAACTCCACTCTATTTGGTGCTTTATGAAAATATAGATATCCACCAAATAATTCATCGCTTCCTTCACCTGTTAAGCATATTTTTATTCCTAAAGCTTTGATTCTTCTGCACATCATGTACATAGGTGTTGATGCTCTAATAGTTGTATTATTGAAAGTTTCTGTATAATAAATGACTTCAGGAATGTAATCTAATCCTTCATCAACAGTGTAAGTGAATGAATGATGTTCAAATCCATGAAAATCAGCAACCTTTTTGGCAAAATGTAAATCTGGAGATCCTTCTAATCCTATACAAAAGGAATGAACTTTTCTCATTCCTCTCTTACTTAAATCTATATCTCCTTTCTTTATTAATTTAGCAACTATACCAGCAACTATTGAAGAATCAACACTATAATTTTTTTATTTATATACGTACCCTCCTGAAATAAACAATCCAAATGGAGCATCTCCTTGAACTTCTCTTTTAACTACTTCTATAAACCTATCTCTCAATTCTTCAAAATTTATTTCTCCTGTTGGAATTAGATCAAAGTTATGCCAACTTGGATTATACCATCTTTTAATAGTACAGGTTTCATCAATATAATGTCCTAAATACTATTATTTTAATTTACCTGGAGGGAACTATTTAACTTCAATGACTTAGTCATGAATTCCTTTTAACTCTGATGATAAAAATAGGGATCCATCTTTATTAAATCCATAATATAGAGGGACTATTCCTATATGATCTCTTCCCGCTTGAAATGATTTTGTGTTCATATCAATTAAAACTGTAGCAAACATTCCATTGAGGTGATTCCAAAAAGCCCCTGGTCCATACTTTTTTTTATATATAATTCTTACTTCTTTATATAACATTCCTACTATTTCTGTATCTGAGTTACTACTAAAGTGGTATTTCTTCTCCAATTCTGGTCTTACATCCCAATAATCATAAAGCTCACCATTTTACATGTAGAATATGTTATCATCATCAATCATTTAAAAAGGTTGCCTTCCTCTATCACTCAAATCAACTAAGCCTAATCTTTCGTGGGAAATTACATGATATAACCCTGGACTTACTTCCTAAAAATTACTAAAATTTATTACAAGAACTATTATCTTTGATCTATCTGGACCTCTATGTCGTATTCTTCTAGAAAGCTCATAAGCTCTTGCTCTTACTTATACTTCTGTTCCTTTTATATTTAAAATAGCCAATATTCCACACATCTTAATCACTAAAAGATTAAATACTTCCTATTACTTTTGCAAAGACTTTTATATTACTAATACTCCGTAGTTTAATCTTTTCATCATTAATTAATTGACGAACAAACTACAATGTTTTACATATTATATAAAAACAATTTAATTTGATTTATAATAATTTTCATTATTTAATATTATCAATTATTTATATTTAAATTCAAATTAAATTCATAATTAAAGTTAAAATCTACTTATAATATTTAGTAATTTATAATTCTATCATTATTTTCGTAATGTTGCTTGTTTCAAAATAGCTTATATTCCAAATATAATCTTTTCTTAAAAAACTAAAATTTATTGTTTTTAATTAAATTCATATCAAAAAAATGAAATAGTCTCCTTTTTGTTAATAGATGAAAAATTCAAAAAAATTTAAGATTTATTCTATTTTTAATAATCCTCAAACCCTTAAAAATATTCAGAATTACTAAGTTCTAATAATTTTAAAAAACATAGACACATGTATTTTTTTAATTCATTATTTATAATTTTTTCAAACCTCAACTTTTATGTAATATATTCAAGATTCACTATTCATTCAAAAAAATGCTCTTATTTTTTCTTGGGTAACATTAATTTATTATTTATTTAATACTGCTTGCTTATAAATTATCTATCAATAATGTGTGAACTTCAATTAATGATTAGACAATATGAATTATAAATTTGTTTTAAAATAAAAAGATAAAATGTTATTTGAATTTAATGCTCTAACAAATATTTAATTAATTTTTGTAAATTAATAAAAAGAAGGGAGCATCAGGGTTCGCACCTGAGACCTACAGATCTGCAGTCTGCTGCTCTGCTACTGAGCTATACTCCCTAATTAGTTTTTTTACTTATCATCCAACTTAAGTAATAATTGTAATAAGTATATATATAATAATCATTTTTTCTCTTTCATATTTTAAATTGTAATTTAATTATACAAGTATGTATTCTTTCCAAAAGGTAACTTTTCTTGTATTTTGAACTTGGCAGATATCTTCGAGTATCTAGTATTCTATTTTTAATCATTTAAATATTTAAGTGAATTCATTCTTCTTGGCAAGTGATAAAATGGATTTTTTCCAATATTTGTTCTAAAAATACTATATCCAAAAAGCTTTTTGTAGCTTTTAACCATATGCATAACATTATTTTACAATGGATCAGCTGTTTTATTAGAGTTATTAAATCTAAATTAAAATAAATCAAATAAATCCTCAAATTTACATTCTTCCTACCATATATTAAAAGATTCTTAAGATAATTCATCATCAGATTAATTGTATTCTTTTTCATCTTTTATCTAAGTAACAATATTTTATTTTTATAAATTTTCCTCGATAAAAGAAATTGATCTTTTTTAAATTTTTACTTCAAACTAATTATTATTGCTCTTTAATTTGGAAGCTAAATTCATAAAAAATATTACGGGTTGTATTTTGTCTGTAGCTTCCTTTTGGATTGTTATTTTGGTTCGTTTATAGAATATTTTGAGAAGTAGGATTCTTAAATTATTTAGGTAAATAATTTTCTTTATTACCTGAGGTTTTCATAATTTATTAAATTAATTGTGTTTTTTGACTTCGAAGTTCACTTCGAATTATGAACTGAAAAAATATAAGGATAAAAATATTGTAAAAGCTATTATTTAAAGAAAAAATTAAAATATTATAATTTTTTTACTTTTCTTAATATTTTTTTCCTTTTTTTTTTATTAGTATGATTATTATAAGATGTTTTTAGATGCGATACAAATGGGACTTTCTAAAAGTTCTAAGAGAATCTTTTTTTGGCAATTTAGGGGGGATTTAGATTTTTAAAGTGTTAAAAATTTAAAATCATTTGATAAATTTTTAGGGATACTTTTTTTTTAAGTCATATCATATTATTGAACTATTATTTTTATATTCATTTTTTATAAAATTTTTTGAAATTTTTCTTCCATAATTCTAGAAAATCCTTGAGAAAAATCATTAAGATAAAAATATCTATTTAAATAGTTTGAATTAAATGATTATATAAATAAAAAGAAAGTTTTTAAAATTAATAAAATAAAATAAAAAAAGGTGTAAGGTTGTTATTAAAAATCAAATTTAGTTTTTTTTATTCTTTTGAATTTAAATGGTAGTTTTTTTTGAAGGAATTATAAAATTAAATATATTTATTTGACGATGTATGTTTACGTTTTAATATGAAAAAATAAAAAGTAAAAAAATACTATTATTTTTAATGATAAAAATCTTAATCATTTCTTTCCATAAGAAGTTGAGTTGGCCATTTCTAAAACTTATTATTTGAAAATATGAATAACTTCATCAATGATTGCATTTTCCTCTAAATTAATATATTTAATTTATACCATTTCTTCTATTTAATTCAGTTTCATATAATTCTCTAAGTTCTTATAATGAGGCAGTTGCAGCATTAATAGCATTTTAAGAATCTTTTAAGACACTGTTTGCTTTAGCTTAAACGGCTAAGGCAGCTTATTCTTACTAAAGAATAATACATAATTGATTACCACTACTAGTTTATCTTATAATTAAGTTTTTCTTTAGATTTCATCATTAAGATGAGCAACTTCAGATTCTGTATCTGCTAACCAATCTGCTAATTAATAATAAGCAGCGATTTCATTAGCTTCTAAATTAGCTAAAGATGATCTTAATTAATCTTCAAGATCAGATAAAGCATTATAGACCATTTAACCAACATTAAGACCTGGTTATCTATCAGATGATGATGATCCATTTTCTTATCCTAATGCGTGTAATTCAGCATTTCCTGAAGCTTATTCTGCAGCTAATTATGCAAATTTAGTCATAGCATCTTAATTAAATAATTGACTATATTATTTCAATTTATCTGAAACATTTTGAACATTAATTTCAACCATAGATGTTGGTTAACCAGTTAAATATCCACTTAAATCATTCTTTAATACTCTAATAACTCCTAGGGCATCATTATGTTATTTAATAGCTCTAACAAATAAACCATTTGAAAAGCATCTCAATTCTTATAATTCAACTGATCTTCTATCAATATCAGCTAATCTTTAAGTTGCCCATGCTATATAATCTGTTGCTTCCTAAACAATATATTATTTAATAATATTACTCTATATTCAATTCCTATTTATTCTCTTCTAGCTTTTGCACTAGCCCATGCTTTTTAATTTAATTCGTTCACTTTTGAAAGAGCAGCTATTCTAGCTTATCCAATCTCTTCATCTGAAATATTTTTTTCATCGGCAACACCTTAGGCTTCAATGTTACTTGTTTTTAAATCATTCAATAAATCATATACTGCCTAAACTGCATCATTAGATTCTGATCCTGTCTAACCTTTTTATTCATATTCATTACCTATAACAATAGAGAGAAATCTATTTCAAAGGCTTATGTACATACCAAAGCTAAAAGTCCAACAATTATGAATTTATTCATTTATGAATATTAATAATTGTATATTATATAAAAACGGGTAATAATTATTAATTAAATATTCTTTATTTTCATTAATTTAACATCTTCTCTAATTCTCCTACTTTTTTCTCCAATAAATTCATATGAGTTGTCTACTCTAATCTTAATTCTATAAATTTTATTTATTATTAACTCAAAAATTCAACCAAAGGCTTCCAATCTATATTTTATCTTCTCACTAATGATACAAATTATTCTACACTCTTTTCAAAATCTATTTTTAATAATTCAACTATTTAATTTATATGAGTATCTCTTGATTTCTTTTATTTTGCTAAATTATTTTCTTACACTTCTAAAACCCATTATCTCAAAATTGATTTATCATTTGTTAATTACATTATACATTAACTAACTCTAGTTCCATCATTAAAATGCAAAAGATATATTACTGTGGATTTTAATGCTTTTAATAAGAATTCTTAAGACTCTTATAACTCTTAATTTGGCTCAGGTTTTGAACATAAAATCAAATATTTATTTAACTTTTCTAAAATAACTTATAATTATTGCCATTAAAATTAGCTTTTTACTTATCCTACTGATTTACTTAAACATTTTGTTATTAAAGTATAAAATTATTTAGTTTATTTTTCTGATTCTTTTACTTTTATTAATATATCTAAAAAAGCTATATATAAATTAGATAATTCTTAATTATTTAAAATCTTTATTAAATTTTGATTTATAAAGTTATAACAACTTTTTTGAGCTCCATCTTTGTTGATTGTCTTTGTTGACTCTTCAACCATTTTAAAAATTAATATATCAAAAATGATATAAAATTTATCATATGATATATGTTTCAAGAATTAACCTGATGACAATATGTGCAAAAGCTTTTCTAATACTGAATTAAGTTTATCATAAGATTATTCTTTTATAAAATTATTTAATAAATATATTGTTTAATCTGCAAATTGTTAAGGATTCTCAAAATTATTTGTTTCTTTAAATTTTTAATATATCTATTAAAATATTTTATAATTCTAATCCATTTCAATTTCCATTTTATTTGAAATACTTTGTTGTTATTGAAATTAATTTTTATTTCCACTATTTATCTATTAGTTAATTTATGATATTCCATTGAAATTTAAACCCTAAGCTTGAAATTTTTTTTTTTCTGAATTACTTTATTCATTTTTTTATTATTCTACTGGAAAAACTGGATTAAACCTTTAAAAATTTTAAATTTGATCTTCAATATTTTAAGGTTTCTAAATAATAATAGAAGAATTTTATAATTATTGAGAACTAGCTTAAACAATTTATTTATTAATAATTAAACTCTCTTCTTTCCAAATAAAAGATATCAATTAAGCAATAAGTTACTTTTATTATAAAGTACTGCTTACACTCCAATCACTTGAATTGTCTATCATAATTTATATTAATTAATTTGCTTAAGAATTAGATAATTCATCAAAATCTTCGAATGCAATCAATTATGGTGATTATAAACAAAATTTTTAGTATTCACCCAATAAATTCATTAATAAAGGCAGCGTTCTTTAAGCTAATTTTGATACTCCATTCTTAAAATATACTAAAATCATCATTTTAATATAAGAAAAGATTATCTGTTATTCTAAAAAAGTAGGTTTATGCTAAGTTATTAACATTTAGAATAATTAAGAAATTTCTTATTAGAAAGGAATATTTTCTTTCATCCAAGAAATCAGATAACCCCATTTAAAAAATATTTCTCGAAAATCACCAGGGAATGGTATTTTAGTTCTGATATAATTTGCTGCCATTTAATTTTATTATATGTTATAGCTAAACATTTTTTCATAAAGATTTTATGGAATTTAAGGAACTTTTAATTGTACCTTAATTCTTTCGAAATGCTAGTCACTAAATGTGTTTAAAGGAAAAGGTAATATTGATTTATCCTAAGACTAAGCTTTTTTAACGTCAAATAATTATTATAATGCATTCTAGCATTCTTAAACTAAGGATCTTGTTTTCATATTAGATTGATTTTAATAATTTTTAAGAAACTCTGAAATAATCTATTAATCAATATTTTTTTCACTTTATGGTATGTATTTTAATAGAATATTTAGAACTTCAAGAAGTTAATTTTAGGTTGATGCATTTTTAAAGGTTATTATTAGTTATGATAGATGATTAGGTTTATATACCTAAGCACATTTATCGAATAACTAATAACATAAAGATTTTTACTCTGCCATTTTATCTATGATAAATTCCATAGTGACACTTAAAATATATTTTGACTATTAAGTAATTTATAGTAAAATATTTCCTAATTCATTTTAATCTTTAGTTTTGGAAGATTTATATTGTTTTAAAAAAGCATCAGCTTAATTAGAAGTCATTGTCGTTGTATATAATAATTCTTAGTTATCATAGCTATTTTATTTATTGATTTAAAGAGGTTTATTTATGTTAGTTTATAAAAATTATTATTTCGAGGAATTAGGAGTAGTTGTTGTTGTTTATTATAATTATAAATTTTCTTTATTTGGTAATTATTATGGTTATGGAAAATCATTTCCTGAAATAGCTCTAATCCCTTCCATATATATATTTACTTAGTTTAAATATTTAATTTATTTATCACCTTTTAAATCAGTTGCCATAACTCCATTATATAATTTTGCTGATATTTTAGCCAACAACATAATTGATTTGGCTCTTACATCAGCATTACCATCTTCTGAAAGTTTTTTGCAAATTGGAATTAATTATTTAATACATTAAAGTTTGTTCAATTTATCTTTAGAGGATTCGTCTATATAATATTCAATAATATTAAAGACATTAACTTTAGAACCTGGAGCCTTATCGTCTAGTAGGGCTTTTAGTTCTTCAAAAATTTCATCAAGATTACAACTATAAAAAAGTTTTTTGATAGCATTAATAGTTTCATCAACAATATTCTATTTTTTATCTTTCAATTTAGTCAAAACTGGAAATATGATTATTTTAGCATACTAATTAAAGTTTTTCCTTAAACCATTAGCCATACATCCAATTATTTTGATACATTATGTACTTATAATCATTTATTATTCATTCAATAATTTCTTTAATAATTATACTACCGAATATATATTTGGAGACGGTAATATTTTAGGAACAGAACATGATTTCTATAGATTGTCTAATTACTCTTTTTTTTCTTACCATTTTTCTATTTAAAATACTTTTTCACACCATGTATCTGTATATTTTGCAAAAACTTCAACAGCTTCAACTAAATCATATAGTTCTTAATTATTAGTATCAGCTTCTCCATCTTGATTTGGTGCTTTTTATACTTCTGTTATAGTTTCAGCTAATTTTTTCAAATCTTATTACAATTTTTCATTTAAACCTCCAAAAAATGCTTCTATATTTTTTCCATACCATTTTGTTACTTCTTTGTAAAATGCAATAGCATCTACTTTAATTGTGCTTTATTAAGCTTCTGTTAATTTAGACATTACAGGAAAAAATGGTTTTAAATTGTCTAATTTTTTAAGGCCAAATTATTATAATAATTCTGTTAACAAGGCTATTGTTGCTTAAACAACTTTTGGGTTTTTATGCATTAATTGTAAAATAATAACTTCAAAAATAGAAGTTTTACAAGTTGAAAAAAGTTATGTTACAATTAAATGACCAAGTTATTTTAATTTCTATTGTGTTAACACTTTTTCTAATAAAACTTTAATTGTTTCTTTTTATTATGATGAATCTAATTAGTTGTGATTTTCAAAATATTTTAATGCTATCTAAAGTGCTTTCTCTTAACATTATATGTGAATATCTTAAATTATCGATATCACACATTCACAATCAAGATCTTCATCATTAATTAATTCTTCATAAGCTTAAAGCCTTACTTTCCAAACTTTAGATTTAACTCTTTACTTTAATGGTAAATCAACTTTTTCTTATTATTAAGGATCGAAATCTATTAGATTAATAACTAAATTACCTGGAGGAAACTCCTCTAACATAAAATTCTTTTTTGACTATCCAACCGGCAATTCATCTATTTGCATTTTGAATTTATTTTATATAAAATTTTAATTCCTGAACAAATTATTGTTAAATTATTCATTATATAATTTATTAGAGTAATTTTTTTGTCAATTAAATTTATATGGAAATGGAAACTCTTAAAAGCAACTATTTGTATCAATTTTGGCAAAGTAATAATCGAATTCTGTTCAATGGTCGTATAATGATAGGGCCTAAAACAGACATATTAGTACAATATTAAAAAATATATCTAGGCTAATGTATTTGTTTGGGGATTACTTGTAATTGTTCCGATACCATTTAATATATATGCTTGGTCTAAAACTTGGGAAATATCTCCAAGTTTACCAATTTTAACACTATTTTTGTAGATAATTTGTATTATATTCCTCATACTCACATCTATAACTGAACCCGGAATCATTCCTAAGAAACAACTATAGCTAAGAGCAGGATCTAATTATTATTTAGAAGAATTTCAAGATTCAAGATTTTGCGAAACATGTGAAATTTATCGACCACTTAGAGCTTCACATTGTAGGTAAATTTTTAATTTATTTTAGTGATTGTAACAATTGTGTATTAGTCTTTGATCATCATTGCCCTTTTGTTAATAATTGTATTGGAAAGAGAAATTATAGGTATATATAGAAAATATACAAAGATATTTCTTTAGCTTTTTAGTATCAATTTTTGCATTTGCTTTGGCAGTTGTAATATAATCATTGCTATGCCTTTCCACAGTAAATGATTATAAAGATTAAAAAACATTAATTGTACTATTTTTAGTACCTGTTATCATAGCCTCAATAATTGTTTTTGTATTTTTTTTGTTTCATGTTATTCTAAGAATAACGTAAATAATTATTTTATAGTTTTAGGGGTAAAACAACAAGAGAAAAATTAAAATAAATATCCAAAACAGGAGATGAAGATTTTGATTGGTTGAATTTGAACGATAGCTTATTTCAATTGAGACTTTTAATTTGATTAATATTTTTATTATAGATCTAACTGTTAATTTCATGAATGATTCTTTGGGATCTCTGTCAACTAATGATTCTTCAGAAGGACAAGCTAGAAAAAAAAAGAAAAGCTATGTAGTACCTAAAAAGGCAGCTCGATAAATTAATATTAGTTATAATGAAGTTGTCCAACTGCTTAATCCATAGAATTTGTTTATTAACAAAAATTTAGAAGAAAAATTCAATGTCATTCAAATGTATTGTTTCATCTTATCTCCATAGAATTAATGAATCTTCATATTTTCCTGACTTCAAATTTATATTTGATGAAAATTTAGTTTGTTCAGAAATAAAATGGGATCGTTTACCCTCACTGATCAAATTAACATCATGATTATTGTTACGTCATTTAGTTAGAAATTATTATATTATTTGTTACTATAATTATTTATAAGCATTGCACCTCTATACAGTAAATAATAAATATCTCATAAATTTTATCTAAATATCTTCTAATGAATATTATCTGGTCTCTTCATTTTTTAAATACTCCTTTCATTTCAAATATACATTATTTAAACATGGAAATTTTACTAAAAGAATTGTAAATAAGAAGAATAGCTCAATCAAATTAAACCTTTATTTTATAGTTTTATTAGAAAGAATATTAATAAAATTATTTTTTATTGAAACTAAAAAAAAGAAGAATCTTAGTTAAGATGCTAATCTCCTTTTTTCTCAATTTATTAATTAAATTTATTAAAATTACTCTAATAATCATTTACTCTTTTTTTTTTTTGTAAAAAAGAACTTAATAAATTTCTTTATCAAATCTCATAAATATGGAAACCTTGGTTTTATTATATGTTTCAATTTTTAAGTTTCTAATCAAATATAATTTATATATTTATTTTATTTTAAATTTGTTTAAAAAATCATAACTTTTTCTATAACCTAAGGATATCAGATCACTAAGTATGCATTCTACTTTTAGGAAAGTAAATAATTTGAAAATCCTTTACTTTATACATCAACAATTTTTTGATAGCATAATCGATAATATATAAAGATAAAGATATCTTTTTTATATTATTTATTTATGAGATGGTTTAATATATTTGAATTTATATAAATAACCTTGTATTAATTATTATTGTAATAAAATGAATAATTAATTTGGATTAAATTAAGATTATATAGAAGACATAGAATTAGAATTAGAACTTTTTAAAAAAACAATAGATTTGAATTATAATAAGATTTCTTACAAATTTGGAACAACTAATAGACTATCTCCTAAAAAATTAGAAATTTATAACTAATATCATCTATATAACAAATTATATAAAAATGAAAAATAAAGAAAAAGTATTTAATAAAAAGCTTAGACTATATGTCCATTGACAGCTAGAAATTTTATGGATAATAACGGAAAATTTATAAATTTTTCAAAAAATAAAGTGTATGATAAAATTAAAGGAAAACATTACATTATGTAATTGGGTAGAATTCCAGGTTCAAGTAGATCAAAAAGTTCAACATATAAGAGTTAAAGTTGTTAATATACATAATAATCATTTTATCAAGGGATTCGGATGTAAAATATGAAAATTTCAACTTCTCCTATGTCAGAAAATAAAACTTGTGAATAAATTTAAAAAGCTTGTTCGGATTAATTGAAAGAATAAAAGGAATTAAAAGGAATATTTAAAACTTTGCAAAATTGGAATACAAATCAATATGAATATAATTTGAAAAAAAGACCATAAAGTTGTATTTAGCATAGAAATTAAGAACAAAGAAACAATAATTTAATGAATTAATTTACTGAGAATATTTTCAAGCTTTCAAGTACCTTTAAAGACTGAATCAATTTTAGTTTACTAAAAATAGTAATATTAAAAATACATGGATTTACTAAACTACATAATTTTCGCTTGCATTAGAGGTAGATAATTAAAACCATTCTGCCATATATTTATCATAATCTAAATTTTCACTCCAATCAATTAGATTTTATACTTCTTTATCAAATTCATCCTTAGAATAAGTAAAAATCATACATCCTCCATTTCTAAATATTATTTAGTTTAAGTAAAGAAGTCTTATTATTATTAAACTTATTTGGATTATTGAGTTCCCTCTTTTTATTTTTAAATACTCTATGCCCATTTTAATTTATTAAGTCTTGTCTTTTTATTAACTTTTTCTTCTCTTTTATCTTTTTTATGGTGATAATATCTGATTTTGTTGGCAGTGTATAATTCAACAAAATCTGCTTTAATCATTTATTTGTTTGAGATCTATAAAAATGTAAATATAAATAATAACTGGTCTCCATCCATTATTATCTAATCTTAAATACCATCCTTGATTATCATATTTTTATTAATTCTTCTTATATTCTGAGTATGCAACTTTTTCATGTGGAATTGGATCTCTTTATAATGATGAATAATCTCTAGGAGCAAAAGCATTAAGATCTACAATTCCTCCATGACTATATATTTTATAATAAATAATGGGAGGAAATTGCTAAAAAGATAAAATAAATAATATACTTCTCCTCCAAGTCTAAATCTAATATGTGATTTACAAGCAGCATCTAATAATTGAGCTTCATTTGGATTAATAGCTTTTAATAATCTAGCAGGGTTTCCTCTAATATTAACAGTTATAGTTATACTTGCATTTAAATAAAATAATATCTTTGTAGTATTGGAATATTTTTTTATTAGTAAATGATCTCCATGCTCTAAAATAGAATGATGGAGTTGTACTTTTATATTTTTCTGGCTTTTTAATCTTCCATAATAATTAATATTTATATAAAATATTAAACATTCCGTTAATGTCTACAAAAATAACAATCTATGGTATAATAAATCATGAAGACTCTGATCTTTTCGAGAGTGCAGGATCATTAACATTAAGAACACCTAGGAATGTTCCGAATTTCAATGAAACCACTTAATTAACAATTCCAGGTTACGTCAAATAAATATGTGCAGGTCAATCTCATATATTGGCTTTAACATAAGATGGAAATGTATATAGTTATGGATCAAATTAATTTGGATAAAGAGGTTCAATAGGACCAGGATTTCAATTAGTAATGAAGAATGTCCTATAGATAGCAGTAGGTTTATATCATTCAGTAGCAGTTACTAAAGATAATAGAATATATGTTTGGGGAAGAGGAACAGAAGGTTAATTAGGATTAGGAGATACAGAAAACTTAGAAAAACCAACAGAACTTAATATTTAAGGTTAAGAAGTATGTTGTGGTAGTTTTCATACACTTGTAAGAAATGGAGAAACTTGTTATGCTATGGGAGAAAATTAAAATGGATAATTAGGAGTATTAGGATAACATATAACACCAGTGAAATTAGATATTCCTGTTGATTAAATGGCAGCAGGTTTAGATCATTCTTTATTTTTATATTAAGGATAAGTAAATATTAAGTTTTTAATTTTAGGTATTTGTAACAGGAAATAATTTATTTGGATAATGTGGAGTATCTGATTAAGTAGTTAGAGAACCAGTTAAATTATAATTAAATTTTGATGTATAATAAGTTATTGCATCTATGGGTACATTTAGTTGTGCAATAAGTAAATAAGGTAAAGTATATTTTTGGGGAACTGGAAGTTGGGGTTATGCTAGAAAATGTACTCCATTAGAAGATTTATGTAAATTAGAAGAAGGATAAAAAGTATCTTAAGTTATTTCTGGAGAAAACTTTGCGATGTTAAAATGTTAAGATGGATGGTATGTTTTTGGAATGAATAAAATGCCTGAAAATTATTCATAATAATAAACACATAGAATTTAATTAAACAAAGTCAATTTAGTTGATGGATAAATCTGTGCAGGTCCTAATATTGTTTTTGTCTATTCCCTTAATTATGAAGTACAAAAAACTATATAATAAATGTCTGTTGATTAAGGCTCTTATGTATCATAATCATCAGAATAAGATTATAAATAAAGATCAAGTTATAAATAAAATACTGAATCGAGACAGTCTCATTTATTAACATAATCTGTTTCCTATTAACCAACTAGTGCTATGAAATCTTCATAAATTCCACCTTCTGCTTTAAGATAATCTTAATAAGTTACAAATATATCATAATTTTCTAATTCAGTTAATTCCTCCTCATAATATTCAAATGAATATTAGTCTAATAAAATTGATACTAAATAAGGAAAAGATTATAAGCTTAGTGATTTACTTTATAGATCTGATCATAAATAAGATATTCGATAAGAACTTAAATTAGATCTTAAATAATCTGAATAAAAAGTTAAAACAGAATCTAAAACTCCTGATAATAGAAATGATCTAAAATAAAATGATAGAAAATCTGATTATAAACAAACAGCCAAAGAAGATGAATTAAAAAATGAGTTAAAATAGGAATTGATGAAATTAGAAAAAAGACAAGAATAATTCAAATAAGAAATTATTAATTAATAATAATAATTAGATAAAAAAAATGAAAATTTAAAAGAAATTACATTTGGTTTTAAATCTGAACTCAAACCTCTTTAAGAAAGAAATATTACATAATATCCTTAAAAATGTTATGATTGTTAACATTTTGTTTAAAAAAATGAATACTATCAAAAACATATTAAATTTTAAGAAGAAGAAATATCTAATATAAAAAAAGAATTAGAAATCTTGAAAAACTAATTAAGATAAAAAGATAATTATGTCAATGAATTAGAAAATAGAATCTTAAAATATTAAGAAACTAATTTTAAATAAGTTAATTTACAATCTTAATAATAATAACCTTCCATTTACAAACCAACTATGGAAGTAAGATTAAAAAGTGAAGAAAAATAGCCTGTTGTTAGGGAAGATACATAAATAAATTATTAAAAAATTATTGATTACTCACCTAAAATCTATAGATAAGCGATTATTGAATAATCACCTAAAGAACGAACTTTTAATACAAGTATAATCGATAAAATACAAACCTATTAATAATCTGCAAAAGCAACGAGACCAGTTCACTAAAATTTAATGAATAGATATTCTGCTCATGAAGTTCAACCCTAACAAATCTATCAGCCTAATACTTATGTAATTCCTTAGTATTTCAAAGCCAGAAATTGAAAATGAAATTTATTATATACTTAACAAATAAATAATATATTTTCTATTAAATTCCATTTTTTTAGATTTGTATTTAAAATAAATCAAAACAATAATTTAATTGCTTTATTAAAATTTCATATTTTATTTAAAGCATACTTTCCTATACATAATTCATTTATTAAATATTATGCTTTATTGTTTTTAAAAAAATTGGAAAATTTTTACAAATTTAAAAATTTAATCTATAAAAGCTATTTCTTTATTTATTATTATATCATTAAAATTTATATAATATTTATTAATTTTAATTTAATCCTCATACAATTAATAAATATTATTAAACAAATTCATATAATCACTAATTAAGCAAGGAAAATGAAAAATAAGTTAAGTTATTTTTTTATTTGGTTTTAATCTATGCATTACAACAGAAACGCCAGAGTAAAAATTTCATAATGATTATAGTTGCAGCTTTTAATGGATCCTTATAATTTAACTTCTTATCTAAATGTAGTAGATACTCTTGAAGATGTAAGATATTTAAAGATTTGTCTTGTTTATCACAAAAATTTAAGGGTTTAGTAAAGTAAACTCTAATTTAAGGAACTATTTATTTAGTTGGTTATATCAAAGTAAAATGTATAGTTTCAATATTCTCTTCATTAATTTTTGATGATAACTTGATAAACCCTTCATTTTTTTATCTAAATTAAAGTAATGAAATAAATATCAACAAAACTGAGTTTAAATCTATATACAAATTTTATATTTTTAATTTATTAATAATTGTTAGTTGATTTCCAAAGACTGACTTTAATAATTATATAATCTGATTTGAACTATATTTCTGTACACTAACCCCATTTAAAATATGTGGATTTTATAGAATATTTAAAGATACAAAGTAATTCATGCATTATAATTAAGAAAATCTATCATTTTTTTCTTTTAAGTAAACATTCAAACAATGTTAAGCTAAAGAAGTTATGAGTCTATTTTTAAAATTTAATTCTAATTTATCATGATTTTAAGAATAATTATTTAAACATTCAGTAGCCATTATTACCATTTATTGTTCATCAGTCCAGTAATTTACAATTTAAACTTTGAATTAATTTTCTATTAGATTGGATCGGCAAATTAATGAATTGATTTATTTATCTAATGAACCTCTTTTTTTTAATTCAAATGCAGAACCAGATGATGAATTATTTTGTAACATCATTCTAATATGTTTTTCAAGAGTACATTTATAATCTTGCCCCAAAACTTTTGTTCCTTTTGAATAAGTAAGCTTTATAATTTATCTTAAAATTTTACATTTCTTAAACTTGTTCTTAAATCGTTATCATTATGAATTTTTAAAATTTCTCTAGTAATATTATTCATTTAATGTATTCTCAACTAGTCTTATTACTTATCCAATTTAATAACTAAAATCGATTATTCTAAGACTGTATCAATTATCTAATAATTTAAATTATATGAATTTACTGTAAACCATTTTTTTCTTTCTCTATTATGAAGAAATTATTGTCTTTTATTACTCTCTATACTGTATTTAATTGCAATCATCCCAACTATTACAGAAATAAAACTTAAAAGTAAACTAACATAAACATAAGAGGAATTATAAGCCCATAATATATATGCAAGTAATAAGCCTATTACAATAAATGTTTGAGACCATAATACATAACCTTGAATAAATATTGCTACTTTTAAAGTGAAAAATTTACCAATATGAAAATAGCAAGCTGAAAATCCATAATACCAGTCATAGTTTGTATTATAGGAATAATTTGGATTACTTTCTCTAAAAATATAATCAACACTTTATATCATAGCCATAATTATTTATAGAATAGGTAAAATTATATTAATGACACTAGGGTATTTATCTACTAAAAATTTTGAGAAGATAATAAAAATAACTATAAAACAACAACTAAGCAATATGGCTATAAAATAAGGCTGACTTCTAAAGTAGTAAATGGAATAAAAAATCATGTATAACTACTTTTTTCATATAAAAATTACGCATGCTTATAAAGAAAATGCTGTATACTCTCTTTTCACAACGGGTATTTGGCTTTCTCTGTATTCTAATTCTAAATTCGTTGATTAAAAAGTTAAAGAGTATTTATTAAACATTAAATTATTTGTTCTCTTATATATTTGGAGTATGAATAAATGAATTTAATGAGAGTTTAATTAAATAAAAAGATGAATTATATTTTTTTTATTTCGAATCCTTAATTGTGATCTATTTTTTTTTTAATTTCTCTAAGCACAACAAAAATATAAGTTTTTTTGGAGTATGCTCTCAAAGGCTTATATTATTAAAACTTTTTAGAAAAATAGTTTAGACAAGGGATACTTATTATATATTATAAATATTTATAATTTTAATGAAATAGCATCCATCTTTCAACAATGAGTATATGAAAAATTTTGTTTGTTATTTATGATAATTTTCAAGTTCATAAATTTTATTATCTTTCTAAATTCAGTTCAATTTAAACATCTGATTTACTTTAGTAAATTGATTTTAATCACATAATTTAATATGCGATTACCATTATTATCAATTTTAATTTTAATCAGAATTAAATGGGAATATCATTATTAATTTTATTTCCTTAGAAACAATGAAATTTAATTAATTTCTAATATCATTAATTTGGATACTTAGAAATTATTATTTATATTGAAATAATGCTTATTAAATTTAAAAATGAATTTAAAAGAAGAAGAATCCAAAAAAAAATTGTGGGAAAAAATAAATTAAAAGGAGCAATAGAAATTTTGAAAGTAACAGGTCTTATTGAAGTTCCTTAAAAATTTCATGAAGCGACTAATTAAGTCTCTAGGTATGATTTTTCTATTTCTATTCTGTACTTAATAAAGATTTTTTTTGAATTGTAGAATTTCAAGTAAATATATATATAATTATTAAAGAAAGATTGAATTTTTATGCTTGATAATAATAATAAATATTTAATCATTCTAAAATAATTATCAATAAATTGATAAAAATGAGTAAATTATGTGAATCTATGTTATCAGGAATAAGTTAATTTTGTTCTTGATTATCTTATTCAGGATTTTCAATAAATTTATTAATTGGATAGGAAATACATCTATTTTAATCCCAAGTGCATTATCCAAAATTACAATATTCTTAACTCAACCATGCACATTCAGCATATTCATATTATATACATTACAGTTTATAATTTTCTAAATGGATTAATGTGCCTAAATAAATAAAAATATTCTTACAATGAGCATAATTACAATTATCAGCTCCATTTAAAGAATTACAATCAGTAGTTCCATCTATATGTTTACATATTTGAGTATTTGTATTATAAAAACAATGATTTTTATCTTTTTCACAACCATCACTATTTCCATTATTTTCTTCACAAATATCTAAAGAAATGCATTAATTGTTTTATAATAAACATTTACTAGAATATATACAATTATGAATGCCAATTTATTTACAACTGACTTTTTCTATACTCTCACATTTATTATTAACCCAAGAACAAATAGCTTGATTACATTAAAATTTATTGAAAATAAGATTACATGCTGTATAGATAGTAACTCTTCTACATTTTTTGAGATTATAATCAAAATAGCAATTTAAGTTTGAATCGTCCTAACAATCAATAATTGATTCATTATCTTTACATTACTTTCTAGTTTTACAGATTTAATCTTCTAAAAAACATTTTTCAGAATATAAGCAAAATTTTGTTAATAAATCTTCACAATTGAAATCAAAAATGGATAAACATTAATTTCTACTTTTTGACCATTAACACAAATTTTATTATTTACAAGATATTTAGCCTAAAAATTCACAAGGTGTATTCAGATTAATAGTAGAGCATTTATCTAGAACATCATCATAATAACAAGTTAAAGAATCACAATTAATATTTGTTTTAGTATTACAATTTTAACTTTAATAATTCCAATTACATATTTATAAATTATCATTCCATAAACATTCTATTGTTTAAACATTATTTTTATTTGGACAATCATCTTTGACAAATTTTTAACAATAAAAATCTTAATGAATTTCTTCACAATTATTATTATTTTGATTATAGTTACAATATTTAAATTCTTTACAATTTTTTGCTCCAATCATTTTACATTAAATATTCCTTGTTAATTGTTTACATGATTTTTCAAATTCGTCAAAATAACAAAAAAAACTTGATTCATCACAACCAATTTTGGTTGAAAAATCAAAACAGCTTAAATAGGGAATGCATTTAAAATTTTAGAGATAACAATTTTCATTATTTAAACATCTACTTTAATCAAGTTAAGCACAAGAAATAGCAGCTTTATTATACATTTAACATTATTTATTAATCCATATACATGAAACTGTACCACTATTACATTAAGAGTCCCATTTAATTAATTCACATTATGTTTGTGCACTTAGTTTTTTGCATTTACCTTCTTATATATCAAAATAACAATTCAAATCTGAAATATAACATTCGTAATCAGCTTGATTATAATCTATAATTTAAATTTATTCACATCTATTCTTCAATGTACATTTTGTGAATTTATATTCTTCTTTATCTGTTTCTATCTATAAAACATCAATAATTAATCCAAATTCATATAACCATGTTCCTATTCTTCTACCATCATTTTAAATTGTATCAACATCATTCATTAAAGTGTAGTTCTAATTCAAATAAAGAAATTTAGTTTGGTTAATTATTTCACATCCATGATTCCATTAGCAAATTGATTTTGGATAACTTGAACAAGGAGCTGAATCCCATTTCTTTCTTATATATATATAAAATTATACAAAGCATTGTTCATAAATTGGATCCCATACACAATTACCTAGTTTACATGATTTTTCAGTATATAATTAATCACAGACAGTGAAGAAATTTAAGTTCTCATATATTATCATTTTATACCATGCATACATCATTCACTTCATCTAATATTACACCTTCAATCTTATTTTCAACTGATAGATATGTCACGTTGGCTTCAACTACATAACCTATAGAAATTTTAATATAAAAGTACAAAAATTTGAGGCTTTCAAACATTAGGTAATGTTGTTGATTAATGAGCAATTAAAATAAAGATCTTCATTACTAAATACTATGTAGTACATCATAAATAATAATAGATTATTTATCTAATGCATCCTTTATTTTATTAAATAAAATATGATAAATAATCAACTTTATTATTTTATATAGGTTGATCTGGGTGTCCTCTATTTTCTTAGACTTTAGAAATCTTCTATTTAATTAGAATATCTTATAGTATTTGTTGTCGGAGCAAAGAATTCATTATAAGGACTAACGCTTTCAGGAATTTTAATTAGTTTTTCACTTTTCTAATTTAAATATAGTTCTGGCATCTCATCACCTTTTTATTATTTCAACTTGAATCAAGATATTTTATACTTGTATACTTTATAGTGGTTATGATTGTTCTGATATTGAATCTGTTCTAACCATTCTCATTTATTTCTTATTATTTGGAGTAAGTTCTCCAATAAAATTTTTTGAAAACTTACGAGATATTGCTTATCTTAAAGAAACCACAGGAACAATTTTTATTTCTTATTCTATTTACTCTTGTAATGGTATTAATATTTGATATTACAAATAAGTCATCCAGAATCCTAAAAAAGATATTATTATAATTCCTATTGAAATAACTTTTAATATGTTTCTTCTTATTTAACTAAATTATAACTATGAATCATTCAAATCAATAAAAACTATATCTAAAAAACCTATTAACAGCATGATCACTCCTAATATTAAATCAAATAATGAAGTCAAAATGTTTAAAACAACCATAAATCGTCCTACTTTTATGACTGAATGTCGAAAAAAAAAAAATATTTCAACTATCAGTCCTAAGATTAAAAAGCTGCCTAAATTCTTATAAACTAAATACCTAAGCTTAAAAAAGTAATGGAAATAGGTACTGGAAAATTAAAGAGTTCATATAAGTTCAAAATCCCTAAAAATCCTATGCCTAATAAAATTAGACCTTAAATGGTATTAGTTACCATCATTAAGTAAAAGTAATGTTTAAAAGTCAAGAAAAGACAGCAATAACAAATACCTACACTTTAATCTTTAAAATCCATTGCAGTAATTGATTTATTTATTATCAAATAATTTTCAAAATATTGCGCACAGTTTAAACTCTATTACACTGACGAACTGATATTTATTCGTAAAAACTAATAAGTAATTGATAACCAAGAATTTGTTAAATTTTAATAAAAATTGAAATAAAAGTATTTTTAAAAAGTGATCCATAATCTCCAACCTTTTGAAATAGAATTATCTTATAAGATCTAAAACCATTATCTAATTATTTCAATATTAAAGTCCTTGTACTTGACAAAAATCACGAATTGATCCTTGTTATGATACAATTGTGAAATAGTGACTTAAAAATAATAAGACATATTAATTTAATAATCAATAATCATATCTAAATTTAAAACTTATTAGAAACTATACACAATTATATAAAGTAAAAGATCTTACGTATGGAGACAAAAAATTAGTATTATTTAGTAAAATGGAATTCTTAAATAAAATTATGTACTTAAATGATAGAAATGAGAGAATTGATAATGTAAATTAATAATAGATCAAGATTAATAATAATTTTGATAAATTTAAACAATATTATTATATAATTGATTTAGTATATATAGTAATATTAATATTATTTAGATAAATGGAATCATGTTTAAGTAAAATAAATAATATGGCTGATAAAGCAATGGCAGAATTATAAAAGTAGCCATTAATTACATGGAATCCTGGTTGTGTAAACACTATAAAATATGTATTAAATTGCTCGAACAGATATTAGATAAATTAAAATCATGTGTTGAGGAAATAAGTTTCAATTTGATGAGTAAAGATTTAAATTCTGAAGCATCATTATTGTAGAAATTATCAACACATTATACTGTTGTATTTGATAAAGTACTTGAGATAAATTCAAGAAAAATAGTGAATGCTCCTGAATTACCTATTGAATATTGTTAAAGATAACCAAATTCAACAAGAACTGTTTTAGGTGGAACAGAAGTTTAGAATTTTAGTAATGCTTGATTTATATAAATTAGAGATATTTTCTTAAAAATAGTCAGAATTTATAGAAGCTGAATAAACATTTAAGATGAATAAGTAAAAGGTTTTTAGAAAGATGGAAAATAAAAGTACGAGTACAAGTGATGATGCAATGATAAAATTGATTTAAGGAAACATATAAAATGAAACTGAAAAAGAACTGTAAAGAATGTAAGAGGAGAATGAAGCAAATTTGGCTGATTTAAAAAAACAATTAAAATTAAGAGGAATGTGGTCAGAAATCACAAGTAGTCATGCTACTTAAAAATTGAATGATTTAAATAGACATATGGAAAGAGAATCATTTAAGAATGATTTATACATAACAGATTAAATTAAATAAGCTAATGAAGTTAAAGATGAAGATGAATTTGATATAAAAAAAGAAGTTAAAGATAAAATAATATTGGTTTAAAAAAAAACAGCAGAAAGAATAATGAGAGCAGCAGAAAGAAAGATTAGACTTGAATATGATTAATTTGTTATGAAAAAAACAGCAAGTATTCTAGTAAAAAATAGTAAGGCTTAAAACTTTTAGAGAATAGAAGAATTAGAAAGATTAATAAAAGATAAGAATGAAGAAATAATAGAAAAAGAAGCTAAAATTAATTAATTATTTTTAAAATTTGAAGAGTAAGAAAAAAAATTTGCAAATTTGTTAAAATAAATAGATAATTATAAAGTAACTTAAAAAGTAGAAGTATGTAATACAATAGTATAAAAAAATGGAAAAAAATCAGATGTAGAAGTATAAGTTTCAATGATGGATCCAAGAGTAGAGTTGTTTGAGTTAAGATTATAAGAGATGATAGAAGAAAATGATGAAATGAAAGAAGAATTAAAATTATTACATGAGAAAGCTTTAGAAGATAAGATATAAAGTTTAAATGGACCTAAATAAATAGAAGAAGTTTTATTATTATTATTATAAAGTGATTTATCACCAGAGAATAAAATAATTTCATTAAATACACTATTATAGTATATAAAGGATAATTCAGCAGAAGATATTGCAAGATTGGCACCAAATGAATTATATCGTATAGTAAGATCTAAATTAAAATTTAATTGTGAATCTCCTTTAGAAAAATTAGATGAATTATCTGCAGATGAAGATGATAGTTATGAATAGAAATCAATAACTAAAAAAAGAGGTAGAAATAAAAAGAAAAGAGTTAGTCATATTGAAAAACCATTTGATGTATAAATTTAAGAATAAGTTGATCTTGATAAAATTGCAACATAAAGAAGATTAGCTTAATTAGAAACAGAAGATGAATCAAATAAATTATAAAAAAAACAATTAATTTAATTAAATCAAGTTGATGATATTACTAAAAAAAATAGTACTCATAAATAAATTGAATAAGTTTATAGTCCTAAATCTACTAATAGATCTAATATTACATTTAGATAAAAGTAAGGTTATTTATAAAATAATCATAATAACAGTGCAATTAATAATGAAAGTTCCAAAAAAGATTTAAACTCTTCTTCTGGTTAATTTGGAGTAAATAGCAGACCAACATTTACTTAATTAGAAACAAAAAGTAATAAACAATCTTTTACTAATTTTTCTTCTAAAGAATTAAACAATTTAAAAGGAGAAAAAGATCATAAAAAAAATTCACTTATGGATTAAAGTGATATTTAATGTGATTTCTATAAATAAATTAAAACTAAAGATATTGGAATACAAGTATTAATAAAATAAGAACCTGCCAATTCACCTTAATAATAAAAAAATATACATATACCTATTCAATAACCTTAATAACTATAATAAAAAGAAAAAGTAGAAGAATAAACAAAAAAGATTAATGAATCTTAAATTTATAGAGCAAAAGCTGAAGCTATATCACAAAAATCTACTTAGACTGATGATTTCTTTTTATGGAATCTTTTTCAGAAAATAGCAGTTGATCTTGGTCTTTCAGAAGATTAATTAAAAAGATTAGAAACAGCCTTTTTAAATGAATAATAATTTATTCATTTTTATGAGAAAACATAATCTTAAAAATAAATATCGAGAAATTCTACAATATAAGTTGATACTTTAGGTGATTATAAAAGAGATAGTTTAAAAAATCTTGATAGAAGTACAGGTTTAAGAAATTCAATCAAACTTAGAACGAATAGTTAATAAAATATCTATACAAATAATGAAATGTTAGATAATTATGCTAATTAAAAAAATGAGATTGTAGATGATGATTAATAAAAGAATTAATTAACATAACCAACTTCATGGCATTCACCAGTTGTTAGTAGATAATAAAGTTAAATTATATTTTCAGGAACTTAAAATTAAAATAATAATTATGGATAAATAAATTAACCTTGGAGTCCAAATGGAATAGGAAATGGTTTGAGATCAAATAGTCCAATGAATCCAAATTCAAGTTAAGGTATTAGAAGTGTAAGTCAACTTATAAATACTGGAGATAATGTTCATATATTAACATATGGAACAATATCTCCATCAGATTAATTTAATAAAAATAAACATAGAACTACAAGTTCAAGTTAGAAAATTTTAGATGATATGTTGAAATCTAAAACTTAAATTATTAAATCTCCAGATTAATTATAAAGAGAATAAAAAGAATAACAATTATTCTTTTCTGTATTTGGAGATGAACTTTAAAATGATGAAGAATTTGATTTAGAAATTGTAAGATAAAATTTTGGAAAACCATTAGAAGTAATTTAAGATCATCTTAAAGAAGAATCTATTAAAAAAGTATTTACTTAATTGGTTTAAAAATAAAAAAATGAATGGAAAGATAAAATTTTTTTAATTATTTCCAATTATTGTAATAAGAGTGTATAAACAATCACTTATTTTGATTTTAAAAAGTATTATGAAAATTATATGAGGGTATAAATAATCTATATATTCTAGGTTCATAAAAGATGTGGTGATGAATGTATTCATATTAAAAGATTTCTAGCTAGAATTGGATTTGGGTTTGTTAGCAAACGAAAAATCTTAAATATATCAAAATAAAGTGTATCTCCATTTGAATAGTTGCCTAAACTTAAATGAATAATATTAAAATTATTTTAATTTATTTAGTTATATATTTTAATGGGTAGAAAAAATAGAGACTTATCTTATTTGAAACCATTTTGTTTTTATTGTGATAAAACATTTAAAAATGAAGTTTACTTGCATTAGCATTAAAAAGCAAAACATTTTACATGTTAAAGATGTTTCAAAAAGTTTTCATCTTGCGATTCATTAAAAAATCACGTAGAATCAGCTCATCATGAAGTTTTAACCAAGTATTTCTAAAAATTATATTTATTTCAGAATTCCAAATGCCACTGGTGATAGAAGTGATATAAAAAATAAAATTTTTGGTATGTAAGGAGTCCCAAGAGTAGAAATTGAAAAAAGAATTAGAAAAGGAGCAGAAGAATATTGGACTAAAATTTTAAGTGCTTAATATTAATAAAGAAGAAAAGAGAATAAATAAAGAATGAAATAAAATAGAGAAATAACTAAAAAAGAAAATTAATAAGGTGCCAAAATAGATGTAATACTAAATTTTTATTTCTAGAATGAAAAAGAAGATATTGATTAACATGAATATAATCCAGAAGCTAAACCTATCAGTTTTGATTTAGATTATGAACAATTACAAAAATAATGATTAATTATATATCCTATTCAGCAGTAATACATACTCAAATATAAATAATTATTTTAAACAGTACAATCAACAATCAATCTAAAATAAGTTAGAGTTTTCTAAGAGATTTCTCATTATCTTTTTTTATCTCATAAATTCTTTCTAAATCTGGGATTAATTCTTTAATTAAGTCTTTATTTGTTTATTTTAATAATGCTAATAAACATAAAATTTGTTATTCATATTAAAAATTCTCCAAAAGAATCTTTAAATTATTTATTATTTCAAATTCTTTGATTATGCTCATAAATTGTGAGTTTGGGCTTTTAAAAAGCATTGCATAGTGTAATAATAATATTTACTTTTAATACTTTTATGAGTTTTGAATTATTAAAATTTGATTGACAATCTCTTTATTATTGATTATTGATTCAACATAATATTATGCATAATAATATAAAATTCTTAATGTGTATTTTTATCTGCTAGATATTTGTAGATGTTTGGCACAAAATTAAATAAATTGGCTTTCATGTAGAATCTTCACAAATTTCACATAGTCATTAATAAGATAATACAAAATTTTTAAGATTATGTTATCAATGCCCTTATTTAGATTATTGCAACATAATTCCATTAATTCATTTTAGATAAATGTCACTTTGGTTAGAGCATAGAACCCATGAAAACATTCTTGCTAAATTTTTAGTATATCAGGATATTTTTTTTAGTACATCCAAAAGATATTAAAGAGCTTTTCTCTTTAAACTATAATATTTTCACCATTTTGAGTATCCCTATTAAATTTGGCTAGCACACTTAAAAACCATAATCTAAGAGACAAATCTTCGAGATTTTTGTATCTATGAACTTCATCTATCATATAGTCAATTATCTTCAATTCTAAAACTTCTTCTTAAACAACTTTTTCACTACACAAATTACCCAAACCAATTAGAGCATTTGTTTTTTCTTTAGACTATAGCAACTCATAAAAAAATTATATTCCTCCAATTTATATCAAATCTTATGTTTGCTCTTTTGATCCTGCAGTTGCATCTGTAAGACGATTTATTGATTCTTAATCTTTATTATTTATTAAATCTAGCATAATTTCTTTTGATATTTATGGTATTCTTTTCTCCTTAAAAATCTTTTCTTTTTCATTTCTTCTTATTTTTTGAGAGAAGCATTCTCTTTTCTAATATAATAAACTATTCATTTAGTTAAATTTAAAATAAAATTAACAAAATAAAAGTATTACTTAATTTATATTAATTGCTGTTATAAAATATATTAAAATTAACATCATATATATTTTATATTATTTAATCAATTATAACTGTGGATGATTCTATTAAATAATCATTTATTTAATATGTTTTTCTCCATAAATTTGGTTAAATCTAATTAGACTAAAAATTTAGAGTAAAGAAATTTGATTCTGCACCTGAGATTTTAATTAGTTTGACTTTATATAAATTATTAGATCAAGAACATTTAATGATTTTAGAATTACTTTTAAATAATCTAGTTTTAGTAATATTCTTTTTCATTAAGTTTTAATTTACCTAATTTTTTTGGTAATAATATAACTTGTATATTATTTAATTCTTTATTCAAATTCTTCCAAGATTGACTGAAATATAAGTTTATTTAATGTCATTTAGATATTTATTGTATAGTCTTTCTTTAGACATTTCTTAATTAACTTATTGTTGATTAATTAATTTATTTATATTAAGAGTATAAGAATCCAGATTAAAATAAAAAGGTTGTTAAATGAATAATTAAACTACTGAGTTTGAGTATATATTAATTTTTTTTATTAAATTTCATATAAGATTGCTTGAAATGTAAAAGAGAATTATAATTCACATTTTTTCTTGGATTTCTTGAAATGTTCAATAAAATAACGAATGATCTGAATTAAAGTCTTTTTGATATGTAAACATAAAGCTTTTAATATTGGCAATTTGTAAAAAGAGAAATGAATGGATATAATATTATAAATTTGTATGATAAGTTGAAGGTATGGGGTAAATATAATAAATAATAAAAATAAATGAAAATAATTTAGTTGTTGAGTTTGGTAACATATGTATTAAGTGCAACCTTCTCAAGTACAAGTTTAAGTGATGCTTTACATGATAATGGATCAGTTTATGGATGGAAAGAAGAAGAATAAAGATAATTTAAGAATTGGGTATAGGAAAATTAAAAAACATACAATAATGAATTTGAAATGATTTATAGAATGGAAGTATTTGTGAAGAACTACAGAGCTATGAAAGTATTGAAATAATTATTAATAATCTTTTAGCATCATAATGAATAATTACCAAAAGATGTTTGGGGATTGAATATATTTTCAGATGAAACAACAGAAGAGTTAATGGATAAATTATTTATGAAAAAAGACTATGAAAAACATTATGAGACATTTAATGAAGACGATTTGAATGCTATAAAAAGTGATAGTTTATCACATAATTCGTTTTTGTAAGCTGATAAAACGGTTGTGGTTAAAAAAGTAATAAAAAAAGGATCAGCTACTTCAGCAGAAGTGAAAACAAAAGTAAAGAATCCTCCAAGTTTAGAATGGTTAAAATAAGTAATTTCTATTTTATTAATATTTAGATTACAGAAGTTTAATAATAAGGAAGATGTGGTAGTTGTTGGGCATTTGCAGTTTAAGATGTTACAATAAGTAGATTAGCTATAGCTAATAAAAATAAACTTGATTAATTATCTAAAACACATTTAATTGATTGTGCTGATGGAAATACAGCAGGATGTGATGGAGGTTCTGTTGGTGATGCATTTGATTTTATTAATAAATATGGAACTGTTTATGAAAAAGATTATAGAGAATATGATTAAAAAGAAGGGGAATGTTCTAAACCTAAAGGTTCTATTGGATATAAATCATTTAAATCTGTTGAGGCATTAACCAAATTTACTAATGATGATATTGAAACTGCTATGTAAACTGGACCTGTTACTATCCTTATGTATGCAGATGAATCCTGGCTTAGATATACTTCTGGTATTATTAATACTTGTGGATATCCTAAAGTTTCTAATTATTAACATGTTGTTTCTTTTGTTGCTTATGATACTTAAACATGGTTTGCTAAAAATTCTTGGGGATCTAAATGGGGAATGAATGGTTACTTTCAAGTCTAAAAAAATGGGGATACAAATTGTCTTGATAAAATTAAAAGAGTTACATATCCAATTATATGAGACATTCTAATATGATTTAAATATTCAAAAACGTCAATTTACATTATTAGTAATTATTATTATAATTCAATATCTTTTGATATCTTTTGTTATTAAATATTCATAACTTTCTTTAAAGGAAATATTTTAATTTGTCAATAAAAGATCCACTCATTCTTTCAAATAAATTATAAGTCTATTATTATCATAATATTCTTAATTATACATTCTTTATATTATGCTATATTGCACCTGGAATTATAGATGGATCAGTACAAACCAACATTATATATGTATTATTTGTAAATTCAACGAAAAAAAATGTAAATTTCTCTGTTTTAACTATTATTTCCTTAAAACTATTTGAATTTTTCTATAAAGTTAATTTAAATAATTGAATTTAATTACATAAACTTTAGTATTTATAAATGTCTTTGTTTTATATTATAATAAATACCTTTTTTCTCGTTTTTTTCCAGAAATCCATAAGTCAAAAGAGTTGATTCATCAAAAAGAGCAATTTCATCACAGTTACAATTTTCACGAAATGCCTTTAAAAAATCCTATAGAACATCTATATTTGGTATCAGACTTTGAAAAATATTAGATAAAGCGAAATAAAGAGAATTATCGTAATATGAAGTAGTAAAAACATCTTTAATTTCTATATTTAAACCATCAGTTCTTTGTATAATTTGCTTGTGTTTACGCTAATTTGATATAATTATCATTATACTTCAAAAAAATTCTTTCTTTCAGATTCCTTTATTTTTTCGAATTTATGAAATAAAACGAATACAGGAGCTTTAGGAGTATATTCTGATAACAATCCTACATTAATTTTAAAAAGATTCAATTCATGAAGGAAAAGCTTTTCTTCTTTATCTGCATCAAATATATAAATCAAAACTTAAACATTTGAAAATATTGTAGACTTTTCAGTTGTTATATATTCTTCCAAAAATATATTCTAAAAAGTAATATTACTAATTTTACTTATTTCGTACTACGGCATAATTTAAACTTGAAACTTTCCATTAATGTAAACGTACCTTAATCATTTAGATCTAATCCAAATCGTATTAATTAACTTGGACTAGTTTAGGCAAATATTATAGATTCAATTAATGTTTTACCTTCTTCGCTTTAACCATATAATAGTACTTTCTTCAATTAGTTATCATTCTGAAGCATAATATATTTACAATAACAAAACAATTAATATTTATTTAGAACATATATTTAATTAACATATGGAAGAAAGATAATCATCTGTAAAGGGATTAAGAGATTACTTTTAAGGGATTGCTCAAAATCTGAAATAATAAAATGACAATTATTTAACAATTAAATAAAATAGTACAAGTGTTCCTCCTTAAAGGAATAGCATAAATAGAGACTCAATTAAATTTAATGTTTAAAAGTTGGAATCTTTAAAAGGAAATAAACAAGATGAAGAACATTATTTAAAGCTCATAAATTAATTGTAGGATAAAATAAAATATTATGAAGAAAGGCAAGATAATAATGAATATGAAAAGCTTTTATAACGTTATAATGATTAGAAGCTTTAATTACAAAAATTATAATAAATGAATGATCAACTTAATGAAGATATTATATAGGCATATAACACTATTGCAAATTTAGAGTAGCAATAATAAAAATAAGTATTCGCTACTCAGAATTTAAATAATAAATAGAATATTCTCACATAAAAATTTAATATTGAATAGAATGATAAAGAAATTTAAGTAAATTTGATCGAACCTATAATTGAGTAGAATAAATTGTTGCTTGAACGTTTGCATGAAAATCCAGAACCAAAAGGGAAGGAATTGATAATAATAAATTCAAGTTAAGCCATTGAATTAAGAAGATAGATGGAAACTTTGAAATAAGAAGTAACTATTTTAATGGTTACACTAGCTATTTGAAAGATTAAATTTTTATAATAATCTCATTCAAAATAAATAATTGTCAGAAATAAAAAAGAATATTAAAGTAGATATTTATCAATTTCATGACACATATATTTAAATGTTTAGAAATATTAATAGGCCAATCTAAAATGTTGAATAAGTAAGCAAAATTTTAAGTCCAATATATTAAGATGAGCTAAACGAATTCCTCGGATAGTTGAGTGATTTTTTAGATAAATTCAGATTAGTTACTATTTTATGAATTAATTATATTATAAATTAAATGTCACAAGCTTCCTTTACTGGCTTTATTACAATACAAGACATCAAAAAACAAAAATATGATGTAAATCATTTATTAGATCCAAATTATGATTAATTTGTGAGAGATATATTACCTATTAAAATTTAAAACTTTGAGATTAAAAGACTTGAATGGGATGATTTTTCTGGTGAACCAAAAAAAGAATCTCCTTGGATTGCTCACAGTTATTGGGATATTAGTTATAAATTTCCTTAATTAAATGTAAATAGAGCTTCTTCAAATTAAAAATAATCACCAACAGTTATAAACTAAAAAAATAATACTCCTAAAAATTTAAAAGAATAAACTTAAAACTTTGGTTTATCACCTAAGAATTAAACCTAATAAAATTCCCAATCTTCAGAAAGGACAAGGGTCAAATAATAATCACCTAAATTACCTCCAAAAACACCTTTTTAGTAACTCAATGCATAAAATCGTATTAATAGTAGACTTACAAATTAAATACCTCCTCAAGCTCTTAGAATATCAAGTCTGTAGAGAGTATAAAGATAATCTAAATAAAAAATCTAAACTCCTGATGGAACAGTCTCTAGAAGTAATTCTAATCATGCATTTAAAAAAGAATAACTTCTAAAATAATAATTAAATATATAAGTTACTTGCAAACTTTTAGAAAAATCATGGACAAAATCAAATTAATATGATGATTTATTAGAACACGAAACTGGCCATTATTTAATTGGATGTCTATGTGCTCTAGAATTTAAAAGAAAAGCAGAATAGATGGATTTTTATAATACAGAAAACCAAAAATAAGACATTAAATAATTATTCAATAATAACTTTAAAACATTTTTAAAAATAGAAAAAGATTATGATGAAGAAACTAATCATTATTGCAATTGGAAAATGCAAATGAAATGGAATAGAAAAATTAAAGAATAACTATTGTTATATGAAATGTATTTTAATAATTGATATCTATAAAGTCTTGTTATCAAAAAAATAAAATTTTCAAATAAATCCTTATTTAATCCAAATAGTTTATAACTTAATTTCTTTAATATTTCTAAATCTCATTTGAGTAATTGATTTTATACATTTTGAATGATTAAAGATGTATTATCTTTATAATGAATAACAATAAACTTTGATATTAAATTTGTAAATAATATGATAGATATTTATATTTAGTTAATAAGCTTAAATTTTATGTTGTTTTTCTTGAATGAATTGAAATATATTTAAAAAATTTTTTGGATTTATATAAATTTATAATTTTGAGGAACATAGAAAAAAGCTAATCAATAAAATCTTAAATAATTTAAGAAAAGAGATCAAAACCAAATTAAAACTGAGTCGAAACTATGTTATGAAATAAAATATATATTATTATAAATAAAAAACTACATGAATAAAAGTGAGTTTATAGATATATGTGAGATGAGTTGTATCTATTTAAAAGTTAATAATCAGTGGTAATAATTTTATAAATCTACATAAAATAAATATTAATATATTAAAAATTAATGTATAAAGGCTACCCAACAGAAATTAAAAGCAGCACAGGGTAGAAGATAACAAGACCTTATAGTTAATAAAAGTATTTTATAAAATAACTTAGGGAGTATATAGATACGAAGTCTTAAATAAAATAGTAATCATATTCTTGTGAAAAGTAAAACTAATCTACAATTCTAAAAAGCAAAGTGTCAAGTAAATAATAAATAAAGAACAAAATGAAACCAAGTCAAAAACGATATTAATTTTAATAACCATAGAGTTTATAAACAACTCATCGTTATAATCAATCACCATATGTCAAGCCTCATTAATAATAGCAATTATTTGAATTATAGAAAACAATAATGGCAGATTCTAATCAAGTGAGTAATATAGTAAATCAAATGTAGTTTCACTCATAATCTAAAAAAAAATAGTAACAGCCATAAAGGCATCATAAATCATATTAAACAAATAATAAAGAAAAACAATCCTAAAGCTTAAATGGTAGTTTTGAGCTTAAGAAAAGAATCTTTACGACCAATTAAGACATTAATGCCAAATAAAATATGATTGCAAAATCTAATAGAGCTTAATCAGTAATTGATGAATATAAAACTACTGCTATAGAACTATAATAGACAATGAAAATCCCAGAACCAATCTTACCTTTGAGAGTTATACCTTATGATTCAGAGTAAAAGTTAGATTATATAATATATAGAACTGAATATGAAGGATATAGAAAAGGAGATTTCTTAACATTTTAATCGGAAGAAGAAAATGAGAATGAAGACTTAAGAAAAGAAGGAATTGAATATTTCTTAAAAAACTTAACTGATAAAGAAATCTTACTCTTGGAAAAATATATATATTTAAGAAAATATGAAATGATGTCTAAGAATCCAGGAATAACAAAAAGGAATGAATAATTCGGTAACTATAATACTTCAAGAACTTCATAATAATAATATAATTAAAAATTTTGTAAATTTAGCAGATAAACTAAAAAATGAATTTATAATTATAATTATTTATATAAAATTTTCTTGTTATTATAATAACTTTAATATTTAATCAACTGTTAAGTTTTGCTGTAAGATCTTCTGATTTTTTGACAGAATCAACATGATCAAATACTAAATTATACGCCTTTTATACAACTTCAATTTCAGATAATCTATATGATTAATAATGAATTACCTTTATGTTTATCTACTGATATATGCTTAGTGGTATTATTCTTATTATTCTTTAGTTAGTTGCAAAAGTTCTTCAGTGATAGGAATATCAATTAGCAATTGTTCTTTTTAGGCTAAAACAATTTTCTAAATTAATTTAATAATGATTTTACTTATTAATTGAATTTGTCATTAAATTATTGATTTAAATTTTCAAGATCGGTGGACAATCTTTTTCTTAATGTTTCAATTTCACTCATAGAAGTATCAAAATTAGATTTAGCTACTTCTTCAGCTGCAATATCTTCATTAAGACTTTTGGCAGCACCATCTCTAATTTATTCTAGTTTTTCTAAAATTCTTTAGACAGTGGGAATGTCAAATCTAGTAGTTAATTTAATAAGAATTGTAATAGGATGATTAGGACCGAATTATTAATGACACTCAGCATGAATTTGAGTTAATATAGTTTATCTATCTTATTCAGAGGTTTATTGATCAACAGCTCTGCTTAATTTTTCAATGATTAGATTTAATGCATTAATAACCTTATTTGCTTATTCAACTCTTCTATTATAAGCTTTGATATCAGCAGCTCTAGCATTTCTTATAAATTATTCTTATTCATTAAGAATTGCTAATTATTTTTCATAGGTAATTATGGTTTCTCTAAGAATGACTAATAATTCAGCTAGAGTTTAGATCAATATATTAGCATTAGCTAAATCTGTATTTAATCTAGAGAGATCATCTTCTAATTCACTAATATTCTAATCAAAAACTGCCATCTATCTAGAATGTGCAATATCATCATCAACTTAATCTTATTTTAATGAATCTAATAATTCTTAAATAAGTTTTAAAACTTCATCTACTTATCCTCCAGTTTCTAATTTAATTTATACTAATTCCTTCAATTAATCACTATATGGGCTTTGGCTAAACTAAGGGGTTTAATCTTCAATATACTTAATGAAATGATTTCATCAATAAGGAGGCTTATGGAGTCATGGCTGATAAGCAAACTCCCATTGTCAATGCCAATATATTAAAACGGATTAAGCTCATTATTTATATAATAAAATAAATATTATTAGAGTGCAAATGATCTATATATTATTAAATTGCATCAATATTTCATTCATTTTAAACCTATTTTCTAACTGCATCACTTAAAGAATATTGCGATCTCTCATAAGAATCCACTTTCTAACATGATAATAAATTTTATATATAAATACCCTATCATTTACATAGTCATCAACTCTCTATTTAAATTTATCTTCAGAAGTACCAACTTAAGTAGAATAAATTCTGTAAACATCAGTAAATAAATTAAGTTCTTCTTACAATCTTGCTTTATTTTTATTATATTATATTTCTTCATTTTTTAAGTCCTATCAATACTTAAACTATACAATACTTCAATAGCTCTTTATTATTATTATTACAAAGCAATTCCCTTTTCTCTACAATTTACTGCAGCTAATCTTGCTTAAATTAATTGTTCTTCTAATTTTTAGACATTCTATTATTCAGATTAAAGATCATAGTTTATTTATTCATTTTCGATATCAATAGCTCCCTTAAAATCAGCCAAAGTAACCCCAGTGGTAATTTCAAGATTTTATGCATTTTTTATTTGTTCTCTAATATACCTTTCCATATCATTAAGCATTTCAATTAATTATCCTTTAACTGTATTAATATTTCCTTAGGAAGAAGGTGTAATTTGATTCCAATCAATAAACATAGTATCGGCAAATTCATGTGCTAATTCAACCAATTCTGATATTTTAGCTTTTTTATACATTGTTAAAAATTTTTCAACATAAGCTCCATATCTATTTAATTGATTGTTATCTAAATTTTAAAGAGAATTTCTCAAAAATATTATCAATCTTAAAGTCATATTATCATTTTTAACTCTTTCAATATAATTTGAAGAATGTGTACATCTATTTTAAGCTGAAGTTTTTACCTATTGCTATCAAGGGTTTCAATTCTCTTAGAATTATCAACTAGTCTTTTTTACAAATAAGCAATGAATTTATTTGTTTTATTTATATCTGATTCTCTATCAGACACAGATTTATCTCGACTAGCGCATAAAAAGTTTTATTCTTAGTAAGCTTTACCTAAATTGAATATTATATTCTCTTTGAGCTAAAATGCTTATTAAAATTGTACATTTTTAGATACTGTAAAATCTGTATTAAGTGTTGTGAGTTCAACAGCTGATGCTCCTTTTAAGTCTGCCAATAATTTTTCTACAGTATCTACTTCATTTTAACATATCACGCTAACAACTAGCAATAACAAAAGGCTTTTCATACCGTTTTTTAATTTTTTATATTATATTAAATGAACTTTAGTTGAGAATAAAATAAAGAAACAAGTATATTTTACAAATCTAAATTTTGTACTCATTGGCCAACAAGTAACATTTTATATTATTTTATGTTTACAAGGACATTGTTCTAAATATCAAAAATGTAATAATGCACATGGGGAAACTGAATTATGGCATATATTATTAGGTAAATAAATTTTATTATTTATTTTATTATTTTTATATATTAAAAATGTCTTTCATTTTTTAGCTTGTTATGCTGCTTATTTCTTTTTTTCTGCTTCAATTCTTTCCTTCTCTTTTTGATCTAACCATTCCTTTTTGGCTGCTTCAAAGTTCCTTTCATATTTAATATCTTATTAGTTTGCAATATTGTTTAAAGAAGTTCTACCTTATGGACCTTCAGCATTCTTTCTGCCATTCTAAGGTCCCTTTTTATCTGTTCCATTCTTTAAATCTTCTAATAATTTTAACTATAATAATATCATAGATGATCATACTGTATTTTCAGGTGTTAAATCTTCATAAACCCATTCATTATTTACTTACATCATTGGAGCATTAGCACATGCTCCTAAACATTCAACTTCTTATAATGTAAATAATCCATCTGCTGAAGTCTCTCCATTTTTTATATTCAATTTTTATTCAATAGTTTTAATTATTTCTTTAGATCCACATAATTAACATGGTGTTGTACCACAAACTTGAAGATGGAATTTACCAACTCGTTCTCTATTAAACATTGAGTAAAACGAAGCTGTTTCAAATACATCCATCTCTGGTATTTCTAATATCTTTGCAATCTAAATATTTAACAACTTGAATAACCTTTTTCATAGCTGATAAACTTAAAAAATTATTATTTTATTTTTGTGCAAGCATTAATAATGGAATAGTTCCTGATTTTTTTTCATTAGCAGGAAATTTTGCTAAAATTCCCTCTATCTTTTTGTAATTTTCATCACTAAAATCGAATGGTACTGAATCACTATTATCATTTCTATTTCTATGTGCTACAAACACATTTGAAAATCTTTGAATTGATTTTCTCTGAACTAATTATACAACTTTTTATATCATAAATTAATTAATCAAAAGTTTTCAATGTTATGTTCACTATATTTTTTATAAAGATTTGAATAATCATCAATTTATCTATTGTTTTATTTCAATTTGCGAATTTATGATTTTAGAAATTTTTTCATTGTACTATCATCTAACAATAAACTAGATTAGCTTGTATCTTAAGGCTAAGTATAATTATATTTAAATACAATATTGCTTTCTTATATCGAGATGCTATTCTGCAATATTTTCAATTTTTAATTTTCTTGCTTCAATTTTTCTCTGAGATAAGAATTTGATAAATATTGATATCTTAATTTTAATTCTTTATTTTTTTATTCCTACTTTTCTAAATTTAATTATTATATGTAATTTTTTCTTTTTTCTGCTTCTAACTAATGATGCAAATCATACAATTGATTTTTCAAAGTTTAATTTTCATATCTTTCAATAGAATGAGATTATTGTAATTTTTTGTATTTTTTTTTTAATTGTTCCTACTTTTTTTATATTATGTCAAATTTAAGGAAAAACATATTTTCTAACTTACTTTGAGAATCTGATGTTATAGTACAGCTATGGGAATTCTCATTTAATTGTTCAATATAATCGTCAATGGCATTAAGAAAATTCTTCATTTTACCTTTTTAATTGAATGTAAATTTCTTTCTTGTAACTTCAGTTTTTGGTTTAGAGCTAATCACTTTACTTTTAAGATTTCCAAATTGATCATCTCTAATATTGATTATAAATTTTTTGTTACAAGTCTAATTTTGAAATATTCTTTTTGTTAAAAATTGATTTTGATTGATGAAGTGAAACAGAAAACGAATCTGTAAATGTTTTATTATTCTTAAAAATATAAGAAAAAATTATTCTTACTTATGAAGTCTTATGTATTTGCATGAAATCAGAATTCAAAGATTATCTTCTACTACGATTTCCTAATTCTTGTTTATAATAGATTATACTTTACTTGCATAATTAATACTCATGTAAATATTAATAAAATTAATTACTAAAATGAAAGACTTTCTAACAAATGAATTTTTATTATTAAGAATATATAATTTTAATGAAAAAATTAATTATTTTCACCGTTTTTATAGTGGTTATTTGTGGTTAACAAGATTTAGCAGAAGCATTCACACAACTGTCTTCAAGTGACCCTGATAGAACAAAACTTAACTGGCCCAATTTATCATAAGCTATTTCAGATTTATTATGTGATGTTCAAAATGTTAGATAAATTGAGAGTGATACAAATTAATAAAAATCGGCATTACTTTAAAAAGTAAGCAATAAATTAATATAAAAAGTTAATAATTTTACACGATAGAACTATAAGTTAAATAAAAGTAGATTTAGCAAAACATAAATCAAAACTCAATGATCAATTAAGTCCTTATAAAAATGAATTAGATGAGGCGTTGAGATATAGAGCAGGGATTTTGGATCAATAAAAATAGGATTTGAAGATAAATGATGCAGATTTTACAAAGATGAAAGAATCAGCAAAATAAGAAATGGATGATGTTAGTATAGCTTTATAATCTGTGGATTCAGTATTAAAATTTACATATATTTTAGATGAGAAAATAAGTTAAGGAATTATTACAAGGAGGTTCAGGAGGAAATTCATTTGTAGAAATTAAGAGTTCTTTAGAAGAATTTCATACAAAGATAACTTCATTAGCTAAATCAGATTCTCCTCTTTTGACTTTAGCAAGTTCACTTGAGGAACTATTGCAATTAGATTTTAAGGACAGAAAAGTTTTAAAGGACCTTGAATAATTGTTAGATTAATTTTGGATGAATACAATTGATTATAGAATAGAATTAATAAGTTAAGCAAATAGAAATTAATAATTATATGAAGACAGAAGATAAGCAATTTTATAAGACAAAGATACAACAATTGAACTTTATAATTCAAAAATTGAGGAATATAATACTATTTTTGATGAGATATAAAATATTTAAACATATATAGAGAATAGATAAAAGGATTTAGATGATAGTGGAAATTCATAAGATTTTTTTAAGAATATTTGGGGTTTGAATGAAGGGATAACAAATACAGTTGATAAGTCATTAATTAGTAAGGCATCAGCAATTTAAGATGCATTAAAATAAATAGGTAATGGAGTAAGTTTTTAAGAGAGATGAGTTGCAATTATAAATCTTATGAAAATAAAGAATTAAATAAATTTCTTTTTTTAAATAAAAAAATGAGTAGTGTTTAATATGTAAATTCTAAAGCTGAAGTTCTTCGTAAATATTAAGCATTAGCAATGAATATAAATGCAGCAGCAGGATTAATGGAAGTAATGAAATCGAATCTTGGGCCTAAAGGAACATTAAAAATGTTAGTAGGTGGAGCTGGATAAATAAAACTTACAAAAGATGGTGCAGTTTTATTATCAGAGATGTAAATTCAACATCCAACAGCAGCAATGATAGCTAGAAGTGCTACAGCTTAGGATGATATAATTGGAGATGGTACAACAAGTAATGTTTTATTGATTGGCGCATTAATGAAATAAGCAGAGAGATTATTAGCTGAAGGAATTCATCCAAGAGTAATTACTGAAGGATTTGAGTTAGCTAGAAAAGAAGCCTTATCATTTTTAGATACTTTCAAGTATTAGTAAATAGATAAGGCTGTATTAATAAATGTGGCTAGAACTTCATTAATTAGTAAATTAACACCAGATGTTGCAAATCAGTATTAAATATAATTAAATTTAATTTAGAATAATTGAAATTGTAGTAGATGCAGTCTAAATAGTTCAGGTACCTCAGAAACCGATTGATTTGTTTATGGTTGAAATTATGCATATGTAACATAAAATGGGAGCTGAAACTGAATTAATAAGAGGATTAGTTTTAGATCATGGAGCTAGACATCCAGATATGCCTAAATTCGTTAAGAAATGTTATATTTTGAATTTGAATGTTTCATTGGAATATGAAAAGACAGAAGTAAATAATAAATCGATCAATAGGTTCATAGTGGTTTCTTTTATAATACAGCTGAAGATAGAGAGAAATTAGCTAGATCTGAAAGAAGATTAACAGATGATAAATGTTAATAAATTATTGATTTTAAAAGAAAAGTTTGTGAAAAGAATGGTTATGGATTTGCAGTTATTAATTAAAAAGGAATTGATCCAGTATGTTTAGAAATGTTTGCAAAAGAAGGAATTGTTGGTATAAGAAGAGCTAAAAAAAGAAATATGGAAAGAATTGCAAAAGCTTGTGGTGGTAATTCTGTTAATGCAGTTGAAGATTTAACTGAAAGTGATCTCGGATATTGCGAAGTGGTAATTTATTTAACATATAATATAATTAGTTAAGAGAATACACTTTAGGAGAAGAGAAATATACTTTTATTGAAGGAGTATAAAATCCAACTTCATGTACTATATTAATTAGAGGACCTAATGAACATACTATTGCATAAATTAAAGATGCAATTAGAGATGGATTAAGAGCTGTTAAAAATGCTATTGAAGATAATTGTGTAATACCTGGAGCAGGTGCTTTTGAAATTGCCACCAGTGTTCATCTCTCTAAATTCAAAGATTCTGTAGCTGGAAAAGCTAAACTAGGAGTCTAAGCTTTTGCAGAATCCTTATTAGTTATTCCTAAAGCTCTAGCAGAAAATTGTGGATATGATGTTTAAGAAACCTTACTTTAAGTCACTGATGAATATATTAAACATAATATACCTGTTGGTGTTAATGTGAATGAACAAGGATTCGTTGCTCCTATTGCTAATGGCATCTTTGATAATTATTGCTCCAAAAGATCATGGTTAAACATTGCTCCCACTTTAGCTTAATAATTATTATTAGTTGATGAAGTAATCTTTTTTTTTATTTTTTTATAGATCATGAGAGCTGGAAAATAAGCAGGAGGGGCTCCATAATGATAATGAATGATATTATTATGTTAGATTATTACAAAATTAAGTTTATCAATTTCCAATTTATTTATATGTACACTATTTTGGTTTTGGATTTTAATTATCTAGCTCCTTCTTATAGTTTTCTTCTGCTATTGCTGGGTCTGGAATTACATGGTATATCCAATATAAATAACAATACAAACTGTTGTCATTCTCCTAAACTATGTAAATTAATCTTTGCTCCATTTTCACATATTTCCTTTAGCCATTATAGTTTTATAATTCAGCTGTGAAAAAATCCTATTTTCTGGAAACTGCCTCAAACATCTTACTCCATATATCAAGATATGATTCAACCCTTATTGCACATGGTAACATTTCTGTTTAAATCAAGTTCCATTCCATCATTTCTCTTGTTATACCCATTAAATGAAGATATTTCATATTGTTTATATATTTTAAAACTTTCGATCCTGTTGAATCATATCTTATCAAATAAGATTCATATGGATATTAAGATGCATACATGTCAAGATAACATATATCACTACATTAACTGATTTAAATATTTTTTTTTTAATGTTCTTGTATGAAATTTCTGATGTCATCTTTACTTTTCTACAAGTTCATTTACTCTAATAAATCATATATAACTTCTATGCTTACACATTACAAATTTCTAGGGAACAATGTAAATACTTATTTATCTGAAAAGTAATCAGTTTGTAAAATTTTGTACCCTACTGTAAAGATATTTGTGCATAATTCTCCTAAATTAGAATTGACTTGATAATCAGTACTGAAAATTATATCTATTTCTGTTCTTAAGTATTCTCTTAATCCTAATGACTTTGGTATTTTAATGACAATTTAAAATTCCTTTCTTATTACACAATATTTCTTTTATTCTTTTTACTTTTATTTTGCTATTTTAGAAGATTTCGTTACACCTATTATTTAAGTGTCAACAATATTTTAATTACTCTTCATTATTCTTCAAATGTATCTAAATTAATATATTTAAAATCAATAAACTTTTCTAAATATTTAATAACCTTTGTGAGATAATAAGTTTTTAATAATGACCTAATTTGATTTCAAAAAAATTAAATTTCATGAAAATGTTCTCATCGTCAAGAGATTTTCTTATATTCCTAAAGTTACGAATGTTTAAATAAATGAATATTTTTTATTTTTTATAAGTAAATTATGATTTCAACAACAATCTATATTTGCTGAGACTTTTTAATTTATATTTTAACTATTGAATTTTAATTTTTTATCAGAAAGTTAGAAAAATTTCTTAATAATTATTTATTCATTGTTCTTTAATATAAAAAATTCTTATGTATAAAGTTTTTTTTTTTTTCAATTTAAAGTGTAAAAATAGAGTAAAATCTTTTTTGATTGTTGAATTTACAACTTATTAGAATAAAATTTAATTTATAATCATAAAAAAATAATCTCATTTTATATTATAATTTGATGTGCCCTTAGCTTTTTTATTTCCTCCAAAAAATCTTTTATTGGAAAGTTTAGCTATTTTCGTACCAAATTATATAGCTTTTTTCCCATGTTTAGATATAACACTAATTAATTAAATAAAAGATTTACTTTAAACCTTCTTTTTGACAAATAATCCTTAAAATAGATTTAGTATCTCCCATAAGATATTGAGATGGGTGAATATTTTATCTTATATATTCAACTAATTCAATATTTAAAAAAGGAAACCTTAACTCTTTACCATTTTTACTTACAGCTCTATCATCTCTACCTAAATTTCTATTCCACAATCTAAATAAATCAAAATTCATTTCTTCAATCAATTCAGCATGACCTCTTTTTAAAGCATGTTTATATCGAGCATATCCACAAAAAATTTCATCAGCTCCTAATCCACTTAAAAGAACACGTGTTTCAATGTTATATTAACTTGCTATATTGAGTATCATTGCAATATTAAAATCCATATGTGTTATTTTAGGATATAATATTTCTAAAAATAATTTCTCTTCTTTATAAACATCATCCAATGTTTTATCAATTAAAATTAAATTTAATTATTAATTTTTATGTAGATTCTATAATTCTTAATGAGCAATCTTAGCTGTAATTCTATCAGGAGCGTCATTTAAAAATGCTACATTAATTAAATCAATTTATGAATTATCAGGTAACAATTTACAAACCATATGAGTTATTATACTACAATCTATTCCACCACTAAATAAAATTCCAATTCTTCCTTATTATTGATTTTATTAAATATTTTAAACATTATTAATAAAATGTTATTGAAAACCAAATATATTTTAAATAATCTCTTTTGTACTTTTTATTAAAATTTCATAAATTTTACAAATGTTAAAATCAAGAGTATTTTAAAAATCAATTTATTATATTTGATCAAAGTTTAAAAATTAAGATATTTATATTTTATTCCATTAAATCTCTTATCCACTTAAATTTATTTCTATGATTGAATTATTAGGTAATTCTATACAAGATTTATTAATTGCTTAATTAAATTCATTCAAGTATTTTTTCATTAAATATTTTTCATCTACTGTTTTTCCATCATCTTCATCATCTTCTTCTTCTTCCATTTCAATAGGGATATTCTTTTATAGAGCTTAAGAAGATAAAACAAATCCATTATCAATAAAACTTAGTAACAATGATCTTTTACCAAATGGGTCTTTGGCAATATAAATTTTTTATTTCAACAAGTCATGAAAAATAAAACTATAATCTCCATTTAAAGATAATAATAATTTTTAAATATCATGAATTGATTATACCTATTATAATTTGTTCATGAGAAACATAGTATCTGATTCATCAGGATTTATATTATAGATTTCTCCATTATATTGCAAAATAAATTATTCTTTTATTAAAGGTTATTTGATGAATGTATTTTAATCTCCTCTCATATGAAGTAAACTATGGTATAAAAGTTAATAATAGGGTTAATTAAGTTCGATTTTCCCCTAATAATCTGGTCCTCGTGAATTAAGAAGTTATAGTTTATCTAAATCAAGATTAATATTATTAGGTCTTTAATTTTTTATGAGTAACTCTTCAATTAATTATGGTCTTTTTGTTATATAAGGTGAATTCAAATACTCTTCATATAGGTTGAAATTGAATTAATGCGCTTTGTTTATTTTAATTAATGCAAATATTCCACACATTATTGGATAAATTAATTATTGCTACATAAACTATTCTAAATTCATTTTATATCTCTTTAAACTTTAAAGATGAAAAATTAATTCCTCCAACAAGATTCTTCTCAATATAGGTTAATTATTATAAATAATTTTCATCATTTTAAAAAATCCTTTAAACGTCAGTTCTCAAATCTACATAACAGATTTTTTTTGAGTAAAGTTCAAAAATTAATAAGTTTCTTTAGAAGAATTGGATTTAAGAAATAATGGTATATATTTTATAATCGTTTCTTATATTATGTCATATAGCTTCTTGATTTTTTGTAATGATTATAACACCTATAAATAATTTGAACTTTGCAGAATATAATAAAATTTGTTGTGTTGTACAATTAATTAAATTTATATGATACTTTTTCGATTCACCATAGCTTTGCTGATTATATAAAGTTGTACATCTCAATATTCTTAATGGGCTGTAACATATCATGAAGGATAGAATTCAGGTTTTAGTCACTTTGAATCAGATGTAGGATCAATAATTTAATGCAAATAACCTAATATTTCCATTCTAACTTCTAATCCTTATATTAAGAAAAGAATTTCTTTACACAATTTTAAACCGTTTGCTTAAACTTTAATAGCAATTGATTATTTAAGACCATAAAATATTGATGTGCAGATACAAATATAGAATAAGACTTATGATCCAAATTTGATCGATCAAAGTTACTAAAGATTATTAGTTGATGATTGCCTTGGGGAAGATCCTAAATATATAGAGTAATCATTTATATAGGAAATTTTTGGAAATTCATTAGAAGAAATCAATATTATTATATAGGCAGGTATAAATGATGATAATTAATTTATTATTCAAAGTGATTAGAAAATTGCTATTAAATAAATACATATTCTTTAATTATTATGTCCTTAAAATTGCAAGAGATGTGTTTATTTAAATAGTTAAGTCATTTGTACTATATGTAATTAAGGTTTTGAATAATATAGAGATGGTTGCAGATGTGAAGGATTCAGATAAAATGATATTTGTGTTGAAGAATGTTATGATGGATATGTATCAGATTAATATTAAATATGTCAAAAAGCAGGTTTGAATTAATTATATTATTATTAGAAATCATCAATTCAATCAAGTTTTAATAAAACCTAAGGAAGATTTATTAAGAAAATGAACCATTCGAATTGGAATTTGATTTACAAAGCTCAAAAACCTTTCAAATTGAAATTGAAGTCTAAATTTATAACTTTTAAGTAAGATTTTTATTTAAAATTTATAGAAATTATCAATTTTTGAAATTCAATTGAATTAAGGTTAATATATGGCATATTTCAAAATTGATTAAAGAATATTATTTGGCTTAACTTCAATGACTCAAAAAGATTGTGAATATGAAGAATTTTGCACTGTTTATTATTTTAAATCATAAATAATGAATATTGATCAAAATAAACTTTTCTTTTAAACACTCTTAAAAAAAATGCCTTATGTAAATATTGTTGATGAAAAGGATTGGATTAAGAAATCAATATATTGGAAGTTAATTAATTTAAATATAAATATATTGAAGTTAGAAAAATAGATACCAAAAATAGAGAATTGTATAGAGATATCAAATGAATAATAATGTTTAAAATGTTAGATTCCATTTTTTGTTTTAGATGGTTAGTGTATTAATAAATGTCCATTATAGTAGCCGAAAAGCAATGAAATATGTTTTGATTCAAAAACTGACAATCTATAAATTCTGTAATTTTCTTAAGTTTAAAATGAATATCAGAATCTAAATTAAATCTATTTCATTTATTAAGTTAACTGGTTTTATAATAAGGAATTATTGAATTCAGGCTCTATGTTTTGGTATCATTTATTCTCTCAAGATATTTAACATTATGGAATAACGATTTAATCTAAAATAATATTTATTGATTAAAATGATGATTCAAAATTAATTATATCTTTAGAAAATGGAAATTAAAAATTTGTTATATCACCTAATAATACGGAATTTATTGGAGGCTAATAAAATATTCCTGATTCAATAGTTTATTTTAATTAATTTATTCCTCATAATAATGCCAATTTTACTATAGAAGTTGAATCCTAAAGCTTAACTTATTATACAAACTTTGTTATATTAATTCATAATTGTGCACCATATTGCAAATCATGCACTGGTCCAAAGAAATCAGAATGTTTAGAATTTGAAAAAGGATTAAAAGAATTTGACTCTACAATGCTAAAATGTAACCTAGGATATTATGAAACATAAGCAAATTATTGTATGTAATGCTTAGAACTTAATTGCCTTTCTTGTACAAATAACAAAGATTGTTTATTATGTAGAAATGGATGCAAATTAACAAAATATTAAAAATGCATTTGCAATTGAATCATATAATATAATATTCATTAGGATAATTATTATTATAAATTTTCATTTTTTTCCAAAAAGCTCCATTAATATTGATAAAAGTGTTATGCCAATATCAATTTAAAAGTAGCCTTTATGTAGTCATTCAGAGAATAAGATAAAGATTAAATTATTATTAATTTCTATTTTTTTATTTCCTATGAATAACTATGTATCAAATATAAAATTAATCCTAATAAGATGGCCACGCAAGAAACGTATATCATGTCTAGAATTTATGAATCAAAAATCCAGCAAACTAAAAAAAATACCCTCAAAACTCATCAAGCCTTTGTTATATCTGTTTTTGTTATGAAAGCTTATAATCTTAATATTTCTAATAGTTAATACTAATACTGCAGATATATCAAATATGCTCTTGTGACACCATAATTCACTATCCAATATTTGCATAAATTAAATATTCCAAGAATTATAGAATTTTTGGAACTTCTCTTGACACACTTATATTTTAAATGATATTTGTACTTTTTAAAGCAAACAATAGAAACCCTCGCAAAAATCTAATAAAAATTAACAAAGCCGAGTGTTTTATTTCTAAGAAGAGGAAATTCTTTTAAAAAAGCAAGAAATATAAAAATTGAGTATAACTTCTCTTAAACATCTTTACAATAAATATTAATTTATTGATAATTCTTACTTTATGAATGAATTAGAATTTTAATGTTTTCATCATTTTATAAACTCTTGAATCCATTTTTTTTACTTTATTAGAAATTTATATTTATTTTACTAATATATAATAATTTAATATTATAATAATTTAATAGAAATAATGTTAATTTTTTGAACTATTAACAAATTTATAAATATATTTTTTTTTAATTGAATTCGATAAAATAGTTATCTTATATAGCACAAATTCATTTAAAATTTTACTTATTTCTAATCCCATTGCATAAAGAGTCAATTTTCAGCAATTTAAAAGTAAAAACTTTCAATTGATATAAAAAATAAGATTAACGATTCATCTTTTAGAAAAATAATCTAATTATTGTTTGAAGATTCTTCTTTCCTTTATTCAAATTTATTAAAGGAGTTTAAACACTGATATTCATTATTCAATAATTAGAGCTAAAATAATAAGAAAAATAAAAAATTTTAATTGAAATCAGCATTTCAATAAGTTGACCACTTTGTTTTAAATTGTGTATAAATATATGAAAATAAAAAATTCATTTAGCTTTCTGGCATTTTTTTCAGCATTTCTATAAATTAAGTCTTATATTATTTCTGTATTAAACATGATGACTAGTTGATCTGATATTTGAATTATACACATATCCAATAGCTTCTTTCTTTAAAAATCTGTTTGCTATAATTCTAAATAATTTTAATTGGCTATCATCTTTTAAGTATTTCTTTATATGGTTGATGTTTTTGATGTTATTTTTTAATTGTGTTAAGATTTTTAAAAATTCTATTCCTTATTTTTCATCTAGATACTTTAATATCTCGATTCTCTATCTAATAATGTATTAGACTATAGCTTTTGCGTAATTTTTTTATATGTTTGTAGACTTTTGCGACAGATTTAATGCTAATATCTATTTTTTTGATTTCAGTTTATTTGTCATTATTATTGAACCATTACTTTCTTCTTATTATTTCTCTTTTATTTAGACCTAAGATGTCTCAGTAGGTAATTTTGACACCTCTGATGCAATATTCTTTTCTATTTAGGTAGGTAATTATTGTAAATATTAATTTTTGAAGTAAAGTTCTTGTTATCCGATATATCCTTAGACTATTGGCATATAATAAATTGGATAGATAATTGGTTATTGGCTTTGAATGTAAGCAGTGGGAAAGGATTGATTCCACATTAGTTTTAATTATTATTTAAGCGATTTCATTTTACCTTTAAAAGAAAAAATTTCGGTTTATTTCCTTATGAAATAATTATTGAATTTTATAAAAATTTTGTATTTTATTAAAGTGACTACAACTGAAAAGCCTACTCTACTGTAAACTTATCAGAATGACCCTATTTAAGATATGTATGAATCTCTTATCTAATATATGAGGTAAAAAGGTATCTTATGTTAATTTTTTCTAAAATGAGATTTTTCTACAATACTTTTTCAGTTATATTACTAAGTAAAATTTGGAAATTTTTTTTTAAATATTGAAATTTTTGATTATCTGTAATTTAATCTTAATCAACCCTATGACTTAACAAAAATATTCTTAGTTTCAATATTTTCACGGTTTTCATATTAATAATAAAATTTTTCATTTTTCATTCATCAAATTAATTATACTCTTATTTACTTCAAATGTGTGAACATAAAAATTAGCTAAGAACTAAAATTAAAATGAATAAAGCATCCGAATTTTGCATCTGATTATAAAATATACTAAATTATAGATTCATCTTATTCAATTTATTGTTTAAAAAAAACGATAAATGCATATCAGCTTCAAAAATCTATAGCAACTTATTTTCTGAATATGTCATTTTTTTCGTAGGGGAGTATAGGTAAAAATCATTAATTGTTATTGTTTTGGGAATTGGAATCTAAATTTTTATTTTTGTTATGAAAATGATGATAATATCTGATACATATTTCTAATTTATCATCTGTCATATAATTCCAAATTAAATAATCAATTATGCATGACATGTTTTTTTCTTAATCATAAATCAAAAATAATTTTTTTATTAATGTGATTCCTATATTACTATAAAAATAATATTTTAAATTTACCAACATATTAATATAGTACTTTATAAAAAGTTAATTAAAAATGTATTTTAAAAAAGAGTAATATTTTCGATTTACATACTACATATTTATGAGTATTTTAAAACCCTTTTTTAATATCATGAGTCTCCCTTTTTTGAATTTAAATTATAATTTAATTTAACAAAAAAAGGGTATCATATATTATTATAGATAAAAGTTTAATAGAGCTGATAGACATTCCATAAAGTTAAGAAGCAGATACAACAAATTTATAGAATAAAACTAGAGACTATTAAAGCCATCTGAGAGTAGATTAAAAAAGAGAAATAAATATCAATAATGATTTAAATGAATCAATAGAGGATAATTTAAAGTGAAATTATATCTTATAATAGTAAAAAATGCTAGAATTTAGTTGTGAGTTTTAAAAATAATTTCAATAATAATATCAATTTGTTTTATTCAAAAAAATTACCACCATGATTTTTCTGATTATGGTCTATTTCTACTAGATGATAAAAGTCCACAGCATAATCCATTATTATTTCCAGACGCTTTGACTCCTTCTTATTTGATAACTTATTATTAAATAATTTGAGGTCTATGAGAGAATATTTTGTATTAAGTAGGTTTGACATCTTTAAGCATTTTTTAAACTTCCTCTTTTGCACAATGATGTTTTGATAATTATAAAGCTGTTTTGCCTTTAGTACTTAATTTTTCTTTTGATGCTCCTCTTGAGAGTAAGAATCGTATTACATCTAAATTTACTCTTAAATCTCTTGGATTTAATTTATCTTTAACTGAACAAAATAACATTAATAATGTATATCCTTTTTCTACATTTACTACTGCATCAATATTTGCTCCATTATCAATCAACAATTCAGCCAGTTTAAAACATAATTGTTTGTTCTCGAAGTAATTAGTTTCTTCTTCTAACCTACTGAAACAATAAAATAAAGGCACTGATCCTTTAGAATCTGCTTAATTTACATTAGCATCTTATTAGACTAGTAGCTCAGCTATTTCATAATATCCATTGCTACAAGCTAATTTTAAAGCTGATAATTCTTATGGTTTACTAACCATATTAACTTCTATTGCTTCATTTTGTAATAGCAACTTTACTATTTCTAACTAACCTGTAGCAACTGCCAAAGATAAAGGAAATATTTATTTATCTATAAAATCTTCACTAAATTCTTCTAAATAATTTAAATCTCTAAGATGGATTTTCATTGATTTTAATTAATCTATGTTACCTTCATAAATAGAGTGTAAAATTAATTATTCTATATTGCAAATATTTGTATTCGAAAAACGATATGCTAATATAGATGAATAATTTATTACTTGATTCATCTTTCTTGATTTCTATAGTTTGCATATCTGGACTAGGATCAGCATTCACTTATGGTAATTCTCCAATTACCTAATGAGAATTTGATCTCATTATTTTTTTATATTTTATAATTATTTTGTATGTTAAAATTAAATTCAGAACTAAAATTCAAAGTTTAGAACATTTAAAATTAAATCAATATACAAAAATTTCTATTTTTTCAAAAAAGTATAAGTTATTCTTTTGAAGTATAAAAATTTCAAAAAAATTCAAAGATATGTTCTATTGCATCAGGATATAATATTTAGAAGAAAATAGCTTTTAATATTCAATTTAATATATAAAAATAATAATTTCAATTTCTGAACAAGTTATCATGTAAAATAGTAAATAAAATAATAAAAACCTGATGATTACTGATTTAAAGTAGGTTCTGTTGTTCTAAGAATATTTTTAGTTAAATATAAAATTAAAATGTTGAATCTTGTAATTTAATAATAAAATTACAATTCAAAAATAAATCTTTAAAAGTTTTTGTTTGTGTAAATTTATAAAGGTAAGAAATCTGAGGTCATTATTAATGGATGTCGAGGTAGTTGAAAGGAAATCGAACTGAAGGTTAAAAGAATGTAGTATTTCTTAATTTATTTAAAAATAAAGATAATAGGTATTTTTAGTGAAGCAAATCTAGAAGAGAATATGATAAATATTATGATAGATAAGAAATAAGAAGGAATGAAGTGGTAAAGAATAATTGGGAAATTTAAAAGACTATGTAATTGATGAAGAAGAAATTAAAAAATACAATAAAAATTTGTAGTTACTTTAAATGATAATCATAATTGATGATCATAATATCTTGAAAGTTAATTAATTTTTGAATAATTAATTTATAATCAATCATCTAAAGATTTAGTTACTTTTTCTTTTTTGATTTCTTGTTGTTCTTGAGTATCTTAAGTATTTTAAGGTTATTTTTTTTAGAAAAATTTACCAATTCCATTTTTAAATTATTATTCTTTGTATTCTTCAAGAGTGATTAAACATTTTTCACTTTTTTCTTTAATATTATTAACATATGGAGCTACTTTAGTAACTTAAACTTATCCCCAAATTTTCTTCTATGAATTCAATATTTTTTTATCTATAATATCAAAGAAACCACTATAATAATAATATAAATTTACACTTTTGGATTAATCCATAGATCTATTTCATCATCTTCTAATAATACAGGCATTCTATCATGAACTTTAGCATAATCTCCAAAAGCATCTCTTGTTAAAACAAAGATTTCATCATCATCTGTATACATAGCAGCTAAATATAATGGTTTATTTGTAGAGAATTTAAATGGCTCTTTTTTTTTATTCCATTCATAATATCCATCAGCAATAATGACACATCTTTTTTTATCTAAGAATGGTTTAAATGTATGCTTTTCATGCATTTCTTCTATTCTGGCATTTATAATAAGATTAAATTTCGTTTGGAATCCCCATTTAAAAAAATCAAGTCCTCTTTTATTCTTTTACTTTTCTATCACTTCTTAACTTTCATCTTCATTCTATTATTCAATCTCAGAATGTTAATTCTAATTGTCTTAATTATTATTTTATTCTTCATATTCTTCAAAATTATCATCATCTTCAACATATCTAATTGCTGGAATATAATTAGTTGGTCCCATATTATATGTTGGATTAAAATTAGCAGTATTTCTAACTCTTCTTGTTTGAGCAAATTGTAATAATTGTGCTATATTATGAATCTAAAATATTCGTCCGCACATTATCAGAATATCACTATTTAGATTAAATAATAAAAATTGAATTTCCAAAAACAACTTATTTCATCAAATATTCAAATTCATTTTATGATTTTACAAATTTGAAATGTAATTCCAATAATATTGAATGAATAAATGTTTATGTTTTTAATACAAGAGATTAATATTTTAAATATATTTAAATGGCTTTATAACCTTGCAAAATTTTATCTATTATTTCCCCTAATCAATTTATGATTTAAACTTAATAATAGAAGGTTGTTATTGTTGGTGATGGAATTCCTAATTTCTTAACAAGAGATTAATTGTCTGTGAAAGAAAAAACTCTTGAGAAATTTTTAGAATAATTATAATATGTCAATAAGGATGCTTTATACATATCTAGATAAAATCAAATCTAAATCAATGGAAATGATTTAATTTAAAATATTGATGATAGTGTCGAAATCTAATTAAATTTAATTGGTGTTAAGAGCAAAACACCTAAAATATGTTAACCCTTAAATTAATTTATTAAAGAAATGAGAAACAAGACAATTAATGCCATTTTGGTATCTTTTGAATGTAATAGTCTAAATTTTTTATTCAAAAATGACACTATAATATCTTTAGTACCTAATGCCATAGTAATTGATGGTAATTGTTATTATACCATAAGATTTTGGAATAAAAGATTAAGAATATGCTAAATTAATGTAGATGGAATGGTTGAATAAGGAGTTTAGTATTACTTTTAAAGGAACATCTACAATAGCTATCTTCTAGAATGATAATGCTATACATATTCCAATTTTAAGAGCTGAATTACATTATATTAATTAACCAAATGTTGAATTAAGTAATGAATTTTACTCATCTTTAATTCAAAAAGGTTTTGCGCATATTAGTGATTGGGGGTATATAAATAAATAAGTTAGGAAATTAAATTTATCATAAAATTCATTCCAGTTGTTACATTAATGTTAGGAAGAGGCAAAAAGATTAAATTTAGGAATGTGGAAAAGTGGAGAATTAGATAGAAGTATGCTTAATTCTTTGACTTCATAAATAAAAGGATAAGTAATTGAAATTATTGAAGCAAATTAATTTTATATTAAGACTGATAGAGAAACTTTAAATATTAAATTAGAGAGAATTTTTATTGAAGGTTTAGAAGCAAAAGAATTTACAAGAAGATTATTGATTGGAAAATAAGTTTACATTTTATAAGTTGGTGATAATTCTCCTATTTATACAATATAATTAATTGAAAATAATCTTGATATAGAAGAAGAACTTATTTCAAATGGATGGGCTACACCAAAAGAGAATCATCCTGGCTTATCAAAATTCAAATATTAATAATATTAATAACTTAATTAGATTGCTAAATAAAAAAGATTAGGATAATATAGTGAAGAATTGACTTGGAGAATTGAAGATTAAACTCATTCTAAATAAGGGAAATGTGTAAATGAAATAATTTGGTCAAGTATATAAAGAGATAAATAAAGTGCTAAATAATCTGGAACAAGCACAGGAATCAGTATAAAGGAAGATTATTAATTAGAAGCAGTTGTAGATAAAATTAATATTAATGGATTTTTATAATTGAGCATTATTAAATATCATTCTTTAATCAATTTCTAATTAAATGGAATTACTAATTTAGTAGAATTTGAAACGAGTTTTCCAACAATAATAAAATATGAAGAATAAAGAAAATAATATACTTATAATTTGTTAATGTAAAGAAATGTTTGGGTTAATTTTGAGCATTTTAATATTTAAGAAAATATATTCTATGGTAAAATTTATCAAAGAAAAAACAATAAAGACAGTGATTTTATAATAAATTTATTATAAGAAGGTTTAACATTTATGAAGAGTAATTCTGATTATTTTGATAAATATGAGGAGGCTTAAAAATAAGCAGAAGAAAATAAAAAAGGATTCTGGAATGAATCATATTCAAATTTTATATTGGATTTTATTCATAATAAATAAACATTGAAAAGGTAAGTAAATGCAGCAGAACATTTATAAGAACATGATAATTAATAAATGGAATAAGTAATTATTACAGTTGTTAATGATTGTAATGAATTTTATATTAGAAAATCAAATAATCCTGAATTCGAGGAGTTAGAAATTTAGATTGAAAATGCACAGTTAATTGTAATAATATTTATTATATATTAAACAGCCTTTAAAAAAACCTGTTAAAAAGGGAACACTTTGCTTAGCCAAATTTACAGAAGACAATAGAATATATAGAGCATAAGTAATTTAAGCATTTAAGAATGACAGATTCTTGGTTAAATTTATAGACTATGGTAATAATGATGAAATTGGATTTAATGAAATGGGAGTGTTACCTGCATAATTTACACATATACCTTAATAAACAAGAATGTGTGCTTTGGCATATTTAAGAGTTCCATATTAAACTCATGAATTTTCAGATGAGGCTGCTGAAATTTTGAGAGAATTGATACTTGAATAATTTTTTGATTGTAAAGTTAAATACATAGAAAAAAGTACAAATAGGCATTTTGTAACTTTATAACATTAAGGTCAGATAGATGAATTATAATTTAGTATTAACAAATTGGCTTTGGATAGAGGGTAATAACAAATTTATAAATTTAGAATAGGGCGTATAGATCATCGATAACCTTATAATCCATTAAAAGAATTCTAAATTAGTGAACAAGATGCAAAAGCAAATGGAATTGGTATATGGGGATTTGATGATTGTTTGGAAGATGAGAAATAATTTGAAGATGAGTATGACTTTTATTCGTGATTTAATATATATATTTTATTATTATGGGGTAAAGTCAAAATTTAAATTATTTATGCAATTGTTGGATATGATTTTGGAGAATTGATTTGAAAATATTTATATTACAGTTTTTATAAAAGATGTATAAAAATATTAAGTTTTTTGATCTATTTCTCAAACATCTGAAATGTCTTGATAGATGATGAGAAAACAAACTTATCTAATTTAGAAATGAATTTATTTATATAAAGATTGATCTTTAACAAATGTGTGTATAAAAAGTGTAATTAATAAGAGGTGTGATTAAATCATAAAATAATTATAGATATGGATTAATAATAAGGAATTCCTGCTGAATAAATAAACTAATTGGTAAATAAGCATTTCGATGATGCATTACCAAAATTGATAGAGATTCTAAAGATTCCTAGTTAATCAAGAATGTTTGACCCAGAATATTTAACAAATGGATTATTGTTAAAAACAGCATAAGAATTCCGAGATTATATATTGGGAGCCAATTTAAAGAGTAAGAAGAATAAATATAAAATTATTTAGATGCTAAAGTAGAGCTATTAGTAGATGAGGGATATTCTCCATTCTTATTTGTTGAAATAGATGGATCAGATGGTTAGACAGATGGAACAGTGTTATTTTATGGTCATATGGATAAGTAACCACCATTTAATGGTTGGAAAGAAGGATTGAGTGCATATGAACCAAAAATAGTAGATGATAAATTATATGCAAGAGGAGGAGCAGATGATCATTATTCAGTATTAGGAGCAGTGATAGCAATTAGAACAATATAAGAGTTAGGTTTAAAACATCCAAGAATTGTAATGACATTTGAAGCAGATGAAGAAAGTGGATCTGCACATATAGATCATTATTTGGCAAAATTAAAAGAGAAAATTGGAGATGTTGATTTAGTTGTTTGTTTAGATTCAGGATGTGGTAATTATGAGTAATTATGGATAACTACAACATTGAGAGGTATGGTAGGTGCATGTGTTACTGTTAAAGTTTTAGATGAAGGAGTTCATTCAGGTGATGCATCAGGTGTTGTACCATCTTCATTTAGAATCTAAAGACTTCTATTAGATAGAATTGATAATCCAAACACTGGAGAAGTTGTTGAAGATTTCTAAGTTAACATTCCAGGAGAAAGATATTTATAAGCTTAAAAAGCAGCTGAAGTATTAGGTAAATCTACTTTAACTAAATTCCCATTCTATGGAACTACTTAACCAACCACTCAAGATTATTTTAAAGCATATTTAAATAGAATATGGAAAGCTTAACTATCAGTTGTTGGAGCTGAAGGATTACCTTAAGCAAAAACTGCTGGTAATGTACTTAGACCTGAAACTACTCTTAAATATTCTTTAAGATTACCACCCACCAAAGATCCTAAAGAAGCAGAAGCTGCTTTTGTTAAAATTGTAATTCTATTTATACTAATTATAGTTAACTACTAATGTTCCATATAATGCTACTGTTAAAATCAATGGATTAGGATCTGGTTCTGGATTTAATGCCCCATCAAATTAACCATATCTTGATTCACTTATTTAAAGTGCTTCCTAATTATTCTATAAAAAAGATGCATAAACTTTAGGTGAAGGAGGATCTATTCCACTTATGAATACACTTAAAGAATAATATCCTAAAGCTTAATTTATTGTCACTGGTGTTTTAGGACCAAACTCTAATGCACATGGACCAAATGAATTCATGCATATTCCATTCACTAAAAACTTAATTAGTTGCATTACATACATTGTAACTGGTCTACAAATACATTTAAAGAAATGAAATAAATCATACAAATGATTTATTATTCAAAATCATAAAAAATTAAGCTCATCTTTTTCATATATTTCTTACTTCTACTTTTTGCTCAAGAAAATCATAATATATTTTTTTCATTTATTTTGTTAAATACAATTATTTCATATTGTTTTAACAATTTCATGTTAGCTTAGGGAAAGCTGATTCAACCTAAAACTTTTCTCCTTTTAAGGTTCTCAATTCAGAATCTTTTGGATAATCAACAATAGAAAAAATACAATCTAGGTATTATTAAAGAATTACTTAAATCATAAATAAATAAATTTTCATGGAAAGAGTAAACGAAGTACATTTATTGTTGTGAAGAGTTTATGCAATAATTTTCCAAAGTTTTCTAAATGTATTTATTATTTTTATCCTTTAGAATGTTAATGTATCGATTAATTCTCTTCACATTTTATATTAAATGACAACGGTCAATTTCAAATTAATCAAGCAATTCTTGATTTTAAACTTGAGTAATTAAAAATCATCATTGAAACATGATTAAATTTGATTATAATTAAAGACAAATGTAAGCATTATAAAAATAAATTCATCATTAAAAAAGAGAGTACCATATCAATAAATTCAAATATAAATGAATGCTAAAAATAATTATAAGATATATAATTATTACATTTGAGTAAAATGAATTAATATTATGAAATATAAATATAATAATATAACCTATGGGTGCTATCTGTTGCACAGAATAATTTGAGAGAGGAGGGGAATTAGATATTAAAATAAGTAAATTAGAAGCAAATAATTAATAAATGGGAAACGAAACTGTTACTATTTCAAAGGAATTATATGATAGTAAGGATAAAACATAAGGATAATTGGAAATATGTTATTCATGCCAAGTGTTGAAAATTCAATGCGAATGCAAATCAATATAAAAATTACATGGAGACATGGATGAAGAAGAAATATTTGTACATTCATCTCGATCTTTGGATAGTTCATCCTCTGAATCACGTCCTGATGATACAAACACTAAAAAAACCATTTTAAAACATCAATTACATTATATTTCAAATACATAATAATAGCAAATTCAAATAAAAAAGAAGGTTAGATTCGATTTATCTAAGAAATAATGATATAAACTAATATTTTTTGTTTTACTTAATATAAATATACATTCACTCTACTTTCTCTTTGTCTTTATTATCTACACCTTCTTTTGGAGAGGATTCATCTTCAGATGAATTTTTTTCTCCCTATCTTTTAGGTGATGATTTATCTGCATCAAATTCTTTTGCTTTAACTTTCTTTTTTTCTTTCTTTTCTTTTTTATTTCTTTCAGGAACACAACAAACTAAAAATATTATAAAACATAATTTACTTATATATGAAAGTAAAACACCTACTAAACCAAATGAAGAGAGAACAAGCCATTCTTTTAATTCAAAAATTGATAAATCAGATATTTCTTATGATTTATTTTTATTACGCTATCTCTTTCTTCCTGAATCTGATTAATCATTTCCATCATCACCACCTTCAAAGTCTTTTTTTTATTAGTTAATCATATCATCAATTGATTTTATGATCTTCATAATTTCATTTTTTTTAGAGCTCTTCTTTTTTGATCCAAACTTGCTTAAATCCGCTTTTTCAACTAAATGTTTATGAGCTTCTAAATTTATTTTTTATGTTTGTAATTATTGAATAATCTATTGAATAAAATAACTCTTACCTCCATTGTCTCTTATGTAGAGATGCTCTCTAAACATTATTNCCATATCAATAAATTCAAATATAAATGAATGCTAAAAATAATTATAAGATATATAATTATTACATTTGAGTAAAATGAATTAATATTATGAAATATAAATATAATAATATAACCTATGGGTGCTATCTGTTGCACAGAATAATTTGAGAGAGGAGGGGAATTAGATATTAAAATAAGTAAATTAGAAGCAAATAATTAATAAATGGGAAACGAAACTGTTACTATTTCAAAGGAATTATATGATAGTAAGGATAAAACATAAGGATAATTGGAAATATGTTATTCATGCCAAGTGTTGAAAATTCAATGCGAATGCAAATCAATATAAAAATTACATGGAGACATGGATGAAGAAGAAATATTTGTACATTCATCTCGATCTTTGGATAGTTCATCCTCTGAATCACGTCCTGATGATACAAACACTAAAAAAACCATTTTAAAACATCAATTACATTATATTTCAAATACATAATAATAGCAAATTCAAATAAAAAAGAAGGTTAGATTCGATTTATCTAAGAAATAATGATATAAACTAATATTTTTTGTTTTACTTAATATAAATATACATTCACTCTACTTTCTCTTTGTCTTTATTATCTACACCTTCTTTTGGAGAGGATTCATCTTCAGATGAATTTTTTTCTCCCTATCTTTTAGGTGATGATTTATCTGCATCAAATTCTTTTGCTTTAACTTTCTTTTTTTCTTTCTTTTCTTTTTTATTTCTTTCAGGAACACAACAAACTAAAAATATTATAAAACATAATTTACTTATATATGAAAGTAAAACACCTACTAAACCAAATGAAGAGAGAACAAGCCATTCTTTTAATTCAAAAATTGATAAATCAGATATTTCTTATGATTTATTTTTATTACGCTATCTCTTTCTTCCTGAATCTGATTAATCATTTCCATCATCACCACCTTCAAAGTCTTTTTTTTATTAGTTAATCATATCATCAATTGATTTTATGATCTTCATAATTTCATTTTTTTTAGAGCTCTTCTTTTTTGATCCAAACTTGCTTAAATCCGCTTTTTCAACTAAATGTTTATGAGCTTCTAAATTTATTTTTTATGTTTGTAATTATTGAATAATCTATTGAATAAAATAACTCTTACCTCCATTGTCTCTTATGTAGAGATGCTCTCTAAACATTATTCAACTAAAGAAGCAACAGCTGACATTACAGCTTCTTCTTATGATAATCCTTACTATTAAATCATCTCTCCTATAACTTTTCCAGCCAAAGCTTAATTGGATTGCAAATAATATCTAGAAAAGATAACACAAGCAGCATTTGTCAGTTATTTTTCATCTTAAATTTGAGCCTAAGCTAATGATAACAAAATGAATATTAACATTAATTAATAATTAATATAGAAATACTAATAAGTTAAACTTAAAAAATTCGTATTTATTTCAGAAATAAAAATATCAATCTATCTTATTTTCTTTTACAATAAATTATTTTGCTTAAAAATATTTATTATATTTAGCCAATTTATTTTATTTAAAATCATTAAAATACTATCATTTAAATAAAAGATATTAAAACTCTTTATAATAGCAAGAATCAAAGCACAAATTTTAAACTAATAAAATTTTCATAATTGCCTAGATTTTTAAGCCATATATTATATTCATTTTTTAATATATACATAAGTTCTAGTAATAAATAGGCTAAACAAATTCTTAATTGAAAAAAAATAAAATTAAAATATTCTGAAATTAAGATATTGATTATCTTTAAATTAGTTATGTTTATTATTGATATACTATTGAGAAAATAAATAAAAATTTATTTTAATAAATTATTCATTGATTGCAGTAGGATCTTCCTTTTCTAATTTTCCATTGCTTTGGAGGGAATTTTTAATTCAATTATTTAAGAATTAGCATTTTCTAAATTTATTAAATATTATGATGAGGAAAATATTCGGGATAATTCTATACTTTATCAAAGTCATCAAGTGTATAAGAGAAATAACTTTCTCTTAAAAATTATAATTATAACCTTATTTATGAGTTTTCTTATTATTTATAAAAAGATTTTCTTTAATTTTAAATTACTGATTGTTTTTTGGAACTTATTTATGTGATTGATTAACCTTGAATCTATTAATTCTTATTTTATGAATTTTTCATATTTTTTTTGATTGATAAATTGGACTTAAAAATTGGATAAACAATTTGTTCTTCTTCAAATTTGACTGAATTAGTTTCTGAAATTTTTTCTTTAAAACTCTCAAATTCTGATTAACCATATCGTTAAGTAAAGCTTTAATCATCTTAAAACTCTAATGCTTAATTTTATACTTCATCAATCTCAGAAAGAGCACGAAATTTATAAATTTTTCTTACAAAATTATTTCGATTGTTTTTTCTGCTAAAATTACTTTTTAAGATTTTGATATAAATATTTGGATAGTATTAAATCAATGGGCATTTTATTGAAAGGTGAGAAGTGCTTTTACATATTTAACAAATTTATTTTAAAAGCGTGTAATCCTCTCTGAATATAATTGAATCTTTGATTTTATGAAATCTTTAAAAGTCTTTACTATTTTGTTTAATTATTCTTAAAACTACATCTCTATCAATTTTATATAATTCTGTAAACGAATTGCTAATGGCCGATTCTATTGTATTCTATCCAGTAAAAAATTGGAATTCCCCAAAAATATCTCCTGGTTTCAAAATTTTTAAAATTTTTTAACTTTTTTCTTCTATAATATTTACTTGACCCTCAACAATATAATACCTATATTAAACAACTTTTTACAAATTTTTATCCGATTTTTCATCTAAATGATAAATAATATCTTTAGGAGTAACTTTCATTTAAATTAATTATTTGGATATTAATCCATTACAGATTTCAGAAAAGTTATTTTAAAATATATGGATTTTTTTAATAATTTTATTTCTAATATCTTAATTCAACTCATTGAATAATCCGATAGGTAATTCTTTTAATAATTTTAAAGTTTCTAGATTGCTATCCTAAATTTCTTTTTCATTATTATATTTATAATAGTTTCTAACTCTTTATTATAAAGAATGTTCTACAAATTGTTTTTCCATATAAGAATTCAATAATATTAAATTTCGTCTTATTATATGGATTTTATATACTTATATTTTGTTTTTTATTCATTAATACTTTTAACTGTCATTCCTATTTCATTAATTGAATATGCGAATAAACAACTGGAAAGTAGCATAACAATAATTGAAAAAATAATTTCAACTTAATTTTTAGGAGTTATATCACCATATCCTACCGTTGCAATAGTAGTGGTTGACCAGTAGAATGAATAATTGTATTTTATCCAAATATTTTGATAAATTAATTCTTCTTTTTCTAACCATGAACCATAATTATCATAAGTAATATCTCCTATATAATGCCATAAGCATGCAATTAAATGAACAAAAAATGTAATAGATACAAAGAGAGATATTAAATCTAAAAGATTTAAATTTACTCCTTTTAAGTAAAGTTATTCTAACTAACTTTCATATTTTCCCATAATATCTTTGCAAATAATCGATATCAATATTACACCTATAATTTCTTTGAGAAATGCAATTTTAAATAATTCTAAATAAATAAAAATCCATAATAAACACTCAAAGAATATATTTATAAAAGATAAGTTTTAATATCGTAAGTTTGGATCAACAGATGTTGAATCTTTATATTAAGACAATTAACTTAAATTTGTAATTAAAGCATCCAATAAAATGAACATAAAAAAAACAATTTCTATGCCTTTTAAAAAATGTTCATAATTTCCAAATGAAATTATGAATGGACAATACCACAATTGTAATAACTAAAATAAAAAAGAACAAATCTGCCAAATTGTATTAATTAACTTATATCGTTAAAAAATAACATTAAACAAAGTTAGGCACACACCTTATATAGTTTATAAAAATCTAAAGTTCGCCTAAAATTATATAGTTTTCTAAATCCATTATACAAACACCTTTTTATTTGATGATGAAATTTGTTGATTGTAATTGTTATTTTTTTCTAGTAAGCAATCGTTCTAAAAAAAAGGTAATTATTTCTGATCATTTTTTAGAATATATGCACTAGCAAATAAATTGTTTTTGAATTTTTCAACGTTTTATGTTTTCTTCATAGCCTTTAATAAGTTTGTTTAAGAATTTGCTGGTTTCTATTCTTTAAATTTCAAAAAAATATTTTCAGGAAAATGTTTTTCAGGTTACTTTGTTGAAGTATATATATTTATTTATCTATAGCTTTAATTTGACTAAAATATTTATTTACTAAACCTATCTATCAATTTGTTCTATTTCTTGCGACAAAATGGAATCCTTGGAAGAATCCCTTTTGATGTAAGTTTGTATGTTTTTTGATTCAATTTAATTAAAAGGACCTATAATTGTATTGTTCACTAATCCTTCACTGGATCTTTGGGTATTTATCATAATTGATCAATAATTAGATAATAATATAATAGTTAATTATTGATTATTTATTTTAAACAAAAAAATGATCATTTTTTTTATTTAATCTAAGTATTAAAAATAAAAGTATAAAGTTTGGCGTTTAAATCAGTCTTTGACAAAATTATTTAAAAGTTTCTCTTCTCAAAGTTCCAAAGTTCCTTATTATCCTTCCTCAATTATTTTGTTTTTTATAATAGGGTGATAATAAATTTTATCAATATCATTATGATGAAATTATAATTCTAATCTAAATTCGTCTAAATAGAATCATCAGACATCATGCTATTTGATTCTTTTACTGAACTCTTCGCTTAAACATCTTTTAAATTTCTCTATTATCTAATCGACGTATTTTTGCAAATGTTATTTTAGCCTTTTTTTTTTTTCTATCAACTTAAGATCGTTTGATAAATTCTTATAAATTAATAAATTCATCATTTTAATTATGATCTATGTCCTTCGATGATATTTTAGGTTGCTATTAAATTTTTTTTTAGTTGCTAATTTGTTGATTTACATTATATCCTGTTTATATATTCTTGAGCCACCAACTTATCCTAAAAATAGCTAGTTACTAAAAAGTTTTAATTAGTCCTTATAATTTTTTATGCATTATTTCTTACATTTAATTTGTGATTAAACCTTTTTAAATATTTTTCTCTCTTTTTCTAAATTTGTCCTTTAGTTCAATCATGAATTTTCTATAGTTAAAATGACTATATTTCTATAAAATTTTATACATTATGATAGTGTCGATAAAGAATTATTAAAAATTATTGAGTCCTTAAAATTTGAAATTTCTTAAAAACCTTTTATTTATATCTTATCAAATTAATTAAATTAGTTCTTTTGACTTAATAAAGTTACGTAATTCCGAAGCTAACAAACCTGAACATTTAAGTTCTAAGTCTTTAAAATTGATACTCTAATAAAGTTCCTATTTCAATATTGCTATCCCTCTTTTTGCTGTTCCCTTCTTTAATTTAATTTATCCTTCATCAGTGTCTAATACTTAAAAAATAATTATGGACTTTAATCATTAGATTCTCTTTCAAGAAAAATAAAATTATTTGTGATTTTATAAATTTCAATTAATCTGTAAAATTTTTGAATGATTATTTTGTAAATTATTGATTTTCTCCTTTTATATTATAAATAAATATTTTTTGAGAGTATTTATTCAATTGTAGTTTCAATCTTCTAGATAAGTCATTAATAGTTTTATAAACACTTTTCTCCATTTTCTTAAAATTATTTATCAAATTGATACTTTTTATTATAATTTCTAATCATAGACTGATTAACATTTTTTTCTCAAGATTAAGGATCTTCATAAAATAATTAATATAATATATCATATCCATAAATTTATTTTTATTAAAATCATTTTATGATTATAATATAATACCAATAGAATGTAGTGAATAGATATACTTGAAATTAGCATCATATTATTTACAAAAGTCATTTCAACCTAGTTTTATAGTATTATATCCTTATCAAATTTTTTCCTAGTCATTGTAGAATGTTTAAGATGGTGAAAACTCATTAATTTCTGATCTTTTTTACTAAACATATTAATTAATTTAAAATGAATTTTATAAATACGAGATGATATGTGTCTTCTTTCACTATTAATATTTTGCAATAGTATCTTTAAATATTTTAAATTTTATTTTATAAAAATGAACTATTCTATGAACTATTCTAATGAACATTAATTATATCAAATATTTGATTTAATTGAATTTTTGCTTAATAAAAGTGATTACTTCTTTTTGTCAATGGAAATCATTAAATAAATTAATATTTCCTAAAGAAATAAAAGAGTTACAAACAAAATCAATATTGAAATTAATAATTAAATTAGCTTCACCGAATTTCTTTTCATCTTTAAAACCCTAATGAAAGGCATCCAATAATATTCCAATAATATTCTTTAGTAATCTATTTATTTTAGCAGAGAAAATTATAAAAAATTTAAGGTTGAAATAAAGAAATATTTTTGCAATCAAAGGCAGAATTATGCATTTTCATCTTTAGAAAAATTATGAGTATCTAGAAAAAATGTTGATATGAAATTTACATTTTAAATATTTTTTAGCCAATTCTGTTGATAATAATAAAAAAATTTGAGAAAAGTACTAGATTATAATAATAAAATTTGGTTTGCTATGATATAGATAAAAAGTTATTATTAATCTATTTGATTATTGTTCTAATAAAATATTACAAATAATATATTATTTATTTGTAAAATCAATAAAGATACAAATGGGATTATGTTCATCTAAAAAATAAGAATCCAAAGCAAATACTGTAGTAAGATTAGAAGATCATGTGAAAAAAATTGATAAAAATAATATTCACGATTAAGCTTTATTAATTTTATATAATTGCAGAAATTAAAGAGTATAACACTTGAATGAACCAACAATGAGCGGATTTAGTAAATAATTTTAAAAGACTCAAGAGCCTTCTTAAAAAAGCTCTGCATGAAAATTTTTTGAATCAGAAATTTAAATGTGATTTGTGATTAATATTTTATGAAATGAAAATAGATTATATAATTTAGTAATAATTATAACAATATATAAGTATATCATCACATTTAGAAATGAAAAGGCTAATATAGAGTACTGACTTTAATGTGGCAATTCCTATAAGTAGCACAAAACATGCAATTAATGATGGTTTGTTAGTTTATAAAATTATTGATAGATTACTTCATGTTCCAAAAATATAAATGCTCATCGCCAGCTATTTTAGGGGATGTCCTTCGTTCTAATACACCAGTCTAATCTTAACTATCACCAATCGAAAATTAATAAAAAAGTTGCTTTTCACTTTTATCAGACAACTTTGATTTTTCTGTTAAAGATGTATCTCGAAAATATAATAACGTATCTCGACAATAAAGCATTTAAAAAGAAAATGAAGAAGAAACAGTTAAAATTTAGAGAATTATCCAACAGGAATAAATTATTCTTGAAGAATAGGAGATTTTAAATAAAAAATTACAAAATATCAGATCAGATACAAATTAAAAATTAGATGAACTTGATAAATGTAAATAAGCTGTTTAATATTTTAGAATATCTATAAAGAAGATAGGAAATCATAAAATAACTATAATTTTCAATAGGCTAATATGGTAATAATTTTAGAGATAGTCAAATTAAAGAACCACCATTAAAAAGTGCTCTAAAGAAAAAAGAAAATAAAAGATAACATACATAAGATAAATATTAAAATGAATTAAATGATGAAGATTCCTAAGATGACTGGAACTTTATTCATTAAGCAAAAATTAACCTTGAAAAATAAAGAACACATTAAAATACTGATGAAGAAAGAACTCCCTCTAAAGTTCGATTTGTAAGTACTAAGGATGTTAATTAACATAAGAAGATGCGAAAAAGCATTAATATATCTGATTTAAACATATTTTAAAAATTTAGGCATTGACACAATTATAAATCTATCATAAATACAAAATGAACACTTTTATCATTTTTCATGTGATAATGGGAGAGGTTAATAGAAGATGCTAGTTTTTGTTTACTATTTGCTTCTTCTTGGTTAAAACTATATTACTTAAGAGCTTCTTGCCACTTATTTCAATCTTTTTAGTTTATACTAAGTTTTAAACTTTTTAGCCTTATAGAAAATTGTATACTTTCCAATATTTTTTCTATTTAATATTTTAATATATCTTTGAGATTTTAAATAATCAACAATTATTTAGGGAAAATTAAATTCACTAAAATAATATTTAAAAGATTCCATCCTATCAATATCACAACATTAAAATTATGGAACGATTTCATTTATTTTTAATTCAACTTGCTAATTTTAGATTTCAATATTAATTGCAGATAAATAACTATTAATTTCACTATTCTCTATACTTTTTTTTCCTTTTGTTCTAATCGTAGGTTCATAAGAACTTTTTTCATAATCTGGCATTATTTTAGTAGCAGATTTTTATAAACCAATTTTTTCGTTATTACGAATTGGTTACCTTACTTTTTCTTATGAAACAGCTCTATTATAAGTTTTATCCAAATATTTTAAAGATATTTTTTATTCTTAGTGTTGTTGATACTATTATGACTATGGTTTCTCTGAAGACATTGATTAAAATCTTGATTTGTTTTTTTAATAAACTTTTTCTAATGAACTCTCTCTCTCTTCAGGTTTTTCTTCTATTTAATTTGTTTCTGATGAATCTGGAGAAGGAGGACGAAACAATTCTGATAATTCATCATTATCAAATAATTTTGATTCAGTAATGAATTTGATGCACTAATTACAATTTTCCTGTTTCCTAATTAACTCAATAACATACTTTAAGCTATATTAAACAATTTTTTGTTTTATGTTTTGATCTATTCTAATACTTTCTTTGTTAATATTGAAATCCCTCTCTCTTTATCAATTTTTCTAGATCAGGAATATATCTGACGTATGGACAATCTGTTATAAAATGAGTAGATTTTAGACAACATTTACACTTTAACCCTGAATATTTACATGGGATCTTTAGTAATAAATGATCTTTAATGCTGAAAAACTTTTCTTTATCTTCTTAATTAGAATTTAAGATTTCTAAAGTTTATTTTCGAGAGATTTTATATATTTAACTAAATGTCATGCTTTTTGCTGTGCATTTTCTTTATTCACCTGTAAAAAATTCATATTCACCAAAACATTCTCCTTTACGTAAAACACATAATGTCTATCCACTTTATTAATCTATTAAACTGACTTCACCCTTAACTAAAATATATAATGATAAATCATCTTCTAAGCAATTTTTATTATAGATTATTTCTTATGGATTAAGATGGCTACATTATAGAGAAAAAGTAATTTATTTTTAGATTTCTTAAGATAAATGATATTTAAAAAAATAGCAATTTTACAAAGGTTTACTTTATATATCATAAATTAATTCTTATCTTAAATTAGGTGTCAATTTCTAAATTATAGAAGAAATCTATTTTCATATAAATCTTACAATACTTCATCATCATTTTTGATATTATCTTGCTCAAAATAAAATTTCAAATAATTTCTGACTTTGCTCTGTAATTATTAATTCACTTAATTTTAATTCATATATCTATTCATTTATACAGAAAATTTTCTAAAATCAATATATTATTTAAAAATTACTTATATTTTTAAACTTTAATACTTATATTTTAAAGGATCATACCAATAGAATTAAGAGAATAACCAAATATTGCACTTGATATAATCATAGTTAAATTACAAAATACCATTTCATAAGGATTTTAGGGAGTAATGTCACCATATCCTACTGTTACCATAGTCATAGTTGACCAATAAAATGAGTAATTGTACCTGATCCAAATTGTATCGTTATTCATAGTCATCAAAGACATCCAAGTATTATAACCAATTTCTTCAGTTAACAAAGCTATTTTTTGCCAAATACAAGCTGTAATATGAGCAAATATAAATATTATTAGTAAAACTTTAGTTAATTCAAAAAAATTTTAATATTCATCAAATGTTTCTTATAATTTTTCTAAAAAATGTCTTAATCTTGTAATAGTTATATAAACTTATATTCCAGCTAAAATAAGGGAAATTATTTCTATACTATTAGAGTAATTCGAATCATTTACAAATAATATTAGAATTGATATTAAATCAAATGTTAAGTCTGTTTTTACGTAATACATTAATATTAATCTTCTATTTTCTAATATTGATCCTTAAACCAGAAGACTTTTATTTGTTTTTATTATTATATCAATTATACCAATATATCTCAAGAAGTTCTCAAAAACAATTATCATTGTATTTGAGTCTGGTTTAAATGAGACTAAAAATGGTCCCCAAAAAGTAATTACCATTATTTAAAGAAATAATACTAACTCCCAAACTAAAACAAAGGTTCCTTAAGGTGGAATAATAGGGAGCTTATAAAAAAAGCTTCCTTTATTATCTTCTCTATCTTAAGACTGAAGTTTTACGTCTTTCAAGTAACGTTCTTAAGTTATTAAGATAAAATCTTTATTAATGGACTTTGGAAAAATGTAAGCTTTTCTTTTTAGCTATTCTATAAATGAATTAACTAACGTTTTAATTATGATAAACTAGTGCAATTATCTTTATTCATTGCTCTATTATTCAAATTATTCCTATTTTCCTCTAATTTATGCAGATGTAGGCTATCTTTAATAAATTATAATTACTGTGCACTCCTTTTGATTAGGAGAAGGTACAATGTGTTTTTATGAATCAATTTAAGGGGAATTAATATTTTCAATACTTTATTCTTCAAAAGGTATGTCTTGAATGTCTTAAGGAGATAAATTTTTTGGAATGATTTATCCTGCAATTAAGTAAGTGTGAAATGGATTACATATTTCAGATATTCTACTTGAATCTACCTATTCAATATGTATTACTTGACATGGATGAATGATTTCCTGGAAATTTATAATCGTTCAAATTGTGATCGCTGAGCTTCATGTAATGGCAAAATAATTTAATTTAAAATCAAAATTTATAATAAAAAAATTTGGATCTCTCTGATTTTGGATTTCTAAAGTCGAAAATTTTATATTGTTCAAATTGAAAGTGCCACAGTTTCTTTATTGTTAAGTATTAACATCATTATTGATAATAAATTAATAAATATTATAATGAAATTATTGTTGTACTTTTAATTTCTTTTTTTCATTGCTTTTACTATAATGCCAATGCCTAAACAATTTGAAAAGGGAGAAAAGACAGTTAAAATTTTATAAAAATGCGCAATAAAGTTTTTATCTGAATAGAATTTTCCTGATCATGTTTTATAATTATTGCGTCATTATCATGAATTAATGACATTAGATTCAGAATGTAAATTTGAAGAGTCACTTTAGAAGAAAAATCTAAATTTGGAAGGATCATTAAAATTTAATATCAATTTAGAAAGTGATGAACAAATATATTGGGTTAATGAAACAAAACAAGAAGCTTATAGATTAGAGATTGATGAAAATTTAAACATAAATATAAATGCTCCAAATCATTGGGCTTTGGCAAGGGCTATCGATACAGTAAATTAACTTACAGAAAATAATGAAGTTGTTAATGTAATAGAAATATAATATAAAAAAGCTACCCTTAACAATTTATGATGAACCTGCTTATGTATATAGAGGTGTTATGGTAGATACTGCTAGACACTTTTTACCACTGAAAACTTTAGAAAGAACTATTGATGCATTAGTAATAAATAAATTAAATGTTTTGCATTGGCATATAACAGATGATGAAAGCTTTCCACTTTTATTGACAAATTATAGTTAGATAACTAATACATCAAAATTTTGGGATAGTGCTTATTTTACTAAATAAGATGTATCATATATAATTGAGTATGCTTCAATAAGAGGAGTTTAGATAATTCCTGAAATAGACTCTCCTGCACATGCTTAATCTTGGGGAAGATCTCCAGAATTAGCAGAAATGATTATAACTTGTGGTAGCACTATTAAATAATATGGATAATTTGATCCTACTATGGATTTAACATATGAAGTATTAAAGTCAGTGATGCAAGATTTAAATGATATGTTTGCTAAAGTATAATTTATTCATTTTGGTGGAGATGAAGCTAGTAATTCTTGTTTTGATTAAAGGCCATCAATAAAGCAATTTATGACAGAACATGGAATTGCAACCTATTTTGATCTTTAGGTTTATTATAGATAAAGATAAAAAGATATTTGGAAAAATTATGTTAAATCTTCAAAAAGAGTTGCTTATTGGTACAATAAAAATGATCTATTACCAGCTGAAGATGATGATATCATTCATTGGTGGGGATTAACATCATAATTAATTGATGTAAAAAATAGAAAAAATGATTTTATTTTAAGTGATTCTCAACCCTTATATTTGAATGCAGGAGTTGGAAATGCATTTGGTGATTCATATAATTCTTATTAAACATGGAAAGATTTTTATAAATGGTCACCTTAACCACCAGATGGATTTTAAGGAAATATTTTAGGAGGAGAAGCTCCTCTATGGGGAGAAACTAATAATCAAAACACTCATTTCTAGAATATGTTTTTAAGATCTTCAATTTTAGGTGATACGTAAATAATTTATAATTATATTAGATTATGGAATCCTAATTCTAAATAAAATGAATAATTTTGGGAATTTACTTAGAGATTAAGCGAAATGGAAGATAGAATGAATAAATATGGATTTCCTGTTTCTCCATTTACTCATGATTATTGTAAAAGACACACTAAACTATGTTTCCCAACTTTATATGCAGATCAAGAAGATCATAATATTATTAATTAAAAACCAATTGAATGAAATGTTATTTATAAAGGTTAATGAATGAAAATTATTTTAGATATCACAGTTTAAGTTGTTATCATATATTTATTGTTTTAAATTTTAATCTAAATTTTTGATTTATATTTCATTAAAATAACTCAACTATAATTAATTAATAACTTAATAAAGATCATCATTTTGAAGAACTAAAATAGTACCAGCAGATTAATATTTTTTAATAGTTTCAAGCTTTTGAAGAAAGTTTAATTTACTTGAGTATTCAAATAAATTTGACAGAAACTCTTTTTCAACACTTAAGCATTTAAAAATATTTTTTTGATTAAACACTTCTAGTATCAAAATATATATTATATTGTCTTTATCTTTTCTAAAATTGATTAATATAATAGTGATATTATTATTGACTGGAAAACTTAATAATTTGTTTTCAAAATCATCAAAAAAGTTTGAAAATGTCACTTTCCCCTTTATTCGAATTTTCATATCTCTAGAATTCAGCTCTATATTCTTTTAAGAGAATAGGATTATAGAAGATTATTATTTCAATCAAAATTATTAGGAATACTCATATTACAAAGGTTAATTAACCGAACATCTTTAATAAAATCATTTTCAAAAATTCTTTTATATAATATTTTTTCGATAATAATTTATTTATTTTCATTATTGTAATAATTATTATAATGCTGTAATATCCATCTATAAATTCATTATTTTATCCTATATCACTTCATCTAATAAGCTTTGAACAACTTTATTTTACTAAGTTGGTTTAGATTCTTCTTTTTATTAAATTTACTTAAGTTCTTTGAGTTTCTTTTATTTCTAACTAATCATATCGCTAATTTCATGGTTAGGATCAAAGAATTCCTAATCTAAATATGATGAATAAAAGTTTGATTAAGTCTTAAATGAATTCTGCTTAATTTATTCATTTTCACTTCTAAGAAATTAATTCTCCATTATAAGTTAATTCACTATATTGTCTAAGCTTAAAATTTATTGAGTCAATTATTAGTTTGCTTAATATGTATCTTTATTATCATTCATAAGGCGAGTGATTTAGATGTCTTGATACAAACATTTTTCTTCAAAATCCTTTAATTATTATTTTAGTTAATCTGTTTCATTCATAATAATTTAAAATTCTATACATTTTTAATGTGTTAAAATTTTATTACTTGATAAGTTTAACTCTTGATGGTCTTAGCTTTTATATAAAAGAATTAAAATGAAGTAAACAATTGTGAATATAAACCAGTTCTATGATAATCCAAAGAAACCATAATTTAATTTAACCAGTGAGTTTATATAAAAAATAGATAAAATGCGGTAATCATTGTTCTGTTTTAAGTCTTCTTGAAATCTTCATTTCATTATAAAAATGACTCTTTGGCTATTCTTGTCTGAGTTTTTAGACAATATTTCTTATTTTTTCTTTTGAAGGTTGACTTTAAGATTTAACTTATTATTCTCCTTCTAACTCCTCATGTTAGATTACTTTGAGTTTTTTTATTTAATTGGTAAAAGTTAACATTTTGGTTTCTAAACGCGGAGATAATTAAATATAATAATCTTCTTTTGATGGTTCAGTCTTAATACTCTTTGGTGATTCAGATTAAGCATTCAAACTGGTATTGACTGATTTTTTCATACTGCAGCTTTTCTTCATGTTAGCTAAATGTGTTGAGTTCCTCATACTATATTACATTAAATGTTTAAATCAAGTGAATTATTAAATTAATTAATCTGTTTAATTAATGTTTTTCTTACTTTATTAATTAAGGATTATTAAAATGATTATATATTCTATAATAGGTTTTATTTCGATTTAGTAATTTGATTCTTTTCCAAGTAAGACAAAATAAATTTATAATATTAAAAATATTATTTTATATCCATATACTTATATATAAATCTTTTGAATAAATTGGCACTTGCTTTGAGATAACTAGGATTATT